AAAAAAAAAAAAAAAAAAAAAAAAAAATTAAAAAATGGCGGAAAAATTTATCGAATTTCGTTCCGGTTTTTTGGTTTTCTGATTTCTGGATAATGGGTTCTGTACTGTAATTTTAAAATAACCACTCCATGTACAGGAAAATTAAGAAAACAGTTAGTTATAGATAATTAAAGCATTAATTTAAAAAAAAAGGCTTTTAAGGTTTTTTTGTACAAAGGAATACTGACTTTATTGTTAAAATAGAATAAAAACTGAGAATGCCTTTTTACTTGATTGTTACTTTACACATAATTTACAAAATATTAACTGTTATGTACCCATAAAGGTAGGTAGGTATTTTATTTACGTCGTTCTAGAGTTGCACAATGGACTATTAGCAACGGTCTGGGAACCATCCCCGAGGATAATCCAAAGACATACCATCACAATTTTGATCCTCTGCAAAGGGGATGGCTCCTCCACCTTGGTGGCCCGACGACTGGCATACAAATCTTGCACTTTACGGTAGAACAGTTTAATGAGGACCGATATTGCGCACCCTCTGTCCCTACATAGACTGATCAAAGTGGTCACCCACTCGCCTACTGACCGCAACCAGTGAAGCTCGATTTCATTGATCTACGGGACTGTCATTGCGATCAGTCCACTGTGTCAATAAAGCGCTAAAAATTTAAGTAGTTTTGTGTTATTGAGATCCTTGACAGAAAAAAAAATTAAATTCAAAAGCATATTTGTTATTTGTCACTAGATATATAATATTATTTCCTACATCAGAGACCACCAGAGGTGCATTCAGCCACTTTTGATAAAATCATAAAATTTTCACTGTGAATGGAAATATAAAAAAAATAATTTCATTATTAAAATAAATTGTGATTTCCTCATTCATTTTGAACAGTAAATAAAAAATAAATTTTCTCACCTCAGCATATGCTTTGCAGATTACATTGTATTTGAAGGCTTGAGGCATTTCACTCGCTTTGTATTTATTCCTATCTAAAGAACTCTCCAAGAAACCTTTCGCATCACCCGATATCACAGTAGACACCAAAGGACAAGTCACTCCAGCAGCCTAATCAGTATCAAATTATGAGTTCCATCGAAACAAACACTTACAAATGTTCCAAAAATGAATAATAATTTCAAAATAAAACAATTAAAGAAAAACTAAAAGAGTTAGAAATGTATGATCTGCTTAGGCGTCATTAGGAAAACAGATTTTTCTCCCTCACTAATTTAAAATTAGTTAAAGTGTATATCAAAAGTTAAAGTGTATATCTCTGCTAACTCTAAACAGCATTAAGCTAAGTTTTTGCAGCAACAGGGAATCACAGTCTAAAGACAAAATTATCAGAAGTACAGACAAATATTTCATTTAGAATGGTTTGGTATGTAACGCCAAATATTATATTGATATTCAAGTCAATGGCACTATCTGTTCAGCAACTCATTTTGAACCTTGGTGTAGTGTAGCGAATCCATAGTAGCAGTTTCTATTAAGGTGAATAGTCTGAATGTAGACATAAATGCGAATGGGCCAATAAACTTGAAATTTAATAAAAATATTAACAAGATTTAAAATAAGACTTTAAATAGTATTCCAATCAGAGTTGCAGGAAAAGTTGGCGGATATTGATTCGGAGCAGGTAAGGTTCAAACTGAACAAGATTGTGGGTTGTTTTAAAAGCATCTTCTTGATGCGTACACACCTTGGTAAGAGAGTTTGTGCCAGAATACTGGTTGAGGATAAATGTTCTGGTTTTTTCAGCAAAACACCGTACATCTCCTTCAATTCTTACTTTAAATAATTTTTAAATCGTTGGTTATTATGGGGATACTTGGTAATTATCAAAAGAAATTATATTTAGAATACAAAATTTAAACAAAAAAACATACTCCATGTTCTTTGGCAGCAGATACAACATTATGAACAATTTCTTCTGATAAAAAAGGCCTCACTCCATCATGAATCACTACAATCTCAGGTAAAGGCTCACCTATAAAAAAAAGTGTTTTTATACACCTTTCAAAAATTACATTCATTAATCCAAAATCCATTTGAATTTTTTTTTTACTGTAAAGCAAAAAGCATTTCTGCAACAGCCCATTGTGGCCAGAGGTGTAATGGGGGTTAACGCTCCACAATATTATGACTACCAAAATGATGGCAGGAGTGCAATCAGCCTTGCAATTTTGAGAGGAATTAAGACAGGTTGGGACATTGGTCAATGTCAAAATTTCAACATTTTACATATTTTTTTAAGTAACACATAGTAGTGTCATAAATCTTTTTTTATTTCTTACTGCTCTTGTTTTGAAACACACTAAATTAAAACCAATTCCAATTTAGGCTCTTCAAATTTAATTAGAATTTAAAATGTAACTTAATTTTAAATTAAAAAACAATGGAGCTGTTAAAATTGCTTTTTTTAAATTTTCACTGCTACCTGGATTGAAAAAAGGCATTTGTGAATATAGGTCTTCGGTGGGTGATTTCATACTAAACATGCATGCAGCAGAAGCAAAAAATCAAACTGAACAAGGAGCGTTTACTTTTTAATAAATTTTAAAGTAATAATAAAAAAATTCACAAAAGAAATAGGATTTTACTGAAAAACCAATAGGAATAAGCCATTCTTCTATGCATCATCTCCCAAGTTTTAAAAGTTCAGAAAACGAAATACAATAAGCTACAAGATTTTCATTAATATTTTTTTTAACAAAGATTTTTCATAAAAAAAAACGAGACACAATTTTAAATTGCTATTTCTCAATGCTGTCTACAACAAAAGAGCAAAACAATTTAATTTTTAAAAATTAGTTAACACATAAGTGAGATTCTAAGTAATTTACAGGGTGCGACAAAAAAAAATGAAAGTTATTGCATCATAGAATAGAAGTCAACTAACTTCGTTTTATTAAAAAGAAATAAATACAAATTAAAATTTAATTTGTGTTCATTTCCCACTTTAACTATAGAATATTTTATAATATATCTTTTAGTGTATGTACTGTTTTTTTAATACCTTTTTTGCAGTGTCAAAAAAAAGAAAAGAAAAAAGATCTGCTATTTTAGAGTTGTTTAAGAAAGGAAAATGACGGTGTTAAATTGTTTGTTCGTCCTTTACACAAAGTAATCACTTTGGCCGGAATGAGGCAGATTGATCATTTAAAAGCATCAGCCAGAAAATATACTAAAGGTATAAAACTTGTGGCCCATTGACGAAAATTTCATTAAGCATTTTTGTTTCTGCACCACGGACAAAGGTGGCCACTTTGAAACTAATTAAATTTATTTGTTAGTAAATATCTACTCGTATTTGTTAGCAGGGGTGCCATTCCAAAAAAATTTCAACACTAACTTTTTTTGACTAATTAAGAGGGTCTAGCGTTGTTAAGCAGAATTTTCAGAAATTAATAGCTCACTGACTGCAAAATACACCTTTCCACAAGAATGGCCTTCAAATCAATGATTTGTTTATTTTTTTGTCAAGCAAATCTTTTTCTTCATTTTATTAGCCTATTTTTACAGGAAACAAATATAACAGCTAACTTATATCATTTTACAGTAATCGCTGAATACCTTGGAACCATTCATATCTCTACTTATTTTTCACTTCATCATAATCTTAGCTCTATAAATTTCATTATAAAAACAATCTGAACTTTCCTTAGCCTTTCAAAACATCAGAAGGAAAAGACGGCAATAATTATGAAAAAGAGTAATTCTTTTAAAATAATTTTCAGCAGAAAAAATTTGTTACATTTCTTAAGAAAAAAAATAGGTAAAAAAAGTTCTCGAATAATTATTAATTTAACAACTAAACTGATAGACTAGACTTTTTAGACCACTAGATTGATTTCAGTCCTGAGGACTGAAGAGAGGCACACACGTTTGCTATATTTTGTTAATTTATTTACTTTTAATAAAGTTGTATTAAAAATGGCTTATCCAGTTCTTTTTATTTTATTTTGTAAATAACAAATTAATTTACATTCTCTAAATAATTTTTAAAAAAAATAAATCCCTTAGTATAATGGTTGTAGAAACTTTAATACAGCATACTAACAGCAAGTGAGTATAGCTCTTAATCCAGATTCTATGGACTGATGCCTAAAAGATCCACCCTCCGTCACCATCAATTTCTCACCCTGAAGTGCGCACATCTCGCTCAATGTTTGGATCATCACAGTTAGGCTCTCAGGCGCAGCAACCACAACCACTTTCTTAATGTAAGGAAGTCTAATGGGAAAGAAAGAATTCCATTACTTTTAATAAAGTCTCTTTTTTCTTAATTAGTTTAGAAATAAAACACCGAATATAGAATGAGTCCTTTTTATATTATTTTATATCTAATAAATTTGCACACTATTTTGCGATCTTATGAGTTTGCACAAAATCTTCACTCAATATTACAATATACTGTATTAAAAAAAATCACTGTAGATGTAAAACTATACAATAGATTTTTTTTTTAAGTATCAGCAGTATTTTTGTTAAACAGTGAACTCTCGCTACTACGATATCCAATACAACAATAACTCCCTTTATTGCGATTATGTTTCGTGGTATCGACATACTTGCATATGAATTAATGTCATGCCCCTCTCAATACTACGATATTCTTTTGGAGAAATGAACCCCTGTAAAGCGATTTTTTCCAAATTTCTACCTTATCTTCTCCATTTTTTTATTGGTTTTCAATTATTGTAAAAAATCTTATTTTATTATCTATTGCCTTTTTTGCCATCTTTTCTGACAAAAGAAGACTCACTGCTGACACTTCTTAGAATCGCCTCCCTTATCTCTTTAGAAGTCACAGATATAACATCCCTCTCTGATTTCATTTCCTTCATGTTAAAAGCTGACCATAAGTCACAAATGACCACAAGCATCACATTAACACCTGAAAGAGAATTTTTTCTATAGAGGGTGGGTGGAGCACCATTCACAAACGATTAATTTCATCACCAAACGATTCATGTCATTCAAACGATTCATTTCATTCGAAATCATTTTCGTGCTTTAGATTCAATACATACTTTGTTGGTTGACTTGAAAGTAAAAAAAATGAATAAACGAACAAAAATATCGGATTATTTTCAATAAAAACGGTTTTCAGGTATATTTACGATCTTATTTTCTGCTATATTACTATCTTATTTACAATTAATTTTTTAAAAATATTTAACCATAATTGACACTCTACAAATTAATTTTTTGCATAATATATAAATACATTTATAGTTAATACATATATAACATTAAAATTTAAAAAAAAATCTTCTTGTGTTCCCACAGTATGAAGGTTTCGATATAACAATATATTTATTTGGTCCCCAAAATATTGTTGCAGCGAAGTTTTACTGTATGTGATATTTTTCTTTTTTAATCGGTTGAAAAATATTGAAACTAAATTAAGCTCTAGCAACAAAAATTTTCAATATAGTATTTTGTGATCTGATGAATTGTTGCAAAATTTCCATTTACTGTTACAATATTCTGAAGCGCAACAAATCACTACTAAAAAACTATGTTATGACTTTCTTTTTTTTTTTTAAATCTCTCTCTTTATAAACATTTAGAAAAGAAAGACCTTTACATTAACATTGTGATAAAAAAAATAAAAAAAACGAAAAGAATATGGTATACTAATGGACTTCATTATTACTCCCTAACAGCAGAAGATTGCCATGCAATCTTATATGGTTGGCTATGCAAACCATACTGGGTTCGCTCACTAAGTTAAACCATTTGAAATGTGTTAAGATCTTACAAATTTAAATCACTTATTAAAGTCTTTAAAACTTATTCCTACATACAAAAATTAACATTTTAGTCTATAATAAGTTTTTGTAATAAAAAAATTCAAATTGAAATAAATGAATCCAAATAAAAAATTGTGAACCCAAATAAAATTTTTTTTGTTAAACACAAAATTATAAATTTCAGAACTCGCTATAACTGGAAAGTTATTATTATGAATAAAATTATTATTACTGAACCTCCATAAGCATAATTAAAACATAATCTAGAACGCTGTGTTGGTCGACATGAACTATTCGTTTTTAACCTTTCCATTCTTAATAATGTATAAATCAGTTTGTTTCAGCTTTTTGATGTCCATACCAGAAAGGTATTTTAAAATTCAAAAATTTGTAATCATGTACATTAATGCTTTCATGCTTAATGACAGCTCACACACTTAATATTCTAATTTTTTGTGACCAACACAAAAAAGAAATAAAGACTTTCTTAGATTTCTGACACACATAAGATTTCTTACATACAACATTAAATCAGACACATAAGCTTAAATGAAAAACAAACTGCCATGCTGTTATAAATTTTTCATTAGAAATATATCAGAAATAAATATATAGCCTATGTTTTTAGATTTATGATTTGAACAAAAGAGTAATCATTTCAGTATTTTTGGTTTAAACCAGAATTTTTTCTAACATTTTCATATCTTTCCAAAACTATTTTTCTCAAAAATTAGAGAGCATGCTCATGACAAGAATAAAGCTGAACAGAAAAAACACATAAATAATATCACATCAAATGAATGATACAATAAACACTTTTTTACTTTAAACACAGAATGTGTGTTTCCGAGTTTTGACGGTTTTGCCTCTGTATCACTGACAATTACTTCACCCAACGCCACTTCGGTGAAATGAATAAAACATTTTTAAAAAAATTTTCATGACAAATACATAAATTAATTTATATTATACATTTAATTAAAGTTAAGCCAAATTATGACAAAAACAAATATTTAATAAAATCACCAAATTAACTACTAATATAAAACCAATTTAACGATTAAAAAACGCAACATATTTCATATCTAATTATAAGGAAAAATGATTAAATACAAGAAAATACACTTAAAAACTATCAAATGGAAACTAAAGTTAAAAGAAGCGCCAATTTAATTTTAAAACTGGGAACAAGGCAGGATATAATAAGATCAACTGAATTAAAAAAAAAAAAAAAACTTCAGTTTAAAATTTATGAATAAGAAAAACTAGTTTATTAAGAACAAAATTTATTGCAAACAGAAGAAAAAAAACTCCAAACAAAGTGGAATCAGAAATATATCATTTCTAAAACGAGAATGCTGCAATCTGCTTCATAAAATAATCATCAGCTTTCAGAAATAAATAATTGTATGCTTATGCATAAACAATCCGCCATTTTTATTTCTTTTAGCAAAAGGAAAGTTTTTATAAAAGCAGATGATTCCATATCCGACAAATGATACCAGATCTCTGTGGAATTAGAATTCTCTCAATTAAAAAATATTGTTTTTTTTAATATATATCAAATAAATAAGCATAACAAACAATAAAAAAAATTTTTGTTTGTAATAATTAATGTATTATCCAAAATTATAAAACAATTTTTTATCATAATAAATGAAGGATAACGAAAGTTGAGAAACAAAAGTGGATTTATAAAAAACCTAATATATCAATATTCTCAAAGCTGAAATTTCAAGTTCTTAACTTGGACATCCAATTGACAGAAACGCTTAAATAGAATTTTGAGGATACATTTAATAACGGTTGGTGCAGAAAAATGTGATTATTTTTTTATACCTCCATTGCGCAAGCTAGGGTTAAAAATGAAATTCTGCAATTTGATAGGGCGTCGAATTCTTGGAAAATTATATTTTTTTCCCTTGTTTTTTCGAATCCTTAATGTTTTCTATTTTAAAAAAAAGATATGTAAACAAAGGATAACAGTACAGTAGTATCAAAATATCATTACCTCAAAAATGATTCAACAGTGTAGCATATAATGGGTTTTTTGTGAATTTGTATATATTGTTTAGGTATATTCACACCCATACGCTCTCCGGTACCAGCAGCTGGTAGAACAACACAGACATCATAAGGAATAGGAACTAAAATAAATAAAAATTATTCTCTTTATGCATTTATAAACATTCCCTAAATCAGTAACTAAAAAATGATACAAAAAAGATTATTCTCTATGAAAAAGACTTCATGAATAAAAATATTAAAATATTTTTTTTAAACTTGTTACATTGTTCCTATTTTAAAAAAGAATAATTTTAAAATGCTCAGAATTATAAATCCAGACTGTAAATTGCTTTCACACACTTTGAGATATTCAGCTTAAAACAATATATTTTAATGATTGGTCTTTAATGATTGGATATTTTAATCATTGGTCTTTAATGATTGGATATTTTAATGATTGGTCTTTACTCATAAAAACTGCATTATAAATAAATTAACTTTTCCATATTAAGCAAATTATATTGAAGCCATTTCTAAAACAAAATATATATATAAACAAAATGATCATAGTGCTTTTTACCTCTGACGTGCAAATTTTAACTCCTAGCACCATCCGTGTTTAGCTTTACACGGTTAACCATCCATAATTAAATAGTATTTGCTTGTTAATTAGAAGATATAACAAAAAATCAATAAATGAGCTTAAAAAAAATTATATCAAAAGTTATTCAGGATGGTCCGTTTATTTAGTTTGTACGCTGTGCATATACTGCCGTACAATAGAAAAATTAATGTAAGCGACAAAAAATTAAAAATTGTAATTTTTCATATTTGGCATTTTAGTATATTGTAACAAAAAAAAATTTTTTTTCTTCAAAAATAATTTTTTTTCAATTTTTAGTTTTCTGAAATTCGTTTTTATCTTACAGTAATATTTTAAGCCCGTCTTTGAACAGCCAACCCAATTTTTTGAGTTTACGACTACTAATGTTCAGCAAATTTTAAACCTGATCCAGAAGACAAGGGAACTGCTGGATCAAGTATTGGAAGAAATTTGCCTTCGTGGAGGAATTTTTGATGGAACTAACCTGCATTTGTGTTACATGGAAAGAAAAACCACAAAAACCTCACACAGCTAGCCTGATGGCAAGGAGACTTTAACCCATGATCCATCTACCAATGAGGATATATTTCGCCAACACTGTAATCTGTGAATCCAAATTTTTGGAAATTTTTAGGCATAATTTGTATAATTTGTTTTAAGTTAGAATCTTTATTAATTTCTTTAAATTATCACAAATTTATCTTTTTAATGCTTCAAATGCAACGAATTTATCTTTTTAATGCGTCAATGCTTCAAATTTTTTGTCCTGCATAAGTTTTAAAAACTGGTCCCTCAAAAATACCTTCCTTCACTTTGGCTGCAGATAATCCAGAAAATGCATGAAGAGCAAGTGTTTGAAAAACCAATATTCTTTGTCTAGAGCTTTACAAATCGATTTTTATCAAACCAAATTTTATAAGCCATCCACGAAGGCAAATATCTAATAAATAGTCTTAAACCCATAAAATTGGGTCGGCTGTTCAACAACAATTATAAAATAAAATTTTTAAAAAAAAAGTTTTATGAGCTGTGATGGCTCAGCGGGTGGAGCGTCCGCCTTCCAATTCGAATCCCAACGATAACTGGTCAATGCAAATTCCGCATCTGACTAACATTGGGAGGTTTTTGTGGTTTTCCTCTCCATGCAACACAAATGCATGTTAGTTCCATCAAAAAAAGCCTTTCACGAAGGCAAATTTCTTCAATACTTGATCTAGGAGTTTCCTGTTCCTACGGAGTTGAGCATTAGTAGCCGTAAACCCAAATAATTGGGTCGGCTGTTCAACGACGGTAATAATAATAAAAATAAAAAAAAAACAAGTTTTATATGAAATGGAGGCAAAAGGCAACTTAAGCTTCCTTAATAACATTTTAGATGCCAATTTCACTACTCTTAATCCAATGTTGACTCTTTTATCCTAGTTTTTAGATAATATTTTCATCAAAAGCCTGCGGTATCTAAAATAAATGTTACTTTATGCAAGTTTCTTTTTTTTCTCGTTAATGTGCTTTCTTTCAATACTGTTGAGTATTTATTTTATTAAAGCTTTTCTACAAACTCTGGTATTTTAATTCAACTTTTTTAACTGCATGAATCATATGATCTATTTTATTTAACTATAAAGCATATAACTTTAGACAGCTTTAGACAACTTTATGAATATAAAAACTACTTTCATTAAATATTGTCTGACATTTTAGTTGTTTAATCAATGTAACGCTTCAAATCTATCTCGATAATTATATATTTAAACTTGATATGGGTGGAAGGAGAAGATTTCATTGAGAAACACAGGTTTCAACTTACACAATGAAATACAAAGATAAGTTGGATTTAAAAGTTTAAAATAATATATAAATTTCTAAACAAACCTGAAATTTTATTTCGTACCGCCCTATACTGACTGGTTCTTACAATATCTGCGTCATGGCCAATATGAGTTTTATAATAAATGACTTTGACAATTCCGTCAGAGAGTGAGTGGGAAACGTCCATAAGAGATGGGCAGGTGGTTCCAATTTTGTTCGAACCTACCTTCTTCAGCTTCCGATGTCCTTTAGACGCTGACCTATGGACACCAGATCGATGGCAAATGTATTGAGTTTTAGATTCTCCAGTTTGACGTAATTTTTTAGATATCCTACATATATAAGAATATCCAGAAGAAGCTTCATGTCCTTTTTTCCAAGATTCAAATGCTAAAAAATAATGATATTCATAACATTAACTCTGTGTTATGTTATATTAACTAAATTAATATGATAATTAAATACATCACTCGAAATAAGTAATTACTTTAGTACATACACATAACATTTACTACTGCATATATAGTTCACCTATAACATCTTAGATACTTCACTTTTCATAAAGATACAAAAGAGAAAAAAACATCTAATCAAAGTTTGTTATAAATTGTCTCAACTCATCATAGTTTTGTAATACATTTTTATTTATTTTAGTGTTTTTAATTCAAATTTCAGTTCCATCCTTTTTGTTGGGATAACACTATCTAAGTTACACAATAATCTCTTGAATTATCATTAAATGTGCTCAATGAGTGAGTTACTAAAGAATGATTCAGAATTCAAATGATAATAGAAGCTACTTCATAATATGAAATAACTTTAAGTATAATACTTACTACACATAATACTTAGCCATGAATGGTTGAGTTATACTTTAATTTGATTTGTTCATTTACGTTGCACTAGAGCTTCACAATGGACTATTGGCGACGGTCTGGGAAACATCCCTGAGGATGATCCAAAGACATGCCATCACAATTTTGATCCTCTGTAGAAGGGNATGTAATCCAATACTTTAAAGAACTCACAATAATGCAGCCAATCAATAGTTAAAAATCCAAATGAAAGTTAGTTTTGAAATTTCATTCTTCCCACAAAAAATTGTCTCCTTTCTTATTCTGTTGCTTATTTTCATTAAAAATAATTATACCTATGAAAAATTTTGTGCTAAAAAAAACAAAAATAATTTATAAAAATGATGAATGCATGTCATGAAGGGGATTAAAACAGTTTTTGATAAGCAAAATAACAGGTCAAAAAGTGTTTGCTCTAGAAAATAATACAGTAGATTGTCCCATACCCAAAATTGTAGGGACTTCGGCCAATCCAACAGATTTTTAAGGTGAACATTGATCAAAACATGCATTATTCAATAAAATAAATAAATATAGGATAATTAGTGTCGATTTTCTTACAATGTTTTGTTATCAGTTAAATGACATTAATTAACCAAAGATTTACCAGCACAGATATTCAAATAAAAACAATGTAAAAAAAATAAACTTGAAATTTTAAAAAAAAAATCCTATTTCCTTTAAAAAATATATATTAAATAAGAAACAGAATTAACCTTTTGCTTATGGCTGGTAGTACAACTGGTGGTCTACAATAGCCAGGCTGTGCTACAATTTTAAAAAAAGGTTGTACTTACAATTTAAACCAAACCTGACTGTTCCTTCTAACACTATAATATTCAGTTTCATTTACATTCCCAGTTTATTGCTCTCAAAAAAAATTTTTTTGATTTTCTTTAACTATTTTCGTCTTTTAAACAACTCTTTAAGTGTGTTAAAGGTCATTAAAGCAATATAAATGTTTTGCTATCCAAAACGCGTCAAGTAGAAATAAAAAAAAGAAGTTTTAACTATGAATAAGTATTTGTAACAATGGCGTTAATTACCACTATGATTATTACACATCAATTGACTAGTATATAAGATATGCTAGCTCAAATCAATCTTGAGGTACCTCTTGATAGATGACGGTCGGCATTGTCGACTTCTACTCTCCCCACATGAATGACCTGCAGGCATGAAATGAACTCGCCTACCTTGAAAATAACGCCCACTTCAATTAGGACACACCTATTTAGATGGATGGTTCATAATGAACAGTTGACCTGCGTGCTGTTGATTCTCAGTCTTATTTACACACACTGGCATACTGTACACAGGGTGCGTAGCTAAATTATTCAACAAAAAATAAGCACCTTTCAGGCACTCAAAAAATATTTTTAAGCACTTTAAAAAAATATCACAATTAGGCAGGGTTGGAAAGTTTTTGACAATTGACGGCTTTATCTTGTTTTAACCGTCAAGTGAAAAAAAATATACTAAAAAAACCTTTAGGCATTGTTTTTGCAACTGTCAAAAATCATGAATTTTTGAATCAAGTAAAACGAATGGCGTTTTCATACGCTACGGACTGACAATACGCCAAAATAGATTGGTGTTGAATTAATTGTGAAAATGTGGAATAGAACAATGTGAACTGCGTCTTTTTGCATAATTCGAAGCGAAAATCAACATAGTAAAGGAAAAATCTCATTTTGAAGAAGAGAAAATTAAGCACTTTTTAAAAACACTCAATGAAAAAAGCACCCTTAAGGGCTTTTAAAAAACCAAAATAAGCACCTTTAAGCACTTTTTAAAAACACTACGCACCCTGTGTACACACTCGACTGCTAATAGCAGCACAAGAGAGACCACACACACAACCGTGAACTTAATATAGCTCGCACGACAAACACTTAAAATTTGGTGAACTCAATACTGCCCTCACCACAAGCACTCGAAATCCGGTGAACTCGACACAGCACTCCCGATCCTTCACAAATACGACAACTAGTAATATTCGTTCATGGAATTCTATCCCTGATAAAATTCTGGCGAAACTATTACTATGATTACTAAACATCAATTCACTAGTTATAAGACATGCTAACTCAATTTAATCTTGAAGTAGCCTTTGATTGATGAAGATTAGCATTGTTGGTTTCTATATCTCCCCACAGTAACAAATAAAAAAGGAAAAATAAATAAATAATGGAAAAAAGATTTGAATATTTTGTTATCTGAAATGTGTCAGGTAAGTAGACGTTTCCTAAAACGGATGTCCAGATATGAATTAGTCATTAATATTATTGAAAATTTATTGGGATGTGAGGTGTTCACCCTGTAAGTTGAAGTTGCACTGTAATAGTCATGCAATAAAATTCTTACACAGTTGTCATTAGGGTATGATTTTAAACAAAATAAGATTACTTTCATAGTCTGGAAATTCTTGAACCTCTTGCTCCAATGAACAATGATGGAAAGACTCCAAATGACTTCTCAGTTCCTTCTGAGTGCGGAACTTGTTAACACAATTCAAAGGGCATGTAATTTTTCCAGAAATTTCAGGCTCAACATTATGTTTATTTCTCAGGTGCTGGTAGAGGTTCTTTTTCAATGTAAATGATAAAGCGCAAATAGAACATTGAGACATCCTTCTGCACAGAAATTCCCCTGAAAGCATAAAATGATTCCAGAGATACAAAGCAAATATGTGATACATATAATTATAATAAAAATGTCATATTGTTGTATCTATAAATTGCGATTAACATTTTGATGGCATAGATTTAAACATAAGTTACAGCATAAAGGAAAGAAAAGATAAGTAAGATTGAGTTCACATACATTAGTAGCAACCCATAATGTTACGTGTATTAAGTCAATTGTTAGTAATAATTAAGTTGGAATAAGGCCAGCGATTTAATAATTATTATATTCGAGAATCCTTTTCTTTTTTAGGCACTTTAATTAAATCCCGATTTTATAGCACTTTAATTTTTAACAACCTCCCTTCAAGCTGAGATCGGTTAGCAGAATGGTTTTGCGTTAAAGGTTTTAAAGCCGTACCATCGCAGAGCGAGAATCTCGCATATTTTTTTCTTTTCTCGCAATAAAAAATGATTAATGTGAGAAGTTCGCGCACTCTATTAATAAATTTCAAAATGAGCGAATTTTGAAAAAAATTGCGTCTTTTGCCATTTTGAATAAAATCTGTTTCTCTTTTCCTCCTTGATCTTTCATTATTTTGAACATCGGTCCTTGTTATCTAGTTTCCCTATTTACCAGTATTGTTCAGAACCGGTGCGAACAGCAGAACACCCCCCCTCACTCGAGCCACGGAACCCCTTTCAGAACACATTTCTCTGCAATCACGTGCTCACCGTAGGTAAGGTTTCTTCATGTAAGACGTTTATATTTTTTGTACATGAATGTAAGATGGACAAATACCTTGTTAAGGCGACATCTTCTAATTCATAACAGACAAATGAAAATGAAACAAATGTTGGTAGAAACGGTCAAAACGAAACAAATACGAATATTTTTCAGCCAAATAAATATAATAGCTGATGAAAAAGTAGATATAGAACATTTTCCATATGATGATGCAGCAAAAATACTCAATTAGAAGATGTTAAAAATGTAATATTATAAAAGAAAATTTTTTTTTCCTTGTCTATTCGTGTTTTTTTAATTTTTAGAAATCTCACTTATCTTTTTGAAATCTCACCCTGTTTTTGAGAAAGGGTGAGAAATTCTCTCCCATTTTTTTTCTGTAATGAAAACACTGCATGGATAGCCCCTCACCTCGATCTGTGACGATCTGCGGCTAATAAGCGGAGACAGCACAGTCCCCCTTAAATTTAACATATGAGTAACTTATTTTAAAATTATATTATGTTTAAATTATGTATGTTCTGATTATTCGGTAAATGGCACAAAATTCGTAAATATGTAATCCAGATTCTTTTTTAACAATTAATAAACTTCGCAACTCTAATAGGAACAACCATTATTTTACCTTGGAATTAACTTTCGATCATCTCAAATTAATTTTTATTTTTTTAGGTTAAACTTCTTAGTTTTCAATCGGTAGCTTAAATCAGTCTTACTTATTGTTTCTTCTGCTTATGCTGTATCTTAAGTTTAAATCTACACGATCAAAATGTTAATCATAATTAATAGATACAACATATTTGGTCAACTTAATTATTATCAACAATTGACTGTATTACTTAATACACATTACATTATTTAAAACTTCAATATAAAATTTATAATCTCATTTCATGAGATAAAAAGCTTTTTTCCTTTAGTTTTTGTTTTGTCTTCATTTAAAAAATAGATTGAAACCCAGGATGAAAAGTGTGAAAAAAAAATGTGTCTTCCAGTGTGAAAAAAAAATATGTTGTAGAAAATAGGATTCTTTCAATCTAATCTAAGTAAAGAAACTCTTTTTCAAAAAGAAATATCAATTATTGAAACAACTTTTAAATAGCTTATCCTTTTGAAGCAAAATTTTTATTAAACATATTTTTTTTTCATTATTTTGTATTCATTTAGGCCAAAATAGGCGAAAAATATTATATTTAGCAAAGAAAACTATTATTGCTATCAAGTATAAATAAGATAAACTTTCAAGTTACTTAATCCACCGTTTTTAATGCGAAAACTAAATTTAATATGTGAAAACTAAAAAGCCTCATATACAAAAACGAATAAATGAAATGAATTTTTTAAGAAATTAAAATAATTACAGCTTTTTAATATTTTATGTAAATGAGTTCATGCCCAGTTTCATCCGGACAAAATACCAACCCTCAATGAAACAAACTATATCCTATTTTGTTTTTTTAATCTTTTAAACTCTTTGAAATTACTTCACATTAAATCTATGCTTAAGAAACTGTTGCTCCATTTAATTAACAGGATACCTTAGTGGCTGAGTGTCACCGTTATTTCAAAACACAAGGGCTCGATAATTTTATTTCATTAAGTATTAATAAAAGAATATCAGAAAAATCTGAAATTATCATTGACACTAATCCACTGGTCTGTTTACTAATAAAGTGCTTACTGCTGCCACTCAATAATATTTTGTTCAATATTTCAAATATATGTTTCATCTTACATATATTTCTAATACATGTTTCTACTGAAATTATAAATTAAAAGAAGCCAAATAAATATTTAATTTTATATAATTAAGAGAATGACGGCTGCATTAGCATTGTACTCGGCCAAGGTTTTGTATATTGTTTTGAAATTATTTGTGGCAACAAACCAATACTGGGAAATTTAAAAACAAATATGTTTGACAGACAAAAGGTTCCTTTCGTTAGTGTTTTGTTTTAATTTATTCTTTTAAAAAAGACGTAAAAAATAAAATACATGATAAATGTAGCTAAAAAATGGAAAATAAAATAAATTTGCTTAACCATGAGTCTGCTCCATCATACATAATGGCCAAAAAAGAAACTTCGTCGTCCTCTGACTTTTTTTCCTCTGTAACACACCCATCTGATCGTGCACGAATTAAAGAGGATATTTATAAAAGAATAAGAAGCGGTAACGATATATTGTGTCAAATTCCAACTTATATAGATCCGAACGTACAATTCAGTGATGATGATGAAGAAGAGACTCAAGAAGAAGTTAAAACAGAAAAATCACCCGAAGTTGTAAAGACGCCTGAATTCGTGTCTAAAGCGTCAAATGCTTTAGGAATAAGAAGGGGAGGAATGAATTTCAAAACTGTCGATTCTACTCCTTGGAAACCAGCTCCTCGGCAATCTTTCTCCACTTGCAAACCTTCAGCATTCAGAAGTAATATAGATATCCAATGTTTGTTGCCTCAGAGTGAAAATAAAGCATCCAGGTTTGCAAAAGTTATTCCAGATAAGTCTGTGAAGATGAATTTGATGGCACAATCAGAATTTAAAATACCAGCTGAAACGGGCGCTCGTAGGAAAAAATTGTCCACAATTTCTGATGATGAAGTTATAATAGTGAATGGGAAATGTTATAGTGTTCTGTCCCTTCTGGGATCAGGTGGATCTTGCAAGGTGTTTTCAGCGTTTGATGAACAGAAGAATTTAATAGCTGTTAAATGTGTAAAACTAAAAAACACAGATCCTTCAATTCGAGAAGGATATCGTAAAGAAATTGAGTATCTTAAGAAATTGCAGGGTTCAAACCGAGTCATCAAAATGTATGACTACGAATATCGAGAAGATGAGTTATTTTTGGTCTTAGAAAGGGGAGATATTGATTTTGCCAAGTACATTTCCAATGAAGCAAAATTAAAACGTTTATCTCCTATAATGATAAAATTTTATTGGCAACAGATGCTAGAAGCTGTTGCAGACATCCATAAATATGGAATTGTGCACTCAGATTTAAAACCAGCAAATTTCTTACTCGTAGAAGGAAATCTAAAGCTCATAGATTTTGGTATAGCAGCATTAGTTCCTGATGACAAAACCAGCACTTTTCGAGACACCCAAGTTGGCACTTTAAACTATATGTCTCCAGAAGCGATCACTCAAATGTCTACTCCTGATGCCAAGCAAGCATTATTTAAAGTCGGCGTCAAGTCGGACGTGTGGTCTTTGGGATGCATTCTGTATAACTTAGTTTACGGTCACACGCCCTTTCATAACCTTAAAAACCTGATGCAGAAGATCAATGCAATTATGAATCCCAGTTACGAGATTGTTTTCCAACCTTTGAATGATAAAAACCTTGTAGATGTCATGAAGCAATGTTTAAAAAGAAATCTTAAAGAGAGAGCATCAGTTGAACAACTCTTACGTCATCCTTATCTAACAGAAGATAAAACTTCTGCATCAAACAGTCAACTCATGAATGTGATGGAACAAATGCAGGTGTTAACTCCTAGAAGAATGAGTTATATCACAAAAATGGTACAAGAACTGTCTGCTAACAAAGAAAATTGATTCTTTTATCTACAATAAGCTTTCCATAAAACTGTGTTTATAAATCAAGTTTTTGATAGTAGATTGAAAAGTACTTGATCTTTCAAACTTTATTTTTAAAATACATAACAATTTTTAAAGTTTTTGACTTCTAACCAACTGCAAGTAGATTATGATTTTTAAATTGAGCAAAATTAAATAATCTTTTTAGTTTAATTCTCTATGGCTATTGCTAAAATATTGAGAAAAATTTCTTTAAAAATTATCAACTTTTAAGTATGTATTATAATGTGTAATATAAAAATATGCTAGCCTTTATGTGCAACTTATATGTATATATATAACTTATAATTATGTCTATTCTGGAATCCTGTTTCCTTTATGCTGCTAAAATCCTTTATGTGCAACTTATATGCATTTTGTAATTATGTCTATTTTAGAACCCTATTTTCTTTATGCTGCTTTATCAATTAGACTTCTCCCATAAATAAGAAAAGTAATAGCTTTATATGTTATTAGATTGAAAAAAAAATTTAATACTTGTTCTTTTATATTAATATTTTCATATACAACAATTTTCATGATATTTTGTTAATAAAGACATTTTGCATGAAATTCTTGTTAGTTAATAGTTTTCACTAATGCAGCTCTTTGTGCAAATGAATGCGAATGAATGCAAATAAAAGTTACATTGACATTAGTTATTAGGAATGTAATGAATATTCGGCTAAGTGTTATTTGGAAAAAAAATTTTCAATAAAGTTTTTTTGGGGGGGAAATCTAAAATTGTATTTTTTACTATAGGTTTTTAGAAATAGTTTTTACACATATTTGTTATTTAACATTATTTAAAAACTTGTATTTATACATTATTCAAAAGCTTGTTAATTTATATTATGAACGACGCATGGAAAGCAAAATTTAAAGAAAGCTAGATTACTTTAAATCAGGTTTGGCAAGGTTTAGGACAGAATGGTTTAAACCGTCCTGTCCAAAACCCTTTTACTCAAATTATGTCACAATTTTATCTGAACAATATTTAAGAGGTAAAAAAAACATAGAACTAATAACATATTAGTAATTAAATATACTAGAGAATATTTGTTTTTAAAAGTATAGTGTTTTATTAATATTGTTTGACTCTTCAGTTTTAAGCAAAGGAAGATTAATCAGTAATCAAGTTCATTCAATTGGTCCTCTCATTCAATAGTACATAGCTGCAGTTTGGCCTTGCCATACAGGTTAAAATATTATGTACTAAGTGCTTGGTTCGTCATAAACACGTTTATTTATCTATAGTACTATTCAAGAATACTTTTATTTCACTCATGTTCAATTCTTTTAGCATAGTGGTGATACATCACAAGTGTCAGTAACTGAAACTGATGTTATGCCCTTCAAAACTGTTAATACATTTTTCAGTTATTTTGTATTTTCAATTTAAACTAATATATTTATATTTAAAAACAATTTTTTTTAAAATAGATGTCTTTTTTATAATCCTGTAATGCAGAAATTATAAAAAAAATTTTAAAAAAATATTCTGAAAAATAAAAGGTTAGTTTTTGAACAAATTTAGTATTTTTTTTAAGAAAAATTATTATTTTTTAATATTGCCATATTTATCCTTATGCAAAAATTATTTTTAATCAGTATTAAAAGCATATTTATATTTAAAGGATTAGGTATTCACTTTTGTTGTTCAATGAATTGTGGAGCTTCAAAAATTATAAACTTTTTCCAATTATATTATATTTTCTTTTAATAAGTTATAGTAAAATGTATAAAAAATAGCAAATATTTATTGATACATGTAATTATTATGTGTACAATGGTTACACCTATAGAATTTTTACCTTTTACCAAAGTTCAAGGTTTTGGACAGTTTAGGACAAACCCAGTTTAAGACAGTAAAAGCCACATGTCCTGTCCAAAACCAGTTTAGGACGTCCAAAACTCCAACCCTGCTTTAAATTGAACCATGAGTTTTTTAATGCTGACTTTTTTATAATCATATTCGAGCAAGTCAGTATTTCATCATTTTTTAAACGCTTCATATTTTAAAAATTAAGAACTTTTATCACATTTTTGGTTTTTTGTTTTAACTAAAGTGAAGTATGTTAACGGAGCTTTTCCATTAGACTTCATTCTTATATTGTCATTTTTTTTTTTTTTTTTTTTGTATGATAAAACAGATAGCTAAGCTAGTAACATAGAATACAGAGATTCTCTTTGTTAAAGTTATATTTCAGAACTAAGAAAAAAAAATTCTGTTTATCTTTTGATTTTCTTTATTAACCTTTTTTTTTTATCAGTGTGTTTATTATGACAGCATTTTTTAAAGAGCGTTTGTGTCTCTAATGAACGTTATTCTTTTACGGTAACTGTTTTTTAAAAATATGGCAATGTGAAAAGGTTAAATTAAGATTTTGGCTTTAAATCCATTGTTTAAAAATTAAGATTTTTTTTTAGGTTTTTATCTCACTTTTTCTAAAAACTTATGTTTTAATTATGATGCGGCAATTCAAGGAGTCTTTATTGGACTTTAATCGTAACTTTTTTTTGAAAATATGGTAATTGAAAAACTGAAATGTTTAGCTTTAAAATTTTCTTTCAAAAATTAGATTGATTTTTATTTTTTCTATTTTGTTTTTGTATATAATCTTTGTTTTTACAGGCATTTTTATAATAGTGCTGCATTGCTAAAAACGTTTTTGATAAACATTATCTCTTTTAATATTTTGTGGATTTTTTCTTTTCTTTTCAGAGAACATTTTATTTTTAAATTATCACTCTTCAAAGTAAAATAAATTATTATAAGACTTCTAAAATTGTAAACACATTTTTATTTAGTTTAAATAATGCATCGTAACAGAGAGGACCTGAAAATGTAGCGGGGTATTTCACAAATTTGACAAATAGTTAAAGGGAAATATCAGTGTCAAAAGTGACAGTTTGGTTGTTTAAAGTTAGAGTTCGCAGCACTGCTATAATATCTGACATGTGACCCATGTTACATCTTTGTACAGTAGGGAACCGATTATACGGAACGATCAGGACCGTCGCTATTCCGGATAACTGATTTTTCCGGTTTTCTGAATCACTACAAAAAGCTGTTTTTTTTTATTGTTAAACCCAACTAAAAAAAAAAAATTTGGAAATAATCTTAAAAAGTAGAAAAAACGATGAAGAAATACACTAATGATTATTTCCAAAATGATGGTAAGGTAAACATCTTTCTAAAAAGAAAGAAAAATCCTAAAATCTTATGAGGAAAAAAAATTTTTTTTTTATATGGCATTCATCGAATTTCGTTCCGGTTTTCTGATTTCCGGATAACAGGTTCTGTACTGTACTTATATTTGAAAGTTTTTATTCTACCAGACCGTGTTAAAAAAAAACAATATGTACATTTCTTTCGCAATTTCAGTTATTTGGGCAACAAAATTTACTATCCTATTTTTTTCTTGAACTTTTATACTTGAAAAACTACCTTTTGCAACATCAATAGAGGAAAAACCTGGAATTTCTTTAGATTTTCATACTGGTCCAATTCTATAAACTTTTCTCCTTCTTTAGTGGATTCCTTTGAACTTTTATACAATGGATTTGTTATACCTTTTATACTTAACATATGTTTTTCAAATGCAGCAACATCCCTTTCAATATCCTGTTTGGGCCACTGGATTACTTCCACCGCATTCTACAAATGCTCTCATTCCTCTGCCCATATAACCCTCTTTACAGCAGCCCATCAACTACATCTTTCCTGCGAGTCATGGAGTAAAATTGCCAATAGATTTTGATGATATTGCAAAGTGTATACATCTGTTTGAATTGGGATAATGGCCCATCACTAAAAATTTTAATTTCTTTCAATGTCGACCATTTAAATTTATCAAAAAAGATTTCATTGAAAGTGTGGATTGCATATTTGTCATGCTACATATAGTCCTTTTTTTTTTCTCTCCATACAATCTAGTTGAGGAAGCCAAGCAATAGCAGTGTCACTGCCTACGAGTCCATATAAATTTTTCTAATTCGAACTCATCAATTACATTGGACCGTGTACCTTAATTAAGAAACTGAGCACAATCTTTGCTTCTGTTATTTTTGTTCCTCTGATACCACTTTACAGGCTCTTGTAAATGATCATCAAGAATTTTTATCACAAACTGCATAAAAAGGAAATTATTCTTACATTTTTCACACAGTCAGTTGTCGCTAGTAGGTATATTTAGTAATTCTATGCAATTATTGAACAAACAACTATGTGATTTTAATAGTAAATTCACATTTTCATGAATAACACGTAAACACACAAGTGGTGTTTTATCTACGCATAAAATATAGATAGGTCGTAGTACAGCAAACTTAGATTTGCCAATTATGTTCAAATGCAACTGCTTTAAAACTTGATATGCTTCCATCAAGGTGCCCAGCGAGTACTTTTTTTTGCTTTGAGGACTTTCTGTCTATCTTCTCTGACAATCGAGCACTCAGCTCCACCAGAAGTCTGGTAAGAAATTTTATCAGATAAGTAGAAATTTATTACAAATTTTTTTGTTTCATCAGAAACTTTGTTACTGGGCTGTTTCTTTTGTTTTGGTAGTAAGGTTACAGATTCACAGAGTCTGTGTAGAAGATTACAATGTTTTCTAGGGGAATGCACTTTTCGCTTTCTTAATAGCTTTTCCCAATGTCTGAGGGCATTGAATTAGTTTCAAATTAAATGATAATTTCATTCTCAGTTAAAATCCTTTTAAATGAGAACGTAAAAATCAGTGGGATGCAAAAATGGGGGTAGTTGTCCCTGAAAAGAGAAGCATAATCACTAGACAGGGAACAAAAATCTTTTTAAAAAAAAAAAAAATTTCAAATTCTCCATTATAAATTCATTTTTAGTGCAAATGTAAGTAGAAATTATGGTAAGGAATTAATTTTTCCCGACAAAATGTCCTTCATTTTTATCTCTCAAACGTATAAATTTAAATCTTATAGGAATAAGAAAAAGATTTAAATTTATAGAGAATATTTTAATATAATACTTTTACTGCTTATTCTTAACACACCTTAAAACTTCAATAGGTTTGAAATAGTTTTTTCATAAAAATTGTAATAAAAATCGATTTTTTGAATGCCAGAAGGGGTTTCACATTTAGACCCCTCTCTGCCTGCCACTTGTAAGAACCTAAACACTACACAAATTATAATTGTACTGTGCAAAGAAATAAATGGACCACCCTGAATAGCTTATGATCGGATCTTCACATTCTAGGACTTAATCTTAAAGGAGTGAAGGGGTTGACCTCAAATATGCTAATTAAATATTGCAGACCATATTTTAAGTTAAAAAATTAAAATAGAATTTTAAAATTCGATATCTTATTTGATAGATTTCGCTCACATTTTGTATTTCGCCATGCATAATTACATTCTTGAAAATGATGTAAAAAATTGCATACCTTACAATTAAAAATTGTTTTACTATTATTAAATAATAAATATTTGCCGAAAGTTATTTTTTGCTTGAAAATATCTTTGGAATTGCATGCAAAAAGTTCTCTAGATATGGTAAAATACACGAAAAGTAAAATTAACAATGAGGTTGGGATCAAACTATTTGGAGGTCAGGATTCTGAATTTGTCAAAAAAAGGTATGTTTATTCAGAGAAAGTGAAGATTAGATGAAAAGTTATTCGGAATCGTTCAATTTTTTTTGTGCATACTAACAGATGTGCAATTATAATCCCTTATATTCAATTCAGAAGCATTGAAATTTCTTCATTATTGGGCATTGCAACCTTGGTGTGTTAGCTTGATTGCCACATTCAGTACAGGGAGGGTTAAAATTCCCACCAACACTTGAAAACATATTTTCTAACCAAAATAAAATAGAAAATTTTATTAAAATCCTTGTTAGATCATAATTATACTCGTCACAACAGGTTTTCATACATGTTTTTTTTATTATTAAATCATAATTAGTAATTTAAATATGGCCTCATTACATATGAGCTCTTGTTAAATCAGAATAAGCAAGTTAGAAAGCAGTAACAAAATAAAATTTGAAAAAGGGTTGTGCAATGTTCTACACTCTAGAAATTCTGTATTTTTTTTTTTTTTTTTTTTTTTTTTTTTTTNGAGAGAGAGAAATCTAAGGTTTGCCTTCCAGTGGGTGTAAAAATGTACACGCTTTATTGTAGAGAAATAGAATTTTGTTCAAAAATTAACAATCTGTATATCAAGGTATGAAAAACCTCAATTTTTTCAAGTCCAATTAGAATTTTAAAACATCTCCGGGCATATTTGGTTGTTGTTGGCCATTAAGCAGAGGGGGTGCCATCTATGGCCAAAAGTTTGACTTTTGCCACACCCGATTATAGGGCGGATCCATTTATACAAGTACACCCACCTATTGTAATTTTGACCTGAACCAGAGAACGATCCATCTCAATTTCAGTACCCTCAGATGTATTGAGTTCTTATGGGAACATGGAGAACTTTGTGACCCGACAGATTAAGCAGGCACCAGTCATTATCTACTACATGGGGTGTCTTTGGCAGGCTGGATTCGAACTCCCGTTCTGACAAACGCGAGTCCAGCGTCCTACTAACCAGGCTATCAAGGCAGAGGGGTGCCACCTACGTCCAAGAAGCATGTTTAGTAATATCATTTTTGACATCTGTGCGCATGCAAGGTTATATTATGCACCTTCATGTTGAGTAGGTTATCCTGGAAATCGAAGGAATCTTGTGAAGAATCATATTTTAATCAAATTCTGATCTTAAAGGTAAATTTTTAAAAATATATTCCAAAACTCGCTACAGTGAATCATCTGAGAACCTAGCAATAATTTGACTATAAACGATGGTTTACTTAGTACAAATTCTTATAAAAATGATTTTTAGCATATGGTTGAAAGTAATGATCGCACTAATACTTAATATGTTTATAAATTATTAAATAAATACTGTGAAGTCCTCGTGCAGCGAATTTATCCCTATTGTAATTTTATCAGAATTTTAAATAACATAAAAAATATTTACAATATAATGAAAAAGATGTATCCTTTAACAGATTTTTCAGATATTTATCATTCGATTTTTCTCATTCAAACAGAAGAAAATCGCAATTTCCGTACAATTCCGTACCAGTGTTTAAATGTTATTCTAGATTATTCTTTTCTTCGCTATATAAAATCTGAACATAATTTCATACTTGTTTAGGGTAATTTTATTTTTCTTAATTGATATTTTAAAAACAACCTTAATGGATAACAGTTTACAAGCAACACTAAAGGCTAACTAATTGCAGTTGATGACATAAAGTATAGTTTAAATTTTCATTTTTCATGGAAATCTTTTTTGAAAAAAATTGATTTTTAACAATTGATTTCTACAAATTCTATTCAAATTGAAATTAATGTAAAGATCAACAAATTAAAAATTAGCACACGAATGCAAGGTTGTCCAATTTATAAATTAAATAGGCAAATATTGAAAAAATATTTGTTATTTATCTATAGAGTACAAACTTATCTTTACCTGGACAAACATAAAACTAATATCAGAAAATGTTGGACACCTGTAATCAAAATGGAAAAATTCAAAACTATAAAAAAAAAACAATTTATTTACAAATAATATTTACATTCACAATAATTTAGTCATCATCAGAATCCTGAGCTTTACTTTCTATTTCTGAGTAACTATTTACAGCTTCAACCAAATCTTCTTCACCTAACTTCAGCCGTTCTCCTTAAAAATGAGAAAAGAAAACATAACAAATGCATTCAAAAAATTTTTTAAAGCATTAAATTTTTAGATATTATAGTGCACTGTGGGCCAGAAGACAATGATCTTTGGCCAAAAGTCAAAATTAAATTTTCAACTCAACTTTTTGAAGGCAGTTTTAATATCGCCCAAATTAAGTATTCATAATTATTCCAAACATTACAATTTACCTTTTGGACCAACAAGAGTACAATGTAGTGAAAAATATGCTAACAAAAATTTTTTTAAAGCAATTTTTAAATTTATATTTCAGAAATATATATAGGAATTTCACATTCCTGTTACATTTTTATCAGAGTAATTAGTCTGAAATTATAGTACAATGTTTCAATGTGTTGGATTAGTTAATACTCTTGACAAACTTATAGTTTATATCTTATCATTTGACATTTTACAATGTTTGAATCACTTTCGAAACTTATTTCCAAAAAATTCCATGAGGTAATTAGCTAAACTTTTTTTTGTTGTCTTCTTCGATGTTTCTTCTTTTGAAAAAACCTGCCCCATTTTACGCATATTGCAAAGGTGGACTAAATATAACAAAAAACAAAAATTATGTTTTTTCCTTCATGTTTTCGCGTTATTTTGTAATATTACTTCGGAAATATAATTTGCTTTTCATTTTTAATATAAAATTACGAAAATTAATATATTTTCATTGCTATATTTAACAATTTAAACGTAGTATATATATTTTTTATTTTTTTGCTCGCCATATTTCAGCCGCCATTTCCCCCCCTCTTTTTTTGATATTTTTTGTGTATTTCAAAATTTCAACTATGAATTCAATTTACCTGCACATAAAAACCCTAAATAAAACCCCCAAAATTTTGAAACGAATTTTATCGAACTACTAATTTTGGCCACGAAACCTTGGACGCTAGCCCACTGTGTAGTGATAGAATTTAAAAAAAAAAAAAAGAACATCATTACTTTTAACTCGGAAAATGACATGTTAAATTAAACATTTTAATTTGCATTGGAAAATAGTAACAAACATAATAGTGTGCAAACACAGATTGATTTTTAAATTTTTTTTTTTTATTTAAATGAAAATTTATATAAAATAAGCATCAAGAAATTGAAAATCTAATATTTATAATTCAGTTGGACCTGTTAAACTAAATACAGCAAAAGAAGTTGTGACGTTTAGATAATTGTTGAATCAAATAATAGCAACTTTTAAAAAAAAAATTTTTTGTGAAGGTTTTAACTTAAGTGTTATATTACCCGATTGAAAATATCATTTGTTTCAAAAATATACAAATATGAAATATTGTATTGTACTCAGATTTCATATTTGTAAATTTTTGAAGCAAATTAAGTTTTCAATCAAGTAATATTTTACCATTGGATTATTTGTTTAATATTTATAGCTATGTTTTTAGGTACTGGAAAACACCATTACTAGTTAAATAATTATGGCATTATACTACAAACTTATTTGTTTGAAAAATTAACAGTTGTACCAATAGATTCAACTCAAAAATTGAAGAGATTCAGAACGAGACATGATTCTTAGAATGTACCCATAATTATTTAGCTTAAAATGATAGGTGCTATGCTTTAAACTTAAAAGAAAGAATTGTAGCCATGGTTGATATCATCGGGCATGATCCGAACACGCTTGCCCTTACCAACACTCTAGGCGTGATTTGGCTCCAAAATTTTTTTTACTTTATTTATGATAAAATAAAATTTTAAAGACAATTTAAGATAATTAGTAGGAATCTTCTTTGATAATAGTTTTATAACTAAAAAATCATATATGTTGGAATTATAAGTGTAACTATAAGGAATTATCATATTTTTTTTTTCTTTTTTTAATTTACAAGATTTTACAAACTTAAAACATATAAATACAGTAAAGATAAGAAGAAACACTTCTAAATATTAACCATAAAATCTGATACGTAATTTTTAAATAAAAATTGAAGGTTTGGGAAATTAAATATGCAGATCTTTCCTTTATAAAGTTTAACTGAAATTTAAAAAAAAGTTATCATTCAGAATTTTTTTTTTTTTTTTAAATTTCACTTGAATTATTGTTTAAGTTTAATTGCATTAAGAATGGTATATGGTACAATAATTAAGTATATTTCAAGTTTTTAGATTTAAAATTATTCTTTTGAGGGTTTTTAAAATACTCTTACAATTCAATTGAGTAAAATATTCTTTCAATTTGAGTCCTTTTTAAGGACATTTTAAAGCAGTTTTGTTAATACTCACTGATTAATTCAGCAATGGCTTTCTGTGTTCTTTTCTCCAATTTTTCAAGTTTCTTTGCAACATCTCTTTTTAGATCCCAGTCAGGCTTACGGGGTGCCAAGCTAGCTAAATCCTGCAAAAAATTCAAATGCCTTCAACTTTTAAAAATACATCATCATTAAGATTTCTAAGGCATATAATTATATTGAAAATTTTCTTATAAAAGAGATAGTTAAACAAAATATTTTTTAACAATTAAAAAGAAAGGAAATATTATAAATAAATAGAATAGATCTAAATGAAAGATAAAAATTGAATTGCTTTCAAGCTTTAAAGAATAGGAAGAATAAAATTCTCTATATTTGAAGAGCTGATTGATTTAAATAACAAATTAGTGAATTAAGAGAGTTAATGAGATTGTAAATTAATAATATTAGTGAATTAAGAGTGTTAATGAGATTTAAATTTTATACACTAATGGTAGACTGTTTTGCTTTTATTTCTTGTTTTCAAAAGTTTCTAATTCACAAAATCTATAAATTCTTATCACTTCTTTAAGCCATTTGCTTCATGGCATTCATATTATTAGCATTTTTATTTTCTACCAAAACAAGGGTTTTCATTGACTGTTTATTTCTAAATGCACTTATATTATTCTTCAACTTCAAAAGTACTTAGAAACTTACTTGGTTCCTTCATCCACTAAAATCTTCAAAATAAAAAGACTTAGCAAAATAAATAATAAGACTAAAATAAGAAAGTTATTCAATAAATTTCAATTAAAAAAAAAAGACATTACACTTGCCTTTATCCACTCAGCTTTCAATTCATGAATTTAAAAAAAAAGAAAAAACAGCAGTTAAAGTTGGCCAAAACATGTAACACTTGTAAAAATGATGCAAAGGTAGAAGCTAACTGGCAAAAACAACTAGGCAAAAATAATCTAATCAAAATTTCATGTCATCAACATTCGCCATTGATTAATAGAAGTTGTTAAACAATGTCTTATAAAATAATTTTTTTTTTTGAAAGCAACAGCTAAAAAAAATATTTTAATACCAATATTTAAGCTAGAAAATTTTGTTCTCTAAAAAATAAAATAAAAAAAGACAGTTTATTCAAAATGACAAACTAAAAAGAAGTTTCTTAAATTTAGCGCAAAAAGAAAATAAAAAACAAATAAACTAATTTTATAAAAAGAATTCATATTTTACATCATTCTTTTTTAAATTACAGCTTATATATTTTACTATAATCAAAAAGAAGTTTCACAAATGTACACTATATGACCAGAAATCAGATTTACATTTAATGATTTAATGACATCATAATTATTTTAACATTATAAATTAGATACTTCACTTTCCGATACAAAATAAATAAGAAAATTTGTCAATTTTTCATGTAAAAAATTTATAATAAATAAATAATAGTACAGCTGCCAACATTTACTAGAAAAAATCCACTAGATTTTATGAAATATAAATTTCATGATAACTCTAGAATAATATGTAAAATATTTTATATATAAGTAATTTTAGGGATTTTTATTGTCATCAAAATGCAAAAACTTTATTAGACTTACAACAATAAACGGTTTGCAATATTTTTCATTCAAGATTGGCATAAAATGATCTTGAATTTTATATGTTTTTTACTATGTCAACTTATAATTTTGAATGTTACTATATTAGTAATATTTTTTTAGGATTTCTGTGACGTATTTCTCTAATACTAATATCTTTCTGCAAAATACTTTTAAAAATAACAAATATACATATCACTAATTTAAAGTGACAGAAGTGTAACTTCAAAAAAAAAAAAAAACTCTTTTTGGATCAAATAAAATAATTCTTTTTTGAATATGTAATATTTTTTTATTCTAATATTATGGGCAATATTCTCACATTTTGTAGGGGGGGGGAACACACTAATTATTTCCTTTCTTGCGTTTTGCAAATTATTGTCACATTTACACTTAATGTAATGTGACAATTTTAATTTCTAATTTTACCTAAGCCTTTAATTTTTCTTTAAACATTATTCCTCTTTTTTTTAATTTTAGCAATCTTTTTAACTTTCTTGGTGACCTTTCTCATGGTCAGCGCACTTCCTGTGGGGAAAGTCAACCAACCCCTCTTTTCACGCCTTTCTTTTTCTTTAAATTCTCTTGTCACCCATTTCCTTTTAAAAGATATTTTTTTTGTGACACAAAATGTGTTGGAATCATATTGCTTGTTTGTTACACAATAATCAAAATAAGTAGTTTTACAAAAATAAATGTTTAGTTGAACAGAAAGTTTTGTGTGATTTTTAGCTTTACCTTTATAGCTATTATTTATCGCCTTTTTTACTTCTGTATGTGGTGAGTACCTTTTTTATTGTTATGGGCATGCATATATGTGAATTTATTAGTTTTTCTTATTGGAAACATCAGCTTACTGTATTAAATCATATATATTGTTTCGATATAGCATGACTTTACCTTATTTATCATTAATCTTTAATTTTCTTAGTTTTCACCCTTATTCTAAATTTGGTGATACCAATTTATCCAATTTGTTCAAACCTCACACTTTGCGACCCTTTGAACCTATTGGGTTATTGTTATCCCACATTAGCATTGTACTACCACTTTCCTTAACGATCACATTCCCCTTTAATTTAAAATAATTACCTTTTATATATTTCGGCCTTAATTATATTTATTATGACATTCCTATCATTTAACTATTTTTTAATCATGACTATATCCAATTACTAGTACATATACCAAATATTTCAATCTATTAATTATAATTCATAAATAACTTTGCTTTATACGCACCAAATAATAATTTTATTAAACTCTTACAATTATCATCACATAAAAAAAATCATTTAAAAAAATGTGAAATCCGTAACAGTAACTCTGGGGAAAAAAAAGATCGACGACAAAATCGCGCAAAACAAATTCTTCAAAAACAGATTACTAAATAGGTGTTTTCCTTTCGAGATTCAGTTGTTGTAATAAATAATATCGTATTAAAAATATCAGATTTTAAAAGCTATGAGGAAATCAATAGTAATAACTGCATAAAAAAATCAAACAAAATTTCTGCATAAAAGAAAATCAAAATTTTTTACTTCCTAAAGGAAAAATCTTTCTGCAAGAACTCGGTAACGTTCTGTGATAATGTTGCCCTTTCAAAATAAATCTGACTTGGGAGACAGCAATTTATTATTGATTAAAAAAGACTTTTTAATTAACTTAAAAAGGGAATTCTGCATAAAAATAAACTAAAATTTTAGAATTAAAAATTTTAAAAAAAACTTTAAAATGATAACTAGAAATGAGGCTTTGATTGATGATAATGTATTAGTAATACTTATTTAAATATTCAAACAACCAATAAATTGTATACAAATTCTATTTCAACCGAGTGATTTTTTAGGAAACTTGCTCAATTTTAAGAAATTTTCAAAAATGCACAATAGCCAGGGGAATTTTTTTTAAACCAATGGTAAAATCCAGCAGAGTTGGCAACTATGTAATAAGGTAAACTTACAACTTCTTCAATTAAAGGTTCAGGTTTGGCAGCTTCAAGATGGTTCTGAATTTCTTCCTCAACTATAAAGGAAATGAATAACTGAAAATTTAAATAATAATATTGGACTGAAAGAGTCCTAGAACATAAAGATCTGACCATTAGATCAAAAGTTATTAAGGGTAGTTCATTTTTTATTCTGTGCACTGTACAAAGACTTCTTTTAGGAATTAAAAAGTGCAAGACATTTAACAAATTCACAAATATTTGACAATTTTCCAGCATTTCTTGTATTAAATATTCTCTGTCAGAGAGGCAAAATATAGTGAAAAAATTAAATATAGAAAGAAACAATTATTTAGAAAAATAAATTAGCTCATAAAAACAAGAATTAGATATTTCTTAATAATTTCATATGTTTAAACAAGCCATTAATTATTCTAAATCATATTTATGAATTTTTCTTTTCAATCTTAAAAACCTTTTACTTTAATTTTGAACACAAGTGTAAATTGAATCCTCCTACAAAATCCCACTCTTAAAAGTAGTTAGGTAGGAACTATATTTCAAAAATAATTTATAATCACTACACAAAAAAAAATAGTTATAGTTAACTACAAAAAAAATTTATGATTTTTTTGATCACCAAACAAAACTGAACTAAACCCATAGAAGGGTAAGGCCTACTGTGCCCATCTCAGTTTTCTTCACCTTTGGGCTTTGGGGTGCAAGAGCAGATGTTCCAGTAAGGTCCCAACGCAAAACCCCCTGTGTTTAGTTCCCAAGCATGATCGGTACTCATTTTATCGACCCACTGAAGGGGTAAAAGACTGAGTCAAGCCTTGCCCAGTCCAAGTTTCAAACCGAGGACCTGTCGCAGGACAGTGCAAAAGGCTGCAACCCATCCCCGCCTTTTTCTTATCACTGGTTAATGATAAAAATTTCAAACGGAATTTCAAACGAAAATATTAAATATGCAAAATATAAATGGAATCTAGAATTATTTATAGACTTTACTTATCAGAAAATGGAATAGATCAAGAAATGGAAAAGAAAGAAAAAGAAAGAATATAATACCTGATTCTGGTTTGGCCTTTGGCAGTTGGCTTAACCTCAATTGTTCATCATTAGGAGTGTAATTTCGAAATAAAGGCCTGCAAAACATAATACCTTTTTATCATGCCTTCATATACTACAATACAATAAATGTAAATATAGGGTCTATCAAATAGAGTGCAAAACAAATACATGCAATTAAACATGTTGATGCCGATGAACATAATTTTTGCATAAACTTCAGTGTATTAGACAGTAAATACTTTTAATTAGTAAACTTATTATGATTAAATGATTTTAAATATTAAAATTCACACGAAACTGGAAAAAATGGCAATCTAAGAATTTTTTAATAATAATAAAATAAAAAAAACACAACTTTTTCTTTAAAAAAAAAAATAGATTAATCAAAGATGAGAAAAATGTAATGTTTTTTTTTAATCAAATGATACAAAAGATTATTTTATAATAAATAAATTGTATTGTTCATAGCATCAAAGTAAAAAAATATATATAACATTAAGCAAATGCAAATAAAGATTATGAAAAATTAAATTATGAAAATGTAAGACATTTAATGGATTTTACAATGATTTAAAATAAAACAAAAATTTTGAATAAATTTATAGCTCAAAATAAGATTTACCACTTAATTGAGAATATATTTTCAACTTTAGGAGATTAATTTTTGGTGAATTGAAAAAAGGTTTTATGAATGTTAAATCGAAAAACTTCAAAAAAAAAANAAAAAAAAAAAAAAAACAAAAAAAAAAAACACTTAATTACTTTTAAAAAGTACCAAAAAATAAGAAACAAAGCTAAAAAACATGGCATTCCACCACTTTCTCTCTAATTTCACGTGCTGTAACAAAATCACATTAAAATATCTGTTTTTCAAGTACCTGTATTTGTTTTTCAACTATTTCGAAATTAGTAGAAACAACTGCCACAAAAAAAAAAGAAAGATCAAAATATATCTTGCATTGACTATAACATCAACACGAATAAAGCATATTAAAACTGATTCTTAATATGCGCAACTTGAATCTTCACTCAGAACTATCTACTAAAAGTACAGAGAAATTGTAAACAAAGATACCATTACCTAAGTTTGAAACCTAGAAAAATATAAATTTTCTTTAAATTAGATTTTTTTTAAAACATGGAATTACAAGCACAATTTATGTAACTCTAGAAGAATTGAGAAGTAATTCTTAAAAATATTCATTAAATCTTAGCATTGAAATGTTTGTGAGCGAACATACTAAGGAAGAATATACAACGGAAGTACAAAGAATATACAAGGAAGAATATACAACGGGAGTACAAAGAATATACAAGGAAGAATATACAATGGAAGAAACAAAATAGCTGCTAAACCTTAAAAAATAAATGTTTATATAAATTGCTGGATACCTGATAGATCTCTCAACACAGAACAATTTGAACAGATGTTTGATTGATTAAGTAGTTAAACAGTGTTTTCATCTCAGAAAAAAAATGGGTGGGAATTTCTCACCCTTTCTCAAAAACAGGGTGAGATTTCAAAAAGTTANTACCTAAGTTTGAAACCTAGAAAAATATAAATTTTCTTTAAATTTGATTTTTTTTAAAACATGGAATTACAAGCACAATTTATGTAACTCTAGAAGTATTGAGAAGTAATTCTTAAAAATATTCATTAAATCTTAGCATTAAAATGTTTGTGAGCGAACATACTAGAAAAGAATATACAACAGAAGTCATGCAGTAAGAAAAACAAATAGCTGCTAAACCTTAAAAAATAAATGTTTATATAAATTGCTGGATAACTGATAGATCTCTCAACACAGAACAATTTGAACAGATGTTTGATTGATTAAGTAGTTAAACAAAACTTGTTTTTATAATATTTCATACACTGTAATGTTACAGATTGTTTCATTATTTATTTAACTGAAAAAGCAAACTATTTTAAGATTTCTAACTTTAAATCTTAACAATTGCAACCTGAAATGCTGATGGTATTTTATTCTGCCAACAGTTTCGGCAACTTATGACTAGTTTCAATCCTTTTGTTGTCATTTAATTTTGACGAAATATATTTGAAACTTACTTTTAAGAGGCGTTTTAATTTTTAAAAAAATTATATTGATTTGGATTATCATACATTGTCAGATTATTATACCTAGTCAGATTTCCTAGCCTTTGATTATTATACCTAGTCAGATTTCCAGGTACCCACCAATTACCTAGCAGGGTAGTAAAATTCATTACCTAGATCGGCGAATGAATTTTACTATACTCTGCACCAGTTTTTCGTTTCAAGACGTGATACAGGATATCACACCAATTTTACCAATCATCACTCCTTTATATTTTCTATTACCAGATTCAGAACTATTGTAATTTTAAAATTATGGTCAATTCCATGAAATGGTATCAGACATGACATCTGTCATGTCTGATACAGATAATCAATCAAAATTTGTGAAGATATTTTGTAGCTAAAATTATGCACAAAAAAAAAATTGTCCAACTTTAGAAAATTTGAATCTTTTAAATCCCGTGCCCCTTGAAGTTGGCATCAATGATTTCAGCAATATATACTTTTTTTTCCACTTGGAAAACAGACTACAGAAATTAATGAACTTGATTAAAATTCACCGAAAACGGCTTACTAACTTCGGAAGCTCTTCAGTGCTAGCATTATTTTCAGAACCATTTTCGTTAGTAACACGATTTTTTAAATTCCTCAAACGTTCACGCCTCTTAAGGGCTTCTGCTTCAAGTTTACTAGTTTCTTCGATATCCATTATGTTCTATCAATCTTGTTTCTGTCAAGGACAATTCACACATTTGTTTATTGTTTACAAAATTAAAAAAATAAATAAAATTTAAAAAATAATTAGACGAGAATAGTTCACTTCACTTCAAAAAGAATATGATATTTTTTAATGTACTTTATTCTTAAAATATGAAGGGAAAAAAATTTAAAAAGTGCGTAACAGAGGAAGATTTAATATTTTTTCAATATATAAAACGATATAATAGTTATTATAAATCAATAATTTTTACTCGCACTGGCTTGAATGCCAGACTTTTTGGTGATCTACTGAAATGGATGATCGCCAAGTGAATTCCATTGGCGATCGAAATGGGTTGCTGGTGGCGATAAAATTATTGGCAATGAAATTATCAACTCCTGTCAATAAAATTATTGTTACAATAATGAATTAATTAAATTAAACTTCAAGAACTTTTCTCAACTAGTTTTAAACTTCGCAGTTTGCATTTTAAAGCATATGATTGTCATATTGAGAGAGAAGAAAAAAATTCTTATTATTTAATTCTATTATTATTTATTATAAATTCTTATTATTCATTTTACCTTATTTATTATTATTTATTATTTTTTTCCTTTAATCAAAGGGAAAAAAATTTGGCACAGAATCCCATAATTATATTTTCGCGCGAAGTAAATATTATAAGTACTCATAAATCAAATAAAATAATTAAATGGATAAACCCATTTAACTTGAAAAAGGAGAAGAAAATTTTTGGTAATATATGTTAAGAAATGGACACTACTATAAAAAAAAAATCCTTCCAAACAGGCTACACAGTCTAATCCCTTTAAACTCGTAGAAAATATTCAAGAGCAGCGGAAAAAGGGACAACCAATTTCTGAAATATTTCCCCTGTGGGGAATTAATCTTAGACTATGTCAACCTTCATTTATCAAAAGGTACCTCAAAATAGTATTGAGTTAACATTTCTTATATACTAGTGATTTGGTATTTAATATTTGTAGTGGTAGTTACGCCACACCCCCAACCCTGCTCATCCCCCCCTCCAACTTGGTCAAACAAGATTTTCAAAGGGATTAGTCAGACAAGTGATGAGTCAGACCAGTGACAAATGATTCAAACAGGATATTCAAATTTGGGGATTTTTCTGGTTTGCCACCAAATGATCAGAATGTCAAATGTTAAGAAGCAGAAACAACGATTAAGAAATAACGATGAAAACGATGACAATTACAGCGTATCAAATGTTAGGTGTATGTAGTTAAAAAATCTGGCAGCCAAGCAGCAGCCAATTTCGTCATATTTTGTTTTCTTTTGCTTAAAGGTTACAAGCGTCAATTAAAAACATCTTATTGATTTGTATGTAACTTCACAACCTATATGCTTCTGCTTTTCTCAATTGACATAGGAATGTGAAATTGTTAAATGTCAAATTAGTAATCGATCAGTTAAAATTTAATTTAAAAATGGCTGAGAGCTCAGAAGATAGTGAATTATTAGTCGTTAATGTATCAAATTCATCCACGTCCATGATCAGTGCTGCCTTTGGATTTACGGAGAGCATTAGATGGGATCCTACGATGAGTGTAGATTGGAGCAAAGAAACTCCATCACCACAATGCTTAATGAGAATTAAAAGGTATATCTATGCAAAAACTTCATTTAAAATATTCCTGATATAAATATAAGTATTGTTTGATAATTTTAATGTCAAGGTTATTGATTTTTCAGTACTTACGATATTGTTTGCTTTTGAATATTTGTCAACAATCTGGTAGACGAGATTACGTATTTTATCTAATTCCGTTTTTGTGTGAAATAACTTTCAAATTTTGGTTTATACAAATTTTGATGAATATTTCATAACTTTGACGTTAACGTCTGGATAGTGATTTTAAAAATGAATCCGTTTTATTATAAATTGAAAAAATAACGTCATCTAAAATAATTTATGTAAGGTTTTGGATTAAGTTTTAAAATTCGGTTATTATTGTAAAAAAATAATGTTTAAATTGTTGAATCATATATGGGGATTGAATTCTAATTATACTAATAAATATTTAAATGAGCATTTTCAAAGTATAGATTAACTTTATATTTTGATTATGAAGACATCTTTACTTATCCACAATTGGATAGGTCTGCGTCGATTTTTATGCGCATTAAGCAAAATAGCATGAACAATAAATTTGTTGCCCAAATTTCAAATTAAAATTTATGTGTTTACAAAAGAATGAAGGATTTACAATGGTATACTAATGCACACTTAAAATATTGAGTATGTTATTTATAAGAAGAAAAAAACTGAAATCTTATGTATCTTATAGCATTTTAAATACTAAATTGTTTCAAGGGATTCTAAGAAACTTTTTTTTTTAAACAAAAATTTATAACTTTTTAAAATAAAATATTCAGGTATTGTAGCTTTTTCTCTAATATATCTATAAAAATTAATTGATGAATTTTTATCTTGTGGAAGACACATGATGCTTGTTATAATAAAAAGAATAAATGGAAATTAAGTCACTGTCTAAGTTTTATTTAATTTTTAGTTCATGTTTTGAATTTTTTTCTGTTATCAGTGTGAACAAATTTGTATAGTATTATGATTTTATTCAATTTTTTAATCTTTTAATAATAAATCTTTTATATTTCAAAACAGTTCTAACAAAAAATATTTATAATTCTTATAGGTTGGCATGATTTTATCACTTGATTTAAATCATGATTTGAATCACTTGAATTTTTTTATAAAAAGTCATTGACTTAAATCGACTGTAATTTAAAAAAAAAAAATATATTAATAAAGAGAAGCTGAATTTTTTTTTTTACAAAAAATATTAATTTAATTTAAAAAATAATTTTATATAATTAAATTAATAAATGCATTATTAAGGGTGTGATTTTTAAAAAAAATCTGATTTCAGCGATAATAATGGCGTTTTTCTTGCTAATGAAAGGGTAATATAATGCATGTAAATTAATATAGTCATATGCATAGATTTCTTTCATTATTTAAGAAAAAGCATTGATTTTAAATGAGGAATATTTAAAAAAAAGTCAATTTTTAAATATACTAATTGTTTAAATAATTATTAATTTATGTATAAACTATTTTTATACTTTATGAATAATTGGAATAATGATAAACATTATTTTGGGTAGAATTTTTTAAAAAGTCTTTTTACATTAAATTAATAAAGGTTATTTCCTGAAGAAAAAAAAAGAAAATGATGTGCAGGTAAATTGTTAATACAGTGTTGCTATAGCACATGAATTTCGAATTTGTACTATCATTTTTGATAAGACCAGTCGGGAATGAATCTAGCACTTCCCATTTTGTAATATTTATAGTCATTATTCAAGCATTTTTATGTATTTTCATTTTTTTTTCTTTATCAGGGCCCATACGAAAAACTTCAAATTATTAGCCAGTAATTTTGCCAAATATCATAAGTATTAGCTAATTTTTGAAATTTTTAGCAGAAGGTAAAACTTTTATTAACAATTTTTCGTGGTTGATTTTTTCCTGTAAAAAACTTCAAAATCAAAATACAAATTTACTATGAATTGAATTATTTTTTAAAATGCAAATTCAAACCAATAGTCAATTTGCAGTAATGGAGCAATGAATGGGAAAAAGTAGGAACATGTTGTGGTTAATTTTTAAATATTTCTTAGACTAGAGCTGTGATATAATCATCCCTCAACCATCACTGCTGGTAGAAACCTCCTCTTTTGGGGGCCTGTTACGGAGATGAGTCTTATTTTTCCAAAATTCTATATTCAAGAGGCAGTGAGTTTACTGCTTGCATATAACATTTCGCAATTCATATGCGCATGATTTAAAAATCGCCCATAGTGAATTGATCGTATTAACAAAAATTTTAAAAAATTACTCTTTGTAATTTGTTATCTATTTTGAAGAAAATAAAGTTTGGTAAATCTTATTTTGTAATCTGTAAAATATTGCAATGCAAAAGATTTTCCTTTGTTCAAAATACTTTACTGGTATTTTAAGATAAAAAGATATTCTACATGGATGCATTTTAAAATTTTATCTAATTATGTAATAAAAATAATAATTTCTATATATTTCTATCAAAATTATAATAATTTCAATAAACTAAAAATAGATTTAACAAATTAAAAAGAATAGTCTTTGTCTTTTAATAACCTTGCAATTACGCAATAAATTCTATTAATTATCATAATGCTTGTGTAATGTCATATTTTTCAATTAATTCTTATATGCCTTGCAGGGTTTAAGCTGAGTCTAAAAATTCATTAGCAAAAAAGCTAAAATCTGAAAAAAAGTTTTAGCAAAATGCTAAAATGCCATTAGGCTTATAAAATTACTTTATATCAAATAAGTACTGTAAGTTATCTGACAAAGAATAGCTTAATGTACAAGACTATCAAAAACAATACCTATAACAAAAAAAAACACATTTATTATTTATCAAAACATTTTGGTTTATAATTAACAATCTTCCTTTCTTTCATGTTTGCCCATTTTACAAATGCTTCTTGAAAGTTAAATGCACTTTCAGGGCCCTCAATATTAATCATTAACAAATTGTTTACATGGTTGATTAACAACCTGTTTCGAATATTAGTTTTAATCAAATTAAGGCAGCTAAAGCCCCTTTCACAGTCAACAGTGTGCATTGGTATTGTTGCACAATACTCTATAACAGAAGTTATTAATGGGTACTGTTCAGACACATCATTGGTATATAAAAATAAAAGTAATTCATTAAATGACATGTTTTTACATCGTTGCATTAAGATGTGTTTAAATAATCCCCATTCACAAAGTAATTCAGTTTCTGTAAACTGAAAATCTTTTCTGGGAGATTCCGAAAACAAATTGAAAATGCAACGGATTTCCTTTACACCATAATGCTGTAATTCTTCCGAACTATGGGGCATCCTGCTAGGTATAAATATATTGAACATTTCGATTTTATCCAAATCTCCCAATCTATCAGTAATATTTTCAATGATACAGTTTAAAAAATTGTGCATCAAATTACGGAATCTTTCCCTCTGTTTCAGTCCATCTAAAATTATATGGCCCTGAAACTCAAATTTTTCACTTTCCTTCTTAGGCACATCATCTAAAAAACTCATATAATGAGTGCCGGTGCCATTTTTTATTTCTTCTAAACTTGAAATACAAGCCTTCACACTTGATTGAACATATTCAAAATTTAAATTAGATTTTTGAAATATGAGGCTTAATTTATTAATGTTGAACATGATATCATTCATGATGGCAGTGGTTGCTAAAAACAAAAAAGTAGTTATATTTTTTAACAACCCTTGAGCAACAGGACGTTTGTCATCCATTAAAACACTAACAAGAGCTTGCCAGTTGCAATCCAGAGCTGTAACTGAATTCCCCAAATCCTTTAGCAAAAATGCGAAAATGCTTTGTTGAATTTTAGCATTTTTGAGGTGTACTACCGTTTTTGAGGTGTACTACCGAGCTACCGTAGCGGAAACCCTGATGCCTTGTAAAATTTTTCATGAAAAGTTTTACAGATGCCATTCTTAGTTGGCAATTATGTCAATTGGATGTTTTTTGATAGTCTTTGAACTGATTTCAACTAGCAATGTAACTATCAAATTATTTGCATTGGTTGCTGTGGTCTACACATATTAGAAAATACTACAATTATTTAACTATGTAAAATTGATAAACATATTTATATTCTTTTTTCTTTGTCAACTAAGCATTGTGCTCTAAAAATATACAATTTCTGTTTAAATCTCGTTGACACATATTTTAGCATACTTAGTATATTACTGAGTGGGTCCTTGAAAGTCATTGAATAGTTCTTGAATTTCGTTTTAAAAATTGAGGGAAACCCTGTGTGAAGAACTGGGGTTCGATCCTCAGTGGCGGCTTGAAACCCATCCAACATTGATGGGTACCAGCTTATCTGAGAGGTAAAAGTGGCCTACACACAATGCTAACCACATTGCCACAATCACGCCATTGGTCACAAAATTTTGTAGCCTTAATCACCATGACTCCCCTAGCTCACTCTGGGTGTTAAGGTAATGCTTGAATTATTTTAATTAAAAATGTATATGTATGTGTATCAGGGGTCTGTCTAGGTCAGTGTTTCCCAGCGTGGGGCCATCGCCCCACCGGGGGGAGGGGGGCAATTTGATTGTACAGGGGGGGGATTCAAAAATGGACTTGACATGAGTTTAAACCTTTTGCTCTGGGTCATTTAAATGCAATGCGAGATTTCGGTGACAAAATCGAAAGAAAAAAGCAAATTCTTAAATAATTGCGGTCAATAAATATTATGTGACTTAGGGATTTTTTAAGCCGCAAACCTGAAATGAAGTATCTGTTTACAGTCGATGGTAAAGCATTTGTGAGTTATTTAGCCAATATCTTTGAAAAACTGAATATATTAAATAAGAAACTTCAAGGATCAAATAAAACTCTTGTTGATGCAAAAGCGAAGATATTTGGTTTCATTACCCTTATTGAGTTATGTCAGAAATATATTAACAACAAAAACTTTGAACAGTTTCGTTGGCTCCAAAAATGCGAAGTAAATGATACCGCTTTACTTGTTATTGTCTATCATCTGAAAATGCTATCGGCTGATTTAAAAGAAAGATATTCTGATTTAAAACAAATTTATTTTCCAACATGGATGTTGCAGTCCATGTTAGTGGATTTGTCTGATATATCAAATATATCAAGAAAAACTTGCAGAAATGCAAAATGATGAGTCAGTTAAAACTTTATTTAATAAGAAAGGAGTGATGGCATGGCTTCGTGAGGAAACAGAAAACAAATATCCAAATTCAATCAAATGTGCAAGAAAACTATTTTTACCAATTCCATCTTCATATTTAGCTGAATGTGGATTTAGTGCTGTAAATAATTTTATTGGTCAAAAAAAGAAATTGTCTGGATATAACACAACGGGGAGACTAGAGACTGAAGCTAACCAAATTGGAACCTAAGATAAAATCTACGTGCAGCAAGCATCAAGGGCAAGAATCTCACTAAATTAAAATATTAAATTATTATAGAAAAATCTTTATAATTATTATAGAAAAATCTGTATAAGGAATCTTAAAATTATTTCGAATTTGAATTTTAGTTTTTCATTATATGTTCTTCAGTGTTTTCATCATAGAAAAAAAATGGGTGAGAATTTCTCACCCTTTCTCAAAAACAGGGTGAGATTTCAAAAAGTTAAGTGAGATTTCTAAAAACTAAAAAAACACAAAAACTCTTGAAAAAAAATCATTTCTTTAATTATAATACATTTTTAACGTCTTCTATTTTTTAAAGCATTGAGTATTTTTGGTGCATCATCATAGAAGATTTTGCCTTTACAAGGTATTTGTCCATCTTACATTAGCACATAAAAAATTTGAACGTCTTACATGAAGAAACCTTACCTACAGTAAACACGTGGTTACAAAGAAATGTGTTCTGAAAGGGGTTCCATGGTTGTGTTCTGTTGTTCGAAAAGGTTCTGAACAATGCTGGTAAATAGGGAAGCTAGATAACGGGGCAAATGTCGAAAATAATGAAAGATCCAGGAAGAAAAGTGAAATGGATTTTATTTTAAATGGTGTAATTCAAAGCTTTTTCCAAAATGCGAGAAATTCGCGAATTTTGAAATTGATTTATAGAATGCGCGAATTTCTTGCGGTAATCATTTTTTAATGCGAGAAAAGAAAAAAATATGTGAGATTCTCGCTCTGTAGTAAAAACACTGTTCTTTGTTCTAAAAATTTACTTACTTTGTTTCGCTAGCAATTTCCTAAGTTTCTTAAGTGAACAATTCGATTTTTTAATATTAAAAATTATGTATATGTTACATAGGGGGGCATAAGAATTTTAGAAAGGCTTAGGTGGGGGATGGTACTAAAAAGGTTGGGAAACACTGATCTAGGTTTTTCTGAGAGGTACCTATTTTGTGAAAATTTAGACATAATTTGTGAAAAATTTAAAATTATATTAAACGATCAACACAAAAATATGGTAAAAGTATGGATTTATCGTTTCTTAAGGGATACAAAAATAAAATTTTAAGAAAAAGTATTTTGTAAAACTGTTGTTTTTCCTAAAGTTGAATTTGGGAAGGTTACGCTAAACGGTAATAAATGCGACCTGGACAGACCCCTGTGTATATATATAATTTATGAAAAAGTAGAAGAATCAGCTATTTACTTTAATTTAGTTGTTGTCTATTTATTTATGCTGATGTTTTTTTTTTTTTTTTTTTTTTTTTTTTTTTTNTTAAATTTTTTTTTTGTTGCCTAATTTGAGTGTAAGCTAGAATAAAATTCTTCTTTCAATTTTGATAAAATTTAAATATTCAAAACCTTTAAAAAGCATATCTCTAAGAACACTTCCAAAGCACAAAACATTAAATAATGTTATTTCTTAGTAACAATGAATGACAAAAAAGCATTGAATTTGAAATGTATTACAAATTGGCATTATTTATATTTTCTTGGTGATTACTGTTAAATCACCTAACATTTTGTTTGTTAAAAATGATGAATGTTTTGTTTGATGATTGACCCAATTATTTCACTTTAATTTTACAGAGACATAATGACCATTTATAATGAGCCTCCACCTGGTATGTTTATTGTTCCTGATGAAAGTGACATGACTTTAGTAAGAGATTTACCTTTCTTTCATATATTACTGTGAATGACAGAAATGGGTGGTTGTTGACTTCCACAAGTGAATGTTGACAATCACATGGTAGCTTTGGTAAATGTCCGAAATATATACTATGTCTAGTTAACCACTGCCCGGTATGCCCTACACTGATGTTTTTGTTAAAGTCTAGTGCCACTGCTCGGTATGCATTTAATCGGTACTGTGAATACTAATGATTCTCCTAATCTATCCTCAGCAGATTAAAATATCGAATAAATATAATAATATCAAATCGGATATAACAAATATTTCAGGCATTCACCAAAACGACTGTGTGATTCTTGACGTTCTTTGGTGAAAGTCGACACGCTCTTGATTTCGGTCATTCAATCTATTTTTAATTTGTTTGCTTCTTATTTTTGTTTTATGTTGATTTTTATCTGAATGACAATTTAATACTGATTCTAGTAACTCATTCATTTATGTAGTATAAGGGTTTATAACACAACTAACACTTAAAAAAAGAAATTAAATCCAGTTTTACTGCACACAAAAAAGAGTGATCATCTCAATAACTATTGATCTAATGATCTGATTTTCACATATTCGAACGTTATTTTAAATTTTTTTTTTCCAGGGCTTTCACTTAAATATGCTAATTTATAAAAGCAAATCTTAAATTGTGAAATAAGACACAAAAATAGTTTTTCTCTGAATAAAAATAAATTGTTTTATGTTAATTAAGAGAAAGTCTAATTTTCTCTTTGTATCTGATATAATTCTAACTTAAAATATAGTCTGTACAAATTAATTAGCATATTTAAAGTTTGACCTTTGAAGCATTGGGAAACTCCAATCATTAGATCAGAAGCTATTTAGTTTTCTCTTAAGTATTTTTTGCCTGTCGTTTAAATGCTTTTGTGTGTTCCAGATCCATGCCTTACTCACTGGTTCATTTGATACCCCTTATGAAGGCGGTTTCTTCTACTTGTTGATGCGCTGCCCACCTGATTACCCTATAAGGCCACCTCGAGTGAAGATTATGACTACTGGCGAAGGAAAAGTTCGTTTCAATCCAAATCTATATAAGAATGGGAAAGTGTGTCTAAGTATTTTGGGGTTAGTTTTTATTTAATACTTTTTCATAAATTATTTATGATAATAGTTTATTTCTAAAGTTATTTTTTAAGAGTTATTTAAAAAAAAAAAAAAAAACTGTATCTGCCAATGAATTTTTCTAAATTTGTTGCAAAATTTTTTCCCCTCTCTTTTATTAGACCTTTATGAGGATAATTACACATTTTTTGCTTTTACTCCTAGAATTTATTAAAAAAATAAAATCATATAGTTCAAATTTGCATGTGCATTTGACCTTTTCAATAATAGATTAAAAATGTTTCTGATACAGTCTTTATAAAGAAAGCAAATGGGAATGTTTTTCTATACTTCATTCACTATTTATGCGTTAGCATCTTCAAGTTTATCCTCTCAAAGACTTTTTTGTAGAAAACTCTATTCAGTGGTGCAGATGTTTTTTTACACTTAAGAGTCACTCCTTGTTAATGATTTACTGTGGTTGTAGCATTTTTCAAGAGTTTGATGTAGATGATTCTGTTTGTTTATTTTCAATCAAGTAATTGATTGAAAAGTATTGTTTCAGTAAATATTTAATCAAGCAATAAAGTATGAATTTTGAAGAATTTAGATGCCTCAATCCCATCCATCTGCAGCTCAACGAGTAATCACTTATCTTTGAAGTTGTTGATCGCTGTTTGTAACAAAATTGTGAACCTACTATGTGCGGTTGTAGGAATCCTTTTTTAATATTTTGAATTATATGCTATGTCTCAAAAATTGCATTGAATAGAGCAATCTCAAAATGTCTGCCTTATTAAAAAAAAAACTGCTGAATATTTATGTTAATAAGTAATGTGGTTACAATAATGGAATAGATTTTTTTTTATATATCTCTTTTATTAAAAAAGAATGTATGTAATTCAAATTTTTAGGTATTTCTAATTTTTTTTTCTCAATGTCCTTTCAACTTCAATTTATCAAAGTTTAACTGACAACAGATGCATCAATGATAACATTTTATTACAATTTAAGTATTTTGTATGTTGAGTAATAAAATTCTACCTATTGTGCTTATTGTAAAAAATGTATTTAGATTGGATTTTTGGAAAAGAATAATTTTTATGAGCTGGTTTTAAATTTAAATCGTGTGTAATTTCATATAATGATTGGCATGTTTTTCAAAATGTCACTACATCATATTCCAAGTCCCCCCCCCCTTTTTAATGTTTATTTTACTTTGTTCTATTTAGAGTTTTTAGAAAAGTAACCTCTTAGGTAGTTATAACACTTTTCTTTGCTATGTTTTCCAGTTATTAAAAAGTAACGTGGAATGGAATGTTTCCTAATTATCCAAAAATTAATGTAGAATCTTGCCTATTCTTTTTAAATAATTCCACTACAGCAAAAAATACAGTAGAAATATTTCAGCCTGTAAAGTTAGATGTTCTTTGTATTTAATTTAGAAATCTTTAAATGTAAATATTTTACTAATTTTTTTTATTTTTGCATAATTCTTCTTCCCCTTTAGGACATGGTCTGGTCCTTCTTGGAGTCCTGCACAAAGTTTGTCCACTGTTCTGCTCTCTATTCAGTCTCTCATGAATGAAAAGCCATATTTCAATGAACCAGGTTTCGAAAAAGTACGTTTCTCATCTATTCATTCTTCCTTTGCCTGTTTTCAATTTTTTTGTTTCAATGTTTGTTTGAACATAATAATTATAATAATAAAAAGAAAACAATAATATTAAAATGAAAGTAATTACAATGTTTCATTTTTTTACTTTTGACATAAAGTTTTTGTGAAAAAATAAATCATTGTTTTATAAACAGTTGTGCTCTTTTAAAGTAAACTCCTCACATGCATGCATTAAAGAAATACTTAAGTCTATGCAAGTCTTATTTCAAGTACGTTGAGATTACTTGATACAGTATTCAATCCGGTTCTGTTGCGGTTTGCATTATGATGTTTGTGTTGAAAATATCTTTTTATTTCAGATCGGTAAAAAATCTCTCAAAAGTTAAATAAATTCCAAAATAAACAAGTAAAATGCGTGATTTAATTTATGATAAAAAGTATTAAGAACAATGCTAACATTTCACCAATATCTCTTAATCAAATATTAGAATAATAATTTGAACAGAAATCGTAATTCTGTAAAAAGTCGAAATAATCCTTTGAAACCAAAACTAATAGCTAGTCATTTACTTAAAATTAAACTAATAGGTTATTTGCTCGAAAAGAAGCGTTAAGTATAGCAGAAACAAAATCAATTAACAGTCAGTTAATATCAGTTCATCAATGAGCCAAAAAATTAAAATATTGAAGTTTTCAAATATTAAAAAATTAATTTTAATATCAAAAATATTATTTGTCATAGCTTGTTAAAAAGTCACTTTTATTCTGGACAAGCCTATATGATTTGCCTACTTCCATATGAATGATTATTTACAAGTATGCAACACACAAAAATGAATGTCGCATGAAAAAATATAGTTCCTGGTGCATATTAACAATGCGTGCCCCCTTTGTCACCCAGTTGTTTCTCCACCACTTTGTTTGTACATAAACTCGTGATGGACCAAGTTTATTTCCTCCCAAAGTCGACAGAAACCCACCACTTCTGTTGTGATGGAAACATGAAAAGAACTGTTGAGATATGTGTTGGGTGAACACAATGGGCATTGTTAATAAGTATCAGAAACTCAATGATTGTATGTCGCCCGTCTTTGTGCGCTGTACCCCCGTAAATAAACGGTCATTTGGAACTAGGCGAGTTCTACAGGCTGTATTTATAAAACTCAATGTGGGATGACTTTGTGAAATGATATTTGCAGGAGAGAAATCCAGGTGACAGTGCTAGATACAACCAAATCATTAAACATGAAACCTTAAGAGTCGCAGTCTGTGATATGTTGGATGGCAATACGGGCGACTCCAGAAATTGTCCTCAAGCTTTGAGGTGATAAATTCTTTTTTTTTAAAACTTACTTAGACTAGTAATGTTTAATTACAATTAGTATTATTGTTTAACGTTGTCTGTCATCACCATAGAGAAATGAAAAAAAACTGCAATTGATATAATTTCAGTTAAAGCTTTAATTTTTATACATTAGGTGAATAACTTTGGGGTAAAAAAAATAAGAACTCATTAAATTAGTATTGATCAACACAACACAATCTTACGCAAAACTTAAAAGCAGAACTTAGACACATTCAGACACTTAGATTGATTCAAGAAGAAGATCACAATACCCACACATGTGACCTAGGACGTCGGTGCCAGCTGAACGTTTATAAGCAAAATGGAGTGTTAAAGTTGAGCTAAGTTTCTCCACATTTGTTGGAATGTTAATTAATTAAATACAGCTCTTTATCACACATCAAATTTATTGAAATGTAATTCTTTTTCGTCTATGTCTTTTGCTTAACTTAGAATTATTATCTGTTTATATATTTTTTTTGTAACCATGATATATTTTTGTTTTGTGTACCTAGCAGCTTCGATGAATAATCAGTTTGTTCATGTTCTACATAGCTTCATGTCTGTCTTTGCTTTAAGAAATATAAATAATTGAAATCTTTGAGCAAGAATGTAGAATGTGTCACTTAAGAGAATTGATTCTTGACGGGTTTGACTTGCTCGAAATAGAATGGAAAGAACAGTTGCTAACATAAACAAATGCCACCTTTCAACAACCCATCAGGATTGAGATGCCCACACTACGTAATTTTATTTTGTTTTATAACCGCCGTTAAACAGTCTACCCAATTTTATGGGTTTAGGACTACTAATGTTCAACTCCATAGCCTTGTAATTTTGAACCCAATCCAGAAGACAATCCTGGGTGAAATTTGCCTTCGTGGAGGACTTTTTGATGGAGCTAACTTGCATTTACGTTACATGGAGAAGACCACAAGAACCTCCAACGGTTAGCCTGGCGGCAAGGGGACTCTAACCCATGATCTGTCTACCACCGAGGATATTTCACGTCAGTACTGTGGTCGGTGCAAGCCGGATGCGGAATTCTTATCGACTGGGTTTCGAACCCGGTTCGCCGCATTGGAAGGCGAACGCTTTATCACCTGAGCCATCGCAACTCACACTATGTCATTTGCAAGTATCCCAATAATTACTTCAAAATGGACGAATTCAAACATTTTAATGATTTTTTTAGTGTTGAATTCTAAAATTGTTCCTCGCATCTGCTATCCAAAACTCTTAGCAAAAGCAGTTCCTGACTTATAAGAGAGACACGCACGATACAAAACTGTATTATTTTTTACTTTAGATAAAGTGAGTATATTTTACAGAAAAGAATTTTACTCTTTATAAACATTTGAAGATTTCATAGTACTTTTTAATCCTGAATAAGTGAATATCAAAACAATTTCTTAATATCGGTTGTGTAATTCAAGATAACAGTCACATTGTTACACTTGATTGCATACAATTTTTAAATGAAAGTTTTTTTTAAATTTATTAATTATTATTATTTTTAAATACTCGAGAAAAAGGTACTCCCTGTTCTCATTTCAGATAAATAATTTTGAAGAAATTTATGAAAAATAATTGTTAAAGGGGAATATTTGAAAAGTTATAACTGAAGCATGAAGTTCGATAACATAAAGCAAATATCTTATGACATTGGCTTTTTTAAAGGAAAAAAATTTACTTGTGTCATTATTATTTTTTTTTAACAAAAAACTTTATTACATCTTATTGCTCAAATAGCAGTACTAATTTTTTATTTATTTATAGAGATGTAATGGAGAAGTCTTTTCCTGAATTTTATGACTACTATGAGTCTTGTGCCAAGGCAAACTTGCATTTAACCAAACAACACATGCTAGTAAGTGCAACATTTTTGTTCTGTTCTCCATATGGCGGTGGGTCAAAAAATGGATATCTTACTGAGAGACTAATAATTAGAAAAAAAATTAGTTTTACTTTGACATCCAGAATTTGGTTTTTACGTGTTTAGTTCACGCACGACCTTCAAGGTTTGAGGAAAATATATAGAAAAATATTAAATTTCAATATTTTTTTTTATAGATATACAAATATTATTCATTTTTATTCTAAGACCATGAAGGTGCTTCATTTTAGTATTTCCAAGCATCTTTAAAAAAAACTGTACATTATTGTACAATTTTGAGATAGCTTTTTTTGACCCACCCTAATATAAGCTACACGTTTCAGACACTGGTGCGAAACATATGCCTCTCATATTTTTAATTCCCTGTGATTCTACTATTAGTAAACCAATTATGCATCTTTAGATGCTCCCGTAACTAGACAATTATTTATGCTTCAAAACAATATTTTTTGCCCTTTCAAACCAGGCACAATTTCAAACCAGGCACCAGTATTTAAAAAAACCAGACAAACTACTTCTGTTTTAAATATCAAGGAAAAAATGCGATTCACCACCATTTTTAAAGCATGTAAATTTTTTTGCCTTATTCATAACTAAACATATTGTTAAGCTGATTCACTGCTAAAATATCAATCATTCTCCTTCCTTTATCTCTGCTGTAACGAATATTTGAAGAAACAGTTTTTTTGTATAGAAACACATTTATCAGGGCTCCCATGGGTCAGGGAGTAGTCAGAGAATTTTATTTTGACTCTAAAAAGCAGGGAATAGTCAGGGAAAATTGCAATTTTTTTACAAAAAGCTAGAAAATTCCAGTATCATACCTGGAAAATAACCAGTCTCAGAATCACCAGTAACACCAATCAGTTATTGAGATTAGAATTAAATGATTCCAGCATCTTTTACAAATATTTGCTGCGAAAATGTGACATTTTAGCGATACTTTCATCCTTTTCTGATGTTATCTATTTATTTTTAAATTTATTATTTATCTAAATTTGACGTAATAAAAAATCAAAGTTTTCTGATTTTTTTATTAATCAGAAAACTTTGATTTTTGATTTTGAAAACTTTGATGAAAAAATTCTTAGTATATATAAAATAGGGTCTGAATTTTCATTGAAATTTTCTTGATATCCCTGGAAAAGTCAAGGAATTTTTTTCTGAAATTGAGTGGGTATCCCTGTTTATGGACACAACATCCAATAAAGCAAAAATAAATTGAGATACCCTTAAGGAGTTAGTATAAACTTTGCAAGAATAAATGTAAGGGGTTAGTATAAATCTTAAATGTAAAAAAAAACTATTCTCAACAAAAAATGTACTCTCCAACTCATCAACAAATTCCAAAAATTTTCTTTTTCTTTTTTGATCTTGTTATTTGTTTTTTATTCATGCTTGTGTTAGCCAGATATTCTTAAGCCTTTATCCTGCAAAGAAAGGCGATGAAAAGATACTGCTCTTGCGAAATATTTTTAACAAGCGGCATTTTTTGATCTTCTAAGTTATATTTATGAAGTTATACTAAGTTATACTTCTTCTAAGTTATAGTTATATATATGAGTTCGTATTTATATAAATCAAACGTTTATTCAGACATTTGAAAGATGATCGATTGTGAATTCAACAATTCCCTTTCAAGTATGCATTGCTTCTTTTTTTTCTGTTCATTACAAGAGGTTAACCTTGTAATGAATGTTAAGGAGGTATTACCACGATTCTTATCAAGTGAAACCCATTGAGGCTGATAAACTTAAAGTGCCTTTTTGGTTTCCAATTTAAATGCAGGGTGCGTAGCGTTTTTAAAAAGTCCTTAATTCCTATTTTTGTTTTTTAAAAGCCCTTAAAGGTGCATTTTTTATTGGGTGTATTTAAAAAGTTCTTAATTTCCCCTTTTCCAAAATGAGATATTTTTCTTCACCATGTCGATTTTCGCTGCATATTATGCAAAAGCGTGATTTTCTCAGTGTTCTATTCTATGTTTTCACANCTTTGCACCACCTCACTCTGGCTCGTTTTTGCTTGCGTGTAAGTAGCGGCTTTTTCTTGGGCACACGTGATTGAAAATCAAGTTCATGGAGTCGTCGTAGTGTGGTAGATGTTGAGGCATCCACTCCTTGTTCTCTCCACTTTCTACTTATGAATCTCAAGCTCTTGAAGCGATTTTTAGTGACGACACGTTTCAGCATTCTGTCTTGTCTCAGTGTGGTTATTCGTTTACGACCACTATTTGAGCGATTATTTTTAAAACTTTGATTTGTAGAATAATCTTTTAAAATTTTACTTACAGTTCCTTGAGAGCAATTCACTTTTTTGGCAATCATTTGTTGACTAATTCCCTCATTGCGTAGAGTCACAATCGCTGTCTTGGTAGTGTCCGGTATGTCTTTCGTTCGACCCATTTTAACTCCCAACTAACTAAATCTGATTTTCAAACGAGCCTTTATACGCGTACTAGCTCTACAGTGGCGCAACTTATGCAAATTTTATGATTAACGTTGACCAATCACACAATTTTACAGATATTCTAATATTTTGAATCGCCTCTGGAAATATTTTAATATTTTGAAAAATTCCAATATTTTTTTATAAAATCTCTAATACTTCTTTAGGCGCGTGTGAACAAAAATATCATACGTCAACTAATTGTGGACGGTTAATAATTTTTCCGTTCGCCACCGTTGTTTATTTTTAAAGATATCACGCATTTTATAAGGTAATACAATGCCTTTTTTGGTTATTCTAATATTTTGAATTGGAGTTGTATAATTCGGAAATCTGAAACACATGGCACTCTTAAGGAAATATACTGTCCATTCTGGAAATTCTTTTAATGTTAACAGTATAACCATCACCTTCTAATTCATCTAAATTTGTTTTATATAAATAATCATATTTTATTCAGTGATGTTATTTAGTTTTGTTATTTCCAAGTTCAATTGAATCAGGCATTTTTTTCTACAGCTGTTAATTCTACAGCCAATTAATAATTTTTGATGACAAAAATTATTAAAACTCTTTCTGAATTAATATGCAAATTCTTGGTATACATATATATAAATTTTTAAAATGCGCTGTCATAAATTGTGTGAATGGCTCCAGTTTTATTTTGGAAATCTCAGGCAATTTGGGTTATTCTGAAAAGTGGCAACTATGCCTGTACTTTTTTTAAAATTTAGGCTATCTTATAAAAATTTAGTACCTTAACTATAACATTTGATAGTTAAGCAAATCAAGCCTTGCGCTCTGAAATGTTTTTGTTTTATATTATTTATTAGCAAAAATTTCAACTGTGCTTCAGTTTTTGTAATAAACTTTTAATGCTGATGAAAAATTTATATGTGATTTTTGTGTCAAAATCTAAGGTAATCTTACCCTATTTAAAACCATTATAATATTACTTGATATTTGAAAAAAAAAACTAAATTGCCTTCTAATCTTTAGGATCCGTTTGGTGAGAAGCGTGGAAGTTTCGATTATTGCAGCATTTTACAGAGGCTTCAAAACATTAAGGCCAAACTGGAAGCAAAGAAACCGTTTCCCTCGGAAGCCGAATCTCAATCCGATAGTTCCGATTCCTCTTGAACTCTGGTCGTGCACAAACAGATGTTTAGTTTTATTTTGTGTCATACATATATATATATGCAGTATAAATTGTACAGTAAATAATAATTATTATGTATAAATAAACCTGGTTTTTTATAAACATTTGTGTGCTCATTCGAACAAGAGTTTTTAAAACTATTATTGATTTAAGTCAAAAAGTACCTTTATGTAGTAGTAATAAGTAAATATATCTACATCAATATTTTTTATATGTTCTGCATATTTAACAGGATTATTACTGATAATCCTGTTAATGTCTTCATATATATTTTATTGATATTAAAATTAAGAGAGGAGAGAAAAAAACTGAATTTAAAATTTGTTACCATTAGCTGTATGTAAAACAATTTGAAGTTCTATTATACATAAATAAATACTTCAATCATAATTATTTCATGTTTATTTAAATTCTAATGCTTTGTAAACATGACCTGTTAAATATATTGCTAGTACATTTAAATAATGATTGAAGGCTTGATCTGCCAAGTGTAATTAAATATCGTGGATTTTTTTTGTTATAGACGAAAAAGAGAAATAATCGTTTAGAGAGAAACTTAAAAAATCGCCATGCTGTTATTGTTGCTAATTATGCTTTAATAATTTTAGTAATAGGAACTACTAATATTATGGTGATTTGTGCAGCTTTAATATGTACCAAATATAGGTATAAAATATTATATTAGAATATTTGGTACCTTTGTCGAAATTCATGAGTTAGTCTTGAGTAACAGCATCATGCCAAATGAATAATTATTCTTTATTTCGATGGGATGAATTGCTAAATATGTGCTTATTCTCATAATGTAAAGCCCCCTGAAGGGCAATAAGTTATAATAAATAAAAGGATTATTTCAGTTTTATTAAATGCATCAGTATATTAATTTTCAGTCATGTGCATGACTTCTCCCAACACTGATTTATTGACTATTTTCTTGTTTTCACTGCGTACAAAGAACGAGAATTCAGCTAGTGCAAAAATACTTCTCACATCAAGTACCAGGGTTGCCACTCAACGGAGTAAACTTGGAAAATACAGGGGAATTAGAAATAACAGGGAGTTTTTCCTTACAAACTGGGAAAATACAGGGAATTATACACCTTTTAAAAGTGGTGACTACTCCAAGAGCAATCTATGGGGTATTTAAGGATATCTCAGCTTATACTAAATTATTTCATTAAGTTTTTTTCCAGCAATAAGTTATAGTTAGTACTAGTATAGTAAGTCTTATATAGCTCACTCAGGAGCACAGTGATTGTGTGTTTTCTTGTAATATATTGTGTATAATATGTACAGGGAATTTGTTTTCCAGATTTGAGTGGCAACCCTGAGTAAGAAAACTTAAGTGCCATCATTGGTTGTAAGCGAAGAACATTCTGCTAGATCTGTGTAAAAAGAATGTAGTGCAGATTAGGAATTTGTAAACAGCTTATTGATATTCCTATAAATTTTTTATAAGATCTTAAAATAGATCCTAACATTTTCTTTTTCTAAGCTATTGAAAAAGTCAAGAGGAGAATAGAGATGATTAATAAAACACCACATGAAGGGCATGAGCATTTTTATTGGTAAACAAACTACATACTAGCCAACAAATTCGCTGTTCAAAAATGGATGGATGGATTTGCAATGGGAAAATTACAGACAAATTTAAAATCAATAAATAATAATCAGCATTACAGATCTCACCGCCTATGTATGAGGAATGAATTTTTTTAACACCTAAAAGAATATAGGTATTTGCTAAAAAGTTTATTATTCTTAAGATAATTTCAAATAGATAACTTAAAAATACATAATAAAAACTCTAAAAATTGAATAGCTAAAATAACTATTATCAAATTTCTTCTATTGAAAACTATTAGTTATTTAAAATGAAACGGGAAGATGCTTCTATATCATAAAACACAAATTATATACCATTATCAATTCCGTTTAAATAAATCAAATCAACCTAAAGAAAACAATATTTATTTATAGATAATGTGTGATAATAAAAACCTGTCCAACATATATAGTATTTTGCTTAAATAGTAGACACAGTACATACAATTAAATCACAATTACTTATGTACCAATATCAGTAAATTACTTTTTTATGTCTTCTTCAAGAATTGGGAATAAATTTTTTTTAAACAAAAAAATAAATAAAACAAACAATTGCAAAAAATATAATTATTTAAAAAAATGGAAATGAATTTTAATTTTAAATATTACTTTTTAAGATTTTAAAAACAAAAATTATCCTCTTGTCATGTTAAAAGTTATCCTCTTGCTAATGTCAGTAACTTATTTAGAAATGTTTCCTAAATTTTAGTCATTAGCAAAACACAAATATTAAAACAAACCAAAATAATTTTATTTTGAAAAAACGGAATGAATTAAGAACACTAACTTAATTTGAATGTTATTTTTGTCATGCATGCGGTTTTAGAGATAAGTTATACCTGATTGATTAAAATTTAAGAAGATGATTTATGAAGTGCAAAATAAATATAAAATAAAAATAACTGCCCATGTAAAATTATTAAATATAAAACATTCCACAAAATTATATCAAATGATTCATGGCCAAAAATAAATCTCTGTTCATAACATTCAGAAAAATCAACATAAAAAAATAAACTTATAGTAAAATATTGGCAGTCAGTTACTTACAAGTATTCATTTTGGACAATAAAAATATGCATTTCCCTACAATGAATAAATAAAGCACAACAATTAGAAATTAAAAATTTACCGCTAAGTTATCAACAAGTAATGGACTCAACAATCGAAAAAGAAAACATTTTGTTGATGATTAGCAGAAAATGTCACATGTTGTCTTTACAACAGTTATTATGCATGTCATTTATAGTAATTCTTAAAAAAGTTGAAAATTGTATACATAAATTAGAAAACTACAATCAGCAACAAGTAATGGGTTCAAAGGTGGGGAAGCAATGCATTCAGCAGAAATGTGTTATCTTTAGTCAGTTATTACAAAGGTAATTTGAAACAGAAAAGTCATAAAAATCGGCAACAAGAATAATTTTAGAAAAACGTAACTGCAATTTACACTTTGTACAAAAATTGAGAAGGTAGTGGACAAGATAAAGTATGCTAGCAAATGTTTAGAACTCTCATGCAAATTTGAACAATATATCTAAATTAGTCGAAACAAAAATACATAATTTAAAAAAAAAGAAAAAAAGACAGTGATATGTTTTAAAAAAAAAAAATACTCTAATAGACCCGTTTTGATTAAGAGATGACTTCAACCCTACATCCAGACCAGATAAGTGTTCTTGTTTGAAAAAAGATAATAATATTTATATTATATTATTATAATTACATTTTTGATTATTATAATTAATATTATTATAATTGATATTATAATAATTTTTATGAATAAAGTTAAAGCTGCCAACATGAAAAGGAAAAATCCAGTTAACTTTAATAAAATATAAATATTTATATCGTTCATCAATTATTGCCTACCTAAAACCTACAATATTTTAAACACAGACAATTTTAATGATTTTTATGGTTAATATTAATATCTATAATTATCAGTAATAAACAAGAAAACAATAAACCGAGTAGAAATTTATTTTAACAAGAATATTTTTTCTAGAGAATTTCAACAGGTCTGAAAATTTTCAAAACTACAGAGAAAAAAAAAGAATTTGAGATTAAGCCAAGAGAGACTGTCAAAATCCAGTAAAGTTAGCAGCTATTAATAATAGAATTCGAAATGTTAAGAGTTAATAAACGTCTATAAAATATATATTAATCAACCAAAACATTTAGATTTAAACCAGGGGAAACGGGCAAAATTCACTGGAGTTAACAGCTATTAACAGTAGAGTTGGCAATAGTAGAATTAATGGTTATAAACTTTTTAGGGTTAAACCAGGAGAAACTGGCAAAATCCGACAGAGTTGACAGTTATTAACAGTAGAGTTGGCAAAGGTATAGTTAAATGTTTATAAACTATATTAATTAACAAACACATTCGATAAAATTTGTTTAAATTATTCATAGCAGGCCTTCTAATTAGAAAAAGTTACTTTCATTTCAAAGCTAAACAATAAATACCATCAACAATTCTAATAGCTATTAAAATATGTAGTTAACTATTAAAAATTATTATTTACTATTATTATTTTGAAACACACACATACGCTGGAATTCAGGTCAAGTAGTAAAAAAAAAGTGAAAAACATTGGTAACTAATAAAGGATTTGACATGTGGCACTCAGTTTCAAACATAAAAATTGCACGTGGCTTTAATAAAAAGCTCATAGACTGGATTAAATAGTAGGACAAACACAAGTTCAAAATAATTATCTTTCTGACAAGATTTCAATATTTAATGACTGTAAAATCGTGCGTCTGTACATTCTATGTACGGATGTAGTCAATTAATTGGTTGGGTTTTACTTCTCCAATGCATATTCTATGAACAGCAACTAAAAGTGGGAACCTGAAACAAATGGTAAAAAAAATAGGATAAATTAAACCAGAAAAAAAAACAGTACACACAAAAAAAAATATTTCAACCGAATCCAAATTCCAATTCCTCCATTATCCAAATTCCTATTTAAGTGTGTGTTATGTTGCTCATCATAGTGGTGAATTTACTTTCTTTCTTAATAGTAAAACTTCATTTTAATTTATTTTTATATAAAATAAAGCTGAAATTGCCCTCTGTTATATATTTTACTAGTTATTAAATACCTTTTTTTTAGAAATATAAACAAATCACATTAAATGATTAGTAAAATAAAATATTATCTTATATAAAAGTTTGTTCAGAGTAAAATTTAAAATAATTAATACTAAAATGCTAAATGTTGACATACAAAAAACTAAGTATAACTTTTTTGTTAAATTCATAGAAATTTAACTATAATAAACAGAAATAAGAAAATAGAAATAAAACATTATTAAGGTATAATTCTGTTCCACATAAGAACAAAATTGATACGATGGTGGGGCTAGCTGTTTATTTTCTCGGGGGCCATGATTCCATTAGGCTCCAGGGGGATCTTTACTGCTGATTTCCAAACGTATCTTTTAAGAGTTACAAAAATGTCTTCTAAAATTTTTTATTCTTATTGAAAATTTAAAAACATTTTCTATGTTATCATACAGATGAAATAAAAAAAATGAATAGCCTCTAATTTTTAGGGAGTTTATGTAAAAAAACATATCAAAATTACAGAACTGAAAAATAAGCGTTATTTAAACAATTTTTAAGTTTCCCTAAATGTTCCATTGTTTCCATTTGTTTTCAAATGTAAAGTTTAAATGTGAGAAAAAAATTTGAAGAACTAAAATAGAAAAAATGTTAATTTGTTGGATTTTTTAAATGACATTTGAGAAAAAAAAAACTTATTTGAATAATGCAGGCAAAAATTTAGGGGTTCTAAATGATTCATTTTTGTAAATGCACATTAGAGAGGTAGTATTTAAAGGGTTCTGCAAAATCTAGTAGCAGTACTAACAAAGAATGCAAGAAAATAAAAAAAGGTTCACAATATATTTTATGAGGGAAATGAAACGCTTCTACAATAATTTCTTTTGCATAAATGATGCTAATAACGAAAAAAAAAAGAGAACATTATAAGATTGAAACTTTATGTAAAACAGAATAGTATCACATCCAACAATTTCTTAAATCAACATAGTAATCACAGTTAATATATCTATGTTAATATAACTTTACTATGGATAATTTTTTCCCCACATAGACCATAAAATATACAGTGCAAAACGAATGAATTTAACTTCCTGAGAAACTGGATGATTGGCACCAAACAATATTTTTAAAATTCTTGCATTTTGGCTTTTGCAGATTACTAAGTCTAGTCGACCATGAAACAAGTGCTTTTCATATATGCTATGCCAAGGGAATAAATTTCCCAAAGACTGTGAGTAAATGGGAAAATTGACTACTCACAGTCCTCGTCACACAAAATTGTTGTTATCTTTAGCGTCTTATTTTAGTACAATGATCTGAACAACTTTTGTGATGTCTAATAGTCATTATATCTAACAAAATGCAAAGAATTTTAGCTATTGAGACCATCTTTGGAAGACTCTGAGGCATGAACTATTAAAAAAAAAAGTGATGAATAGTTGTTGAGAGTATTAGAGAGAGAGCAAAACTAGTGGAACAGTAGGTGTAAAAAGCGAATGGAAAATTAAGAGTTATAAATCTATAATTGTTACAGCAAGGAATCAGACATTGTTACAGAAATGAAGAGAATCAATTGTTTGGTCATGCAGAGAACATGAAGCTAAGAAAAACAAGAATCCAAGTGGGTCAGAATCAGGAGAAAGACCAAAAATTCGATGGTGAATTCAAGAAGACAGAGTAGTAGTCCTTAAAAAGGAAGAAACGTCTTAAAAGAGGCAGCAATGGTGATGATGAGTAGTAGAAAGGCTAAAATGACATTTTGAAAAGCATAATAGCGACAAATAGAAACTTACGAATCGTACGAATACAGTCAATCAATTGGATGGGTTTTAGCTCTCCAATGCATATTCTGTGAACTGCAACTAAAAGTGGAAACCTAAAACAAAAACAAATATGAGAGTGGCTGCCTATGCAAGCCATTTGGTTCACCAACATTCCAGATTGCTTTGGTGCTATTGCTCCAAATCCTTTATTTTGACAGAGTTATTCAGCATAGCGGTCATATAATAGCATATTATTTCTAATGCAGATTTAAATTATGGTCAATGTTTATTTTAGTCTACATTGGTCTAGGAGGCAACTCAGGATGAGCCACAGAACAGGAATAATACAGGAGATTCAACTGAAGTTAAAATCTAAATTTTATAATATCTTCTTTCTGAAAAGCTACAATGAAATTTAGCTTTCCAGTAAACTAAAGAGGGTTTAGAGAACTTTTGCAAAGAACAATGTAGCTTTTTCTACATAGAATACCTAATTTTTGGAAATGAAAAAGAATCTATTTATACATTTTCGAAATTTAATTTTATAAAGAACATCCTGGAATTTGAACAAATGAACACCCTGGGAAAACAACTAAGTATATTTTATATCTTACAGAAAAAAAAATGACATCATATGGTTAGTTTCATACTTTTATAAATATATATATATCACTTAGTCTGAAGTAATAAGAGGCACTTCTCAAAAGCTATGACTGACAGCGTAGCTATTTTTTTTTTAAAATTTAAAGAATAATGATTTGTTAAGACCCNAACCCCCCCCCCCCCCCAATGGACAAATATTTAAATGAAATTACACATTCTTTTGCTAAATAATTAAAAAAAAATAATAACATCTAATGCTTTAAATTATTAAAATAGAAATTTTGCAAAAAATTTATCATAAGAGATGCTAGAATTATTTACTAAACAATTATAATACCATTTTCAAGATTGGTAAAATTGCAAGATTGTTATGAAATTTTGTGGGTTTTGAGCTATGTTCCCAGATTATTTTACTCAAAAACAAAATCTCAGCAAATCTCTAATATTTATTGTTTTTCCTTATAGGAAAAAAAATAGTAAAAAAAAAAAATTTACAATGTAAAAAATAAATAAAGCATTTTTTTATGTATAAATTTTAGAGTATCATAAATTGCCACATTTAAATACATTGGGAAAGCAGTAAATAGTGTGTACAGTAAATAGTGTGTAAAAAACTACATCGACTGATAGATTATTTCCAGACTTACACAGAAAGTAGTGAATCTGGATAAAAAATGATAAATTAATTGTTGTGTAAATTGCAATTATAAACTAAGAATGTTGGCTCTTATAAAAGAATATACATATTCGTTAAAAAAAAAAACATGTTTCAAAAAAATAATTAGTACTTCTCTAGGTATCCTTTATTGCCCAGCATTAGGTGTACTTCTTCAGCAGTTTGAGGACCTTGCATACGTTGGCCATTTAACATTTCTTTCTCCAATTGCTCCATTGACTATAGGAAAAATAAACAAATAAATCATTTTCCTCTTTATCTAGATTTATGTTAGAACATAATCCAATTTTAAGAAGGGTTCTAAAAATGCACCACAAGATTTGCTATTCAAAATTCATTTGCTATTCAAAAAAGGAAGCACAAAACAATGTTCGAAACACATGAATTGGTACTTATTAAATTTTAGACACTCTTATCAGTTACAAAACTAAAAATAAACAACTGAAATCATGCATATGACCCATAAATTATATAAGGCCATGGCGATAATCACGCTGTAAATAAAAAATAGAGATATACAGGATAGCCACAAACACTCAAATAAGAAAAGAAATTCACTAATTTTTCCAGAATATTTTTGTAATTAATTTCAAAAAATTTATTGTTCTTAGATGAAAATTGTTACATAAAATTGTTACAATGATGATGAAAATTGTTACTTAGATGAAAATCGTTACATTGGAAAATGCATTACAAATCAATTATACTTTTCTACTTCGAAAACACACATTTTTTAAAAACTACAATTCATAAATGCAGGTAACAGGTTATTAATAATTGCAATTATTAATAAATAATTGCAATTATTAATAATTAATTTTTTTAAAATTCATTTGAAGAAAAAAAATATTGAACTTTCAGGTACCACAAATTCAAATTTAATTTCCCTGACCTTTCAGCGTTTTAATTAAATTTTTTTAGATTGATAAAATTTCTAGTTTTTTTTTCTTCCCCATTCACCCTGCATTGCACCATTTTGATTATACAAACATGTTGTATAATATGCATTTTTTAAAAACACACATTGCCCTTCACTCCTTAGACACTGTTTGACAACAAATTTAATAATAAAGTTTATTTATTACAATAAAAATTAGGCACTTTTAAAGAATTTTAATAATTAAATTTCTCTGAAACTTTTTTGAGAAGACTCGATAAAAACGTTTCTTTTCAATTTGAAATGATAGCTAAAAATTTCTTTTTCCTTAAATATGTATACTAACATTACCATTTTCATTAAAGAATAACTATTTCAGAATTACTGAAAATTTTTACATTTTTTTTAAACAATTCATTTACATTTCTTCATTTGGCAAATGCCTAATTATTTATTCATAAATAAAATAAACAAAAGTAATCAATAAGCTACTCTTTTTTTAAAAGTTAATTGTTTAAAAATTAATAAAGATTTCAAGGAAAATTTGAAATCTTGATTTATTAATTAATCTTCATTCTTACAAGAACACTGTGAGCGTTTTATTAACAACATGTTAATGAATTGGGAAAACAAAAAGTAATAGTACCTTTCCTGTTCTAACAAAAGCTTCTGAGATTTTTCTGTTTCTGCCACCGTAACAGGTAGTGATGAGGTCAGCCACACCACAGCTCTCAAAGAATGTTGTGAGTTTTGATTCAGGATAAAATGTTTTTGCATAAGAAATCATTTCCATCAAACCGATTCTCATCACGGCTGCTTTGCTGTTGTCACCAAGTTCCAAACCATCCACAATGCCAGCAGCTACAGCAACTATGTTCTATAACATCAATTAGTTTTCATTACAACTTTATTAAAAACAATAAATCAATTGAGTTACAACAAGTAAGTATTCATTAAAGGTCTTAAGAAGTTGTTTGTTGAGGAATTCAAAAAATGGACTTAAAGCTTAAAACTTAAAAAAAAAAAAAAAANAAAAAAAAAAAAAAAAAAAGACTTAAAGAAAAAACTTAAAGCTTTATCACTCATACTAATGAACTTGACATTATGAACTTCATTAAAGGACAAAGAATAAAATGGGACATTATCAGAATGGATGAAGACCGTACCACAAAAAGAGATTTTAGTGCCAGACCTGTTGGCAGATGAAAAAAAAAGCAAGTCGAATTTAAGATGGGTAGTTGGACTGGAAAAAGATCTTTTGGTCCGAAAAACTAAAAACCGGAAAATGCTAGCAGGAAAAAACTTATTGAGAAGGACAAGACCCACCCTGGGCTGTCAAGCCCATTGAATTACTTCACTATTATTGTTTCACGAGTTTACAAATTTAAAATTTAATACATACTTTAATTATGGCTAAAATGTGGCTATTGGTTATAGGCTTGAAAATTATTTCTTTTCCCCTCTCACACTTCATTTTATTCATTTTTCAGAAAAAAATTATAACCTAGGAATACATATGCAATCAACAATTAAAACTAAGTGACTCAAATAGGATTCACAATTTCAAATTATTAAAAATATATAAAAAAATTAAAATGTAATAATAATTACCTATAATTGATACGCATTAGAAATCTGAAGGGCATCATTTTTAAATAATATTTTTTTCTACTGTGATTTTAAATGATCAAAGCAAAAAACTTCTCGAAGGTCTGAAAGGTTGGCTGAAGACTGGAACTGACTAATAATTAACCTTAGAAATTTGGCTAAATAAATAAATATAAGAAACTAGAGAGAAATAATAATAATGGAAGTCTTTTTTCTCCCTGTTATTGATCTACATACCTCTACTGGTGAAGGAAGATACCAAAAAAAAAAAAAAAACTTATTCAAGAAACTTTAGAAGCGGTGGAAAAAAATGACAACTCTATTAAAATAAAATTTCTTGCCAGAGATAACTCTGATTAGTGAGGTTTTATAAAATGAATTAAATTTTTTAAAAAAAGCGAGAAAAAAATTATGACTTCTAAAGACAAATAATCAAAACACAAATATTAATAAAAGGTAACATTCATAACTACTTTTTATTTCTCAAGTAATCTTCAGTTTTTCAATATATATAAGCCAATACAGTGCCCGCCGTTTATTAAAATCACTTTCATTTCATGCTCTTTTGATTTTATTAAGCGGCTGATTTAATTAAGAGGCGATTCAACATTTGAAAAAAGAAAACTTTTTACGATACATTCTAAATGCACACACTTTAAAAGCTGAAATAATGACCACATTAATGCTTTATTTTAACAAGTTTAATTATTTTAATAAAATAAAACCCTACATAAGAATAAATGTACAAAAGTTTTGCAAAAAACCGATCAATGGTTGCTTGAGTTGCAGTATTTAAAATTAATTTTTCAACATCATTTGAGAGTTTATAGAAGTTTTTATAGTTTTCGATATTCCTCCTCTTTGTTCTAAAGCTTTCCGCAATACATTAAGTGCTTTTCTGACTTCCATTGAAGATGGCACTGATGAGTTTATTTCATCTTCTGAGTCTGATTCTTCCATTTCTTGATGGGAAACAACTTTGCAATTTTTGATGTCTGTAACAATTTCAGAATCAGATTTTTCTCCTGATGTTTGCAGGTTATCGTCAATAGCTACGTAACGTGAAAAACTCTCGTCCATTTCATTTTCTTCATTGCTGATCATTTCTTCGAAACAGTTATGAGCCCCATCTCCATTGAAGCTTCACATTGACTACTATTAGGAAGCTTATCATACTTTTGCAACACTTCGAATTTATCTTTAAGACTCAAATCCATCCTTTTCGGCATGCTGATAAAATTTAACACCAAACGAACTTAAAAATGATATGCGCTCTAACTATAATTTACTCAAACGGCTTAAATAATATGGAACATGCGCACAGACAGTTTTTGGAAATCTATTCATGTTCTCTGTTAAGATAGATAACAAAAGAAGCTTCTCTCCCTTCTATGGTTCATTCAATAAAAAGTAAGATAAGAATTCGACCCCCTGTTGAGTGAGATAGGTTTCTCCAAACTTCATTCAAGTCAAGGAATTAGCATTGATAAATTGATTTCTATGAACTAGCCGCTTACCACCCACATTTTCCCTTAACTCTTACACTATGTATATCACAGGAAAGTGCTAACCGCACCTGTTTCACAGGTTTGTGAGTAACTGTTGCTTCTTCTAAAAAAATCTTTAAACTTCGAAAAAATAATATTTTATAAATAAGAACAAAAAAAGCTGAAATATTGCACCTTTGATTTTAAAAAGCGGCGGCATTGATTTTATTAAAGGATGATTTTTAACATGTATTAATATTGTAACGATTCGGTTCTTGCCGATTTGATTTTATAAAACAGCTGATTTTATTATCCAGAGATTCTATTAGCGGCGGGCACTGTATTTCAAATTATACAAATCTATTAACCCTGGTAAATCATCCAATTGTAATACAATGAACACTGCACTGTTAATAATATTATGTCTACAATATAACATTGCTAACAAAACACTCAATGTTAAACATTATCTCTTAAAATTATAAGTCTAAACTAACTTAGAAGATATTATTTAACAACTTAATTTTAACAAAAAAAGAAAAATTCAGGAAAGAGAAAAATATATAATTAATAAATAATTAAAATAAAATAAAATAGTAAAAATACAATTGTATACAGCTTCACATATTTTATATGACTTTTTATACTTTAACATACGAAGTTAAAATATGCAAATATTAAAAAAGTCATAAAAAAAATTCAGCAGAGACTATTATTCCTCTTTGTTCCCCTGTTTTCAAACAGAGATAAATGCAGTATTCCAAACTCCTTTTCTAAGTTACGTTTTTTTCATTTTTATTGGAAAAATAATTTGATTAAATCATTGCCCATAAGAAATGATAGATAAAATAACTGAAGAAGATTGAAAACCTAGTTCCTAATTTATTACTTTAGCAACTGTTTAAGATATTCTAGATTGAAATGTTTGGCAAAGATACAGGATTTTTTTTTAAATAAACTAAAAAGTATATATAATTTGTTCACAATAGAAGTTGAACTTTTCTTTTTATATTCCAAAGTAAATTTATAATTTGTTTACAGTAAAGTTAAATTCTTATTTTTTCTCTTTTGTTTAGTTATTTATAATTTCTTTTATTTTCAAAGTATATCTCTAATTAATTTATAGGAAAAGTGTTAAATTTTTTTTGGAAAGAATGTTTGAGTAAAAATTTTTTAAATAGTTCAAAATAGGCACATAACATTCTTTAAGTTTTCATTGGAATGAGAATATCAGATATGAATTTATATAAAGTTTCTTCTTTTCCTGATTGTTTTAGTATATAAGGACCAACTGAACTAAGAAAACTGTAGAACAGGACAGGATGAAAGACAGATGGCTGCGCACGACAGTTATGGTAATCATCCATATTTTAACTTTTGTTTTTTTATTTTCCTTCACAAAAAATTTATTTTTAGACATTATAATTGTTTTATAAACACTACTAAACTTTTATTTACTCTTAAAACCATAAACATGGATTCAGGGCCTGACTTAGCCTAATTGGGGCCCGGGGCAAAAACTTCTTTGCCCCCCCCTCTGCTTCACTACTTTAGTAATAAAGAATTGAACTTCATTTAGGTACATAAATTTTTCATCTCATTTAGCTATATAACAAGAAAATTGACTAGAACCTAAAATAGCAAATCCAATTCAAGTCCCCCCCCCTCCAATGGTTTTCTGATTATTAACTTTGTCATCAAGCTGCGAAAAATTCATATCCTTGCTAACATTAGGGTGGAATTCAGCTTAATTTTCGGAATTATGATGACTCATTTAAGCCAATCAAAAGCCTGTATTTTTGTAAACATATCGCATTTTCTTATTTACAAAAATACAGGCTTTGAATGGGCCAAATTTTTCCATCGTAATTTTGAAAATTTAGCTGAATTACGCACTAGAAAGCCATGGATTTTTGTGTTCATACGATATGTTAATGAAGAAGCTAACATAAAATTGATGGATTTTACACTGTACTGATATTTTGTTTAAAAAGTAGGAAGTTTAAAATGAAGGAAGTCTAAAATAAACTTTCAATTCGATTTGCTGGCACCCTCCGATGTGGGGCCCGGGGCAACTGCCCCTTATACTCCTGCCTTTATCAGGCTCTGCATGGATTAATTAATGAGAAAAATTTGCAATTGAAAAAACAACAACTAGTTTGCATTTCTTTCGTTGGCGTAAACTTTTCAAAACCTTCCTGGATAACCATAATAAAGTTTAGAAAAGAATTTCACTGACAATCCGAATCAAGGGAGTGATCGTAAAAAACCTCAGGGAAAAAATTGGACAATTTTAGTAATATTATTGCATATCCAACACAAGGCATAGACATCTTTTTTTTTGTCAAACTTTTCAATTTCCAGGTAATTGACATGTTATTGGCCATCTACAATAACCTAAACTATTAAAAAAATATCTACAGATATCTTCTTATGAGATAATTAAAAAGAAGAAAAACACATACCTTAAGAGCCCCACAAACTTCAATGGTTTTAATATCATCAACAACAGCTATTCTAAAATAATCAGTCTGCATTATTCTTTTTAACATTTCTCCGGTGTTTGGGTCTTTAGAGCCTGTAAACAAAATAAAATTTAGTATAAATTTATGTCAACAAATACAGTCAACTCCGATTAAAGAAATATTATTGGTTCCAGCCAATTCTACTCAATTAAGCGGGTTAAAGGGGAGTGCATTGGTCAATCTTAATTTCTAAATTTCTGCAAAATTTTAATTGTACATAGTAGAGTGTTTTAATTGAATAAACTCAATTTTATGATCAATGAACAATTATTTTAAAATTGTCTGTGTTAGTATCATAAAATATAAATGCAAGTCAAAGTTACATAAAAATAAACCTACGCTAATGAAAAATATAATATAATATTATAGGTACTATAATATCATTTTATTCCGTCCAAAAAAATCAATAGTTGAAGACCTGTTGAATTCCATTAACTTCAGTTTTTTAAAATTCGATTTTCCCTTTCTGCTTCTACTAAGACTTTTTTCCTGAAACTCGCATATTCTTCCTGAATGCTTTCGGAATTTTTTTTAAATTCTTGAAACTTGCATACTCTTCCTAAATGCTTTCAGTTTTTTTTAAATCCTTGAAACTTGTGCATTCTTCCAGAATGCATTCGGATTTTATTATTTTTTTAAATTCTTGAAACTTGCGTATTCTTCCTGAATGCTTTCGGATTAATTTTTTTAAATCCTTGAAACTTGCGTATAGAATTAATAATAGAATTGCACATAATATTTAAAAATTTTTGCACACAANCTAATGAAAAATATAATATAATATTATAGGCACTATAATATCATTTTATTCCGTCCAAAAAAATCAATAGTTGAAGACCTGTTGAATTCCATTAACTTCAGTTTTTTAAAATTCGATTTTCCCTTTCTGCTTCTACTAAGACTTGTTTCCTGAAACTCGCATATTCTTCCTCAATGCTTTTGGAATTTTTTTTAAATCCTTGAAACTTGTGTATTCTTCCGGAATGCATTCGGATTTTATTCTTTCTTAAATTCTTGAAACTTGCGTATTCTTCCTGAATGCTTTCAGATTAATTTTTTTAAATCCTTGAAACTTGTGTATCCTTCCTGATTGCTTTTGGAATTTTTTAAATCCTTGAAACTTGCGTATAGAATTAATAATAGAATTGCAAATAGAATTTTAAAATTTTTGCACACAATTATAAAATTCATTTTTCAAAGATAACTCCACGTAAAAATTGCCTTTATTAATTATTTATAATTCTTTATCATTTTATATAATAATGGTCGAAAAAAACTTGAATTGTAAGGGATACAATTTTTTACATCATTTTAAAGAATATAATTTTACATGGCAAAATACACAATTTTTACAAAACAATATTGGTTCCTGAAAAATTGAATTTCAAAAAGTCAGATATTTAAAATTCGATATCTCACTATTTGATAGATTTTGCTTAAATTTAACCTAAAATAGGGTCTGCACTTATTGGTTAGCCTATTTGAGATCTCTTCTTCTAACCATTAACATTAAGTCCTAGAACGTTGAAGATCCAATCATTAGATCAAAAGTTATTAAAGGTAGTCCAATTATTTTTATTTGTGTGCACTGTACATTCAATATTTCCTGTTAGTTGAAGTTTTTAAAAAAAATTTGAAAAAAATAATCCCATTATTGCTGATAGAAAAAGAATTTCAAAATATGAAATACGATATGTTACTTCTTGTTCTTTCTGTACATGTCAGTCACATTTTATTTTTAATAAAATATTTACCATTTCCTTATACGAATAATAATAATAGAAGGCGTTTGAAAAAAGTATAATATAATTTTTTATTAAAAAAAAGTAATTAAATATTTATTGATAAAAGAAAAAGCTTAAAAATAAGAAAACCTACGAAAAGTAAGGTGAGTCACTATGGAATGCGCATGAAACCAAAGACTAGACACAAAGCTGGGTTATGGAAAGTGAATCAAAAATACACATCAATAACAAAAAAAAAGTAAATACCAATGGTTGATTCACAGAACTGTCCAGATGCAACTTCTCCAGCTAAATTAGCACCCATCATGACACTCACATCAATTTTCAGCATTTCATGCAAAACATCCGAAATTAAGGCAATCCCACCACCAGGAATGATGTCAAATCCCTGTCAACAAACATTTACTTTATTAAATTTGCATTTGTTCAAGAACATTATCAGAAGTAAACGATAAATGATGTGCATTGAATTTTTGTTTCAAATCATTTGTTAAGTCAATCAATTGTATAAGTCAATCACCTATTTTTGATGATGAGATTTCTGGTATGTTAGGAGTGTAAGTGGAAAAAAATATCTGCACTGCTTCTAGAAATCATGTATCAAATGAAAGGCACTCAGAATGTCTGCTAATAAGGTTTGGGAAAATTCAGTTAGCTATGAGAAAATTTTTGGTCTAATTACAAACCNTTTCTTGAGTTATCGCGATTTTTGTGAATTTTCCTTAATTTATGATAACCAGTGTATTAACCCCTTCCTTCTCGCTCCCTTGAAAATAACAGGGCGAGGTTTCGCAATCTATTTCTCGCTCCCATGATATTTCTGGGCTGGAGTGTTCAGTAGTAACGCGTCAATGAGAATAAAACTAATTCATTTCGTTTGCCCGGAAAACATCTTATTTCTCATTTTTCACACCAGATGGCAGTACCAGGATATTTTTAAGGTAATTGTAGACAGTTAGTTTAGTTTAAAGTTTGTTGCTCCACAAGAGATGAAAACAATAAGAGATGTAGGAAGGAAACTCAGTATTACTGTACAGATTGTGACGTTGGCCTCTGTATCTCATGCTTTGAAATTTATCACACAAGAGAAAATCACTTATCTTTATTTATATTATACGTAAGCTTAATAAAATTCTGTTTTAATGCTTAAAACACATATTTTTAAAATTTTTCTTGTTTGCTGAAAAACCAACATTAAGTCATCAATAATGTTCACTTTTCCCAAAAATTTAATTTTTTAAAATTTCAACCTAAAAACAAATTAAAAATGAATATATATATTGTAATATATATTGTAATATATATATTGTAATATATATATATTATAACAAAATAGGCACTTTTATAACCGTTTTCCTGAAAATTAACCGTTTGTTAAGGGGTTAAAAGAAGGTTTTTTTCCTTTATTTTAAAAAAGTAACCATGTATTTATTTTTAAATAACTTAAGAATGTTTCTGCATTATTTTTAACCAAAACAAATTAGACAATTTGACTGCCTAACTATTGTTAAATGTTAGTTACTAAATAAAAAAAGTAGTACTAAAATAAAAAAAATCATTATCAAAAATTTTATACTAATGGGCTCCGTCACCTGTTTGCTAATGCTTCCAACCGCAAAAGATTGCAATGCAAACTTCCATGGCTTGCTTTGTAAACCCTTAACATTTTGTAAAGTAGATTTATACAGTGGGATATACAGTAATGAAATTTTACCTTTATTAATGACAGAGCTACAGCCGTTGGTTTAATTTTGCCAACTAAAGGTGTCGCTGCTCCTCTGACAAATTTGTGGGGCAAAACCCAGACTAAAATATCAGCATCTTTTGCTGCTTCTAAAGGATCAGGAATAGCAACCTGAAAAAAAAAGTTGTGATTTCATACTTGTTTTGCATACTTAGCAATAAATTAATTAATAACAAACAAATCTATTAGACATTAAAAGGACTCAAGGCAATATGACGAAAAACCAGACATTTTTCTAAGGTGACATTTTTACACTAAACAGTTCCTCAGTATCATTTTCAGATAGATACTTTATAATCTTCTGGAATTTCTGCAAGATAACACTGAGAGACACAGGAAGATTTTATTGCCTACATGTAAATCATATTTTTTCCCAAAACACTCCGTCGCAGAGTTTGAGAAACGTAGCGTTATATATAATATTGATTTAAGTCTTTTATTTAATTTTGTTATTTTACATTATAGTTGACATTAGCGCAGCTTTACCTATCTCCAACTGCACTGCACGTTTCAATTAATATTAAGTTAACTTCACTTTTAAAAAAATTCACTTGTTTTTTAATTTATTTACTATGCCCCTATTTCAAATAAAGCTTAAAAAGCTAATAATAATAAAATAAAAAATATGGAGTAAGAAACTTTTAGTTTGAATAAAAGTTAACTTAAAACTTAACATTAAACAAATTCAACTACTTTACTTCAGAGCTCATTCTAGGCTGGGTAAACAGGGCGCAGCACCCTGCTGCCCTTTTAGTCAAAAGAATCCACCCTGTTGCCCTTGAAGTAAATTAGTGTCCTGATGTGATAAGACTCCATACCCTTTTTGCCCTTTCTTTCCTCAACCCTTTATTTTTTCTTCAAACTCTACAGTGGATTTGTCAAACTTTTATTTTTAACTCTTTTTATTTAGTTTGTCATTGCTGTCAATACAAAGATTTATATGAGAAAGGAAAAATAGCCAACAAACCCCCTTGTTGCACTTGTCTTTGAAAGTTTGCAGTTACTTCCACTATCATTAAATCATAACTACAGACACTTAAAAACACACATTTATTATTTTATTAATATATGCATGCATTTTAAATAAATTACCACGCTAATTAGCTCATTAACTCGATACATATGTTAATTTATTAATGAAAATTAGTAATTAATATGATTGCTTTGCTACCTTTAGTAAAATAAAAAAATAAAAAATTTCTTTTACCAATTGACAATGTTTTTTAACAGAACATGTAAAGCCTGTGGAAAGAAATTATTGCCTTTTTAGAATAATAATTTAAACTTTTGCACCCTGCCCTTTTTTTCTGCCTAGAATGAGCTGTGTTTACTTTATATCTATAACATGTCACAATTTCAAATTTAACATATTAGTCAACAAAAATAATAATAACAAAAAAATAGAATTAAAATTGATTTACTTTGATTGCTAATAATTATAATTCTTTGATATTAACATTCATTAGAGGCACACCCTACATCATTAAAATTCTTTAACTTAGGAAATAGAATAAAATGCCGACTTACAACATTATCAGGAATCTTGTACCCAGGTAAGTATTTAATATTTTCATGTTCTGTGTTGATGATTTCACTAAGTTTTCTACCATCTACCATTTCTTCAAAAACGTACATATTTACTGTGTTGTCAAACTCAGCAAAGTTTTTCACATTCTCTGCAACGATTCTTGCAATTGCGGTGCCCCTAATAAATACAAATTAATCATTCAATGCAATTCACTATTAACAGTATTTTAATAAAATTAATCAAAAGGTATGCTTATGAAATTAGATTTAATTGAAGAAAAATAAAAACCAGAACAATAATACGCAAAATAAATCATTAAATACTTTTTTTTCATATCCGTCCTTGAACAGCCGACCCATTTTTGGGTTCACGGCTATTAATGTTCAACTCTGTAGCCTTGTAATTTTGAACCAATCCAGAAGACAAGGAAACTCCTGGATCAGTACCCCGGGATAGCCTGGTTGGTAGGGCACTGGGCCCAAGTCCAAGAATTTGTGGATTCAATCCCTGCCGGCTGAAGAATCCCTGTGTAGTAAATGGTGATTAGTGCACGTTAAATCTGGAGTTGCAAAGTCCTCCATGTTCCCATAACAATTTAATACTAAATACTTTAACCATATTCTCCAGATTATAATTTTGAAACAATGGTTTTTTTATTAATTGGACATATAAGATGGGTTTTGGCTCATTTTTTGAAAATAGCTTTAGGTCTCAGACTCATGTATTTCATACATTTTTTATTACATTGAAAGTAAAAAAAAATTTTAATTTTTTTTGAGTGTTAGATATTAAAAAAAAGTAAAAATTAAATCTGTCAGTAAGTAATCATAATAATATGTATTTTATTTGATCTTCCCCTTTGTGAATATTGGCCTTTATCTTTCATATTAAATCTCAAACCGGATGACGTACAAAGGAATGCTATGGATCTCTGACAAGCTCAAATTTGAAATCTTAAGAGCCTTAAAAAGTGAACATAAACTTATGTCTAGTGTATTAGTTAACATTGACATTTACACAATGAAAAACTCATCTTTAATTAATTATAAAACTTTGATAATCAAAGATAAATCTTTATAACACTAATGTAAACAAATAATTTATAAATGTTTCATTAATCCAAGGCAAGTTCTAAATAGAGATACTAACCAGACTAAACATTTGGCTTACCTTGCTCTATTCTCAAGAATTTTTTTTGAAATTTTAACAGATATAAGGTAGTATAAAGGACCTCTTGAAGATAATAAAGAATGCAGAAATTGAAATAAACTTATTGCAATGTTCTCCCTAAGTATTTTTAGAAGAGCTGTCTGCCCTTTCATGCGACCTTTTTGTAAAAAATAAGCCGCCATCCCTTAAAAGCACTACCTTTTTATTTATATTCATTCAATTCATAAAAAAATTAGTTCACTGTTTAAATAATAATTTCACACTGGTAAAATTATCGGTATTCATAGGTTTAATTCTGATTGCTTTGTCAGCATTATTCTCATCTGGTAGTTTCTCTTTTTTAAGGAGGTACATAGATGAACTTTTTAACTGATTTTAAAATTATATATCGAACACCTTAAAAAAAAAAGACAGCTTTAAATATTTATTTTTGCACAATTTTCAGTTTAAATTATAGAAAAATGCCTTGGGGTAGCCCATCAATAAACATTTCTTTTTTAGCTTACTTAAAAAAAAAAATTTAAAAATTTACACAGTGACTTTTTTTAAATATTCTTTTTATTATTTATTTATAAGCTAATAAATTTTCTCTCATTTTGATAATCAGAGAAAATTACTTTTTGAAATATACATAAAATAGTACAAGAGGGTAATTTAAAAATTGTTGAAGATCAATTTCAGTTATTACATAGTAGTAAATATTTTTAAAAACTTTTTAGTGTTGAGTGAGTGCCCTTTCAAAACTCAAAGTGGCTTTTTCTGTAAGGAAGAGCCCTCTATCATTCCAGAGGAGAACTCTGTAACTGAAAACAAAGTTTTAATATCACCCACAAATATCATTAACGCCTTACGATTGGTTAATTTTCAAGAATTCCCTAATTTGATCCTTTCATTGGTAACTTGTTGGTTGAATTTCCTCAATCAGAAAACATATCCTTTTTCATTGCTCAGTTTGCAAGCCAATTTAAGCAAAAATATCTGTTTACTAATTTAACATTCACATTAGAACTGCTCATCTTTAAGGTGTAAGGACAACTTGGAACATTATTGTCACAAGCCAAGGGAAAGGGGCTGTTGATTGCATTGGTGGAATTATAAAACATTTAGTAAGGAAAATCATCTTGGCTCTGGAAGATGGGTCACAACTGAATTTGCAATAGTTGCTGCAGAAAATACCCAAAGCTTGATAAAGGCATTTATTTCAAAAGAAGAGATAAATATATTCAAAGATTTTACAGAAAAAATATTCAGTCTCTTCCTAACACAACCAACACTCACTATTTGAAACCTCTAAGAAATTATGTTTCTGAAAATAGTGAGTATTATTATTATCATTATTTTTTTTTTGAAGGAAAGAGATTTCACTTTAAAGAGATCAGGCAAATTATTATGATATTACAGGTGAAGGTATCGTCATAATAATTTGTCATAAAGTCTAAGTCATAAGAACATGCTAAAGGATGTATTAATATTGGGTAATTTGTTAGAATAGAAAAGAAACAGATAAAAAATAAAAACTATGTTAGACAGATTACTTCACATAGAAGATGAATAGATAGAAATATCCCATTTGAAAAAATGAAGAAAGGATGTTGGAGGAACTTAAATGCTGGATTGACTCTGATAAAATTTATCCTGAAATTGAAATGGATGGCACTGGTAGATTTAAATTTTATATGAATGATTCATAGTAAATTGTACGTTTAAATTTCAGAAAACCTTTTCAGAGGAATAAATTATTGTAATTCGAAGTTCTTTCTGTCCTTCCATTACCATTAACAAGTAGCATTTCCATGGTTAATGTAATTAATTTTCAGAAATACAGGACAAATTATAATAACAAAAGAATTTTTTATGTATTTTTATTTTTCAAAATGTGGCTGAATTTTTATGAAAAATATGATAATGTCGAAATATGATAATAATGATGATTATTAACTGAAAATTCCTAGGTTTGGCTATAAAGTATTGGATGACTAGAGTCTAAGTATAACGATTAAAATTAATTCTATAGTATACTAAATCTCTATTTTAATGAGGGTAATATATTTCTACAATCTAAGCTCACAATCAGCTTATTTTAAGAACTCTAAAGAAGATTTAATAGATTTCTTAGAAGATAAGTGTAAAGAATGTTGAACGGCTTATCAAGCTATCTTCCCTAAAACCGGTTTGTTAGTTTATTGGCTACAAAACTGTAGGTATATTCAGACAAATATTTGAAACAAATTTAATAAAAAGAAATTAAGTTATTTGAAAAAGGACAAAAATATTGATAAAAATATGATATTATTTCAGCTGTACAAATATATAAAGAGACGAAAGTAAATTAAAAATCAATTTCACAAAGTTCCTCCTGCTGGGAAAAAGAATTTTAGAAATAAAGTTGTAAATAAATAATTTAAATATTTTTTCTTTAAGAAAAAAATATATTACCAATTGCCGGAACCGATGATTGTTACTTTTTTCATGATGAAAGTAAAATTGTTATAACAACAAAAAATTAATAATAATCAGGAGAAGAGGAAAATTCTCATGTGAATTTATCACTAATAATCGAGCATCACAATCTGAAGTAAAGTTATCAAGCGATAAACAAACAACCTTCGACCTTGTCGCAGGGTGATGCCATTCAATTTAAAAGTATTGTATTCGATGTTTGTGAGCTGTGAAAGGGCCGTTCACACTGTATGATCTTAAAATTAACACCAAGAGGAAAATAAGTCTTAAGAGTCATTCTCACTAAATACGGTCCACGCACTTAATTTTTACCCAGATATTTTATGATTTTTTTTATAATCATTTACCGAGATATTTTATGAATATATTTCAGACATAATTTTTTCTCTCACAAACTTATTATTTCACATAATAAATGGATTAAATAATTAGTTTCGGTTTCTTGCAGAACTTATAAAATCTATAATAATCTTGCACGACTTTAAATAAAACATGAACATTTTTTCTGTTCCAAATTTTTGTGTATTCTCAGCCATAATATGTTTAGTTTAATTATGGCAGTGTATTAACTTTTATTTTAATTACCACGTAATATTTTCAAAATATTTGCAGAAAAAAGAATTTTTTTCTTTAAAAAATTGGCTCGAATTTAGTAAGATGCTCGTATGAGTGTGGATCATAGTCAATAAGAATGGCCTTAAAGGAAGGAATAATTTCCATCTCAAGTCTTGCACCAAAAGAATGTCTAGATATGAATGGTAGTCTTTTTTGAATTGAATCGCCATTCTGATTCATCGCATTGAACTCAGTAATAATTCGTTTTTAAGATGATGAAAGTAAAAAAAAAAAAGACATGATTGTCTAATTACCCAATATGTCTTGAATGTATATGGGACATTTTATGAAAGCTTAAATTATTCTAAAAAAAGCTAAGCACAGATCACATGTAGAGCTAACTTCTAATTAGAACAAAACGCGTAAATCCAAGAGCATTTTATTGCGATTCATTTGAAATTGGTTTCGTATAAAAATAGGTCATATTTTCCGAAACTACCAATGCATATTTAAACAAAATTTTTAAAGAACTTAATTTATCTTTAATACAGAAATCCCAGTGCATTCACATAGCAAAATATTACAATAGATACTTTACGATTTCTGTTTGAAGCTAGACATGTTGCAAACCGGTTCCTGTTAAAAAAAAATGAGTCATACTTTCCTGAAAAACCTAAACATGTGTAGAAATATTTACAGTATGTTTTTAAAGACCTTAATTAGTCCAAAACAGGTCCGTGTGCATATATAAAGCTAACAATACAATGGACACTTAGCGCTTTTTTATATTAAAATATCTGTGGGATATGTTTTGAAAATATCCTTATGTATTTGCGTGAGTGTATATGCTTATTAAAAAAAATTAAGACCGTAATTAGTCCAAAACACACAAATCCTAGGGTATATTTTGATTTACCATAACAAGTTTTTTACAATGTAGGATTTATAATTCCTTGAAACCGGCTTTATATTTGGGAGTCATAATTGCCAAAAATACACATACTTATCTAGAACTCTAGTTGAAAGAACATTTTTATGGGTGTATTTCTACATTATTTGTAAACGTTCTGTTGTCAGGATATATAACAATATATTTGTGTTAAAAGAAAGAGTCAAAAAATAATACAAAAAATACATTTTATTTTTGGCAGACAAAAAGGCAAGTCATCTGGAATACATGGATATTTGGTTTCAAATGAGAATTTAAAACTCTCGTAAAAAAAAAAGAGAAACAAAAGTATCGAAAATATTTTGGCCAATTCTTTCTTTGTAGGCACATACTTTGAATAAACAAAGACATTCAATTTTTTTTTCTTTCAATGTAAAATTTTTATCTACTTAGTATAGAATGAGATCTCTCACAATATTTACAAAATACAAACAATCACAGATACAGTTCTTGTAAATTTTAAATATTGATTACCACATAGAATTTATCTACTAGTAATATACATATGTATTTAAAGTTAATTAATTATTAGGAATTTCGAAACATTTGTTTTTTCCGTATTCACTTTTTATGAGGGGAGATTTAACACACATGGAAGAAAATTTTTAATTTCTTAAAAATTTTCCTTAAAATTCCAACAAATTGCTCTCGATAACTGGAAGGCAAGAGGAACAATATTTGAGAGAAGAGTAAAAATGAAATAATCATTATTTTATATACAAAGCCAGTTCTATATTTTTTACCCCTTGTACAAAAAACACTAGATAGTTTTATTTTAACAATTAACAGGTGTAAAATCTAGCTAAATAATTATCTAATAAGTTAATTAACATGTGTTTTATATTTTACATTGCATAGAAAGTTCAATTTTAACCTTGGGAAATTCACTATATAATAAAGAATGTTGTATTATAAAGTGACCTTCAATTAGGTAATAATGTAATCGAAAATAATATAAAGTATTTCATTAGCTGTATATTGAGTAAATTCGTCTTATTATGTAGAGAAACACTAATATGCAGATAGCCAAAATCTTTTTAATGAAAACCACCTGATTTAAACATATGGCAGACAAAATAAATGTTCATTTTTGACATCTAATCGGAACACTTTCGGAAAACCAGATTTTTTTAAAAATATTTTTCATCCTATTTTCAAAGCCTTTCATCAAGGAAAAAAAAAAAAAAAAAAAAAAAAAAAAAAAAAATTAAAAAAAAAAAAAAAAAAAAAGCCGCACTCAAGGCATATAATTTTAAACTATCCTTACCATTTTGGTGTAAGGAATAATCTTGACTTCAGAGCAGAGAAATAATTAAATATTTGTAAAGATATTAAAGGATTTTTTTTTAATTGCGCACCTGGAAAGTTTTTTTTTTTTTAACCTAAATGAAAACTCACCATTTTAGAAATTTTAATGAGTCCATGTGAGGTAATTTAAAAAAAAATTAAATCACAAGTACTTTTTTATTTTCAATAAACTGTGGTCTTTTCTCCAAATTGAGATTTTGCACCATTATCAGAATTAGCATACAGTGTGGGCTTAACTTTATCTGACTGTTATCAATAACAGTTGCAAAATAACAGCAGCAATGAAAACAGAACATCATTCACTAAAAAGCATTATTCAGTGCGACGACAGAGTATTCAAGAAACAGCCTAATATAATTTAATTCAATGTGAGTTTTTTTTAAAAATTCGATTAAGATTTCCAAAATGAAAGATAATGAAGAATTTAATTTCATTATTTTCATAGTGTCACTTATGAATGATGCATCTTTTTCCAATTAGGAATTCATATCCTAATTAAAAAAAAGGTAAAAACATGAAAAAACTACTTTAGTGTGGTTCAAAAGGCAATCTATTAATGTAAACTACTTATACAGAAATAGGGTTCCTAAATATTCTCTTTAAATGTAAAGCACATAGAAATTTCATAAAGCTCTCTGGGAAAACTACTTGAATTTTAAACATTTCAATGTTTATTTATAAAATACCTTTAAGTCCATGAAATGATGCCTTCTAAACAATGGATTCAATATCATCCACAATCAGCAGAATTTTTAAGATCAGAGATATTACTTCTTTTTCTGTTAAGGCAACAACACTTAAAAATACCTTTATATTCGGCATCAAATAACTGATTCACTAATGTATTTATTTATTTAATATGAAATAAAAAAGAGGAAAAAAAAAAATGAACTATTGTATTTAAAATTTTTAGTTTCACAAAAAGTACCATATCCAGAATAGAGATAGTTAATATTATTTATAACATGGATCTATTACAAAATACTAGTTAAAAGTAGCAATTTAAATTGTTTTGTATTGTATCATTGTACATATAAAAATTTTCTTTTTCGTACCTGCTGCTTCATATTATACTTCAAGCCATTTTAAAATCCAGCCGAAGGAAAAGGAACTGATGCCCAGTTTTATACCCAAGTCTGTTAATTTGTTATAGATATTTCTTATATTGAATTAGTTGTAATATGGTATTTAGTATTAGCCATTATGAGCAAACTCTAAGAGTACCTGACTTCTATTACAATCATGGGACACAATTATATAAATAATTAAAACTAAGGCAAAAACTTTCATATATAACATTATTCGTTGTTCATTAAAACAATACTTTGATACATTTAGTTGCACGCAAACATGCAAAGAACAAATTTCGATGAAATATTTTAGCGTTAATGTTTTTATTACACATCAAGAAGTATTCCAGCCAGAGTTTTACATTTTAATGTAGAGCCATCGAATGGTGGGAGACCTGTCTTGACCCCTACAACTGTACTGTTAAAAACAAAAAAATTATAAGAAAATAAATTTTTTAAAATTAGTTTTTGTATTGAAAATATAAAAACATTTTTTTTAATATTTTATCAAAGAAATGGAAGAAAAAAGAAGACAGAAGGCTAAAAATTTCCATGGGCTCTTCAAAAAAATATTTTTTTTGAGTTAATTTTTATTATTAAAATATAAGGTTCAATTTAACAATTTTAGATGAATATCTAAGCAGACCACTTAAACACAAAATATCGCCTTCACAGCCACTAATATTGCATGGATGAAATATAAAAAAAAAATTATTTCAATAATATAGATGTTCTAAATGATTCATTTTTGAAAGGCACAGTAGAAAGAGAGAATATTTATAAGGGTCCCCCGCAAAGTCTAGTGATGGTTCTGCTAAATAACGTATTTTTCATAAGTCTCCCCCTTAAAAAAAGGAAATATTAGCTGCTAAAATATATTAAAAACAGCTGCTTTTCTTATTTTCAATAGCTGCCAAACAAAGCCATGCAAGTTTTACTATGAGAATTTTTAATGATATTTATTTTAACACAGAGTTAAGAATTTTTTTTAAAGTTTTGAACAAGGAGCACTAAAAATGAATATAACATTTAAAACCAAGAAATTGCAGGAGCAATTACTTTTATAAAAAAGAAATTACTTTTACAAAAAAATAAAATTTTTTCGATACTTCAATACTTTTTTTCCAATAATCTAAATTGAATAAGATGAGTTTTAACAAGCCTTATTTTAGTCTAAAAACACACAGGAAAGAAATTTAGATAGCCTTTCATATGAAAGAACAAAGAAAAATGTTGTATATATAAATCAACATAACAACACTACATAGATAACAAATGTACATTATAAATGGTATAATCTAAAATACTAAACGGCATACGTTCGCATGAAAATCTATCCTATTTACAAATATAACTTCACTATAAAAATTATCTTTGTTGTAAATCAATGAAGATGCTTACATAATCAACATTATGCTAATAAAAAAATGGCAAGCGAGGCTCTAAAAATTTGTTTTCTAAAAACATTTATACAATTATACATATAAATGCAACGAAACATTATACAAATTGGTAAATAATTGCTAGCTATACAACATAAAAGCTTTAAACCCAACATGATTTTTTTGTTTTGTTTTTATGATAATGTACAATAAAGATATTGCAATTGTGGAAAGTAGGGGAGATGTATAATTTAAGTGCACCAAATGATCACAGCAATATTTGTAACTTATGTTCATGTGAAACACACAAACCTAGACGCATACGAAAGTTGTGCAAGTTTTATTGCAAATTATTATATTTAAAAAAATGAATTTTTTTTGCTGATTACTATTTTATGATGACCATAGCACATTTTTAAAAATGAAAATTATATAAGTGCATTCATAATTATAGTTTTTGTTTTTATACAGAACAGCAGTCTGTTTTTTTTTTTTTTTAAAAGATCAAAATTCTTCTATGCTAAGATGTTTGGCAGCCTCTTAGATTTCAACTTTCTGAATGTTTTATGTCAGTTAAAATTTCTGTTTTTACATAACTTGCAAAACAATGCTGCAGTACAATTTATAACTAAAGAAACATCCACGTCCTATTTTATTAAAACAAAATAATATTTTTTGTATTGATTTGTACTTAAAATATTATTTTTAATACATAAGTTTGTAATAAATAAGAAATATTAATTACCAACAGATTATAGTAAGTTTTTTTTCCATCATATTTCAAGTACAATGAAAAAAAAAATTTTTTTTTTTAAGCTAACAAGTCATGTTTAAAATCAATACAGGTAAATTTTTCATAAAATTGACAGATTTACAACATAAGATGTAATAACAATCTTTCAAGAACAGATCAAATTTTTAAAGAACTTTTGTAGTAAAAACAATCAATTGGCATGAACCCACTGTCTTAAGATGAGAGTTAGTTTTGTTCATATCCCCATGCATAGTAGTCTTGAGATATAGTGTCAGCAACAGATCCTCCAACAAGGCCATTAGGTGTCATTTGAGGGGGGTGATGAGGAATGAATCTGTTCATCGGCACTTGTGGTACAGTAGATTCTTCTAAAATTTATAAAACAATCCATTTACATATCATCTTAGTAGTTAACTACTACTACTTCTTTCTACATGTAGCGACTTCAAACTACTTTTGTAACACTTCGTTACTTTTAGAAGACAAACTTAACGGGAGAACTTAATTTTCACCAATATTTAAAATGATTTCGAATAAAATATTGGCTTGGTTATATAGGAGGATATATTAAGAAGTTATAATTCATGTTTACATGGATTAGTTTTTATTATTTTTATTTTAAAGCACCTTTTTACAAATTTGTTCTTTAAACTTCCAAAAATTTACGCTTTTCTCGACAGTAATTTAAGAAATGCTAGAAAATTACTAAATATTTGTGATTTAAGAGATCAATGCTTTTTTATATCCTCTAAGAAATAAAGTACAGTGCTAAAAACTATAAACAGACCACCCTGAATAACTTTTGATCTAATGATCGAATCTTTCTGTTCTAGGACTCAATCTGAATGGTTTGAGGCAGTGACCGCAAATATGCTAATTAACTAAAGCAGGCGATATTTTAAGTGACAAAATCAGGCACAAAAACATACTTTATAGTTCCTGCGAAATCAAAATTTCAAAAAGTCAGATATTTAAAACTCTATTTCTGAGGAACAACTCTAATGATTTCGCACAGATTTTTCTGAGCGTCAAACGTAGATTTTATTAACGCTCGGCTACAGAGTTATTCTCATTGCGTACGTTGATGGGCCCACAAAGGATTTGCACCAATCAGATTCGAAATTTTTTTTGCTTTTTAACATTTATATGCAACAGAACTTACTGTCTTTATTTTTATAGGTCGTATACTTGCAAATTAACAACTGAAACTTTTGAAACTGTGGAATAATTTAATCTTACCCTGAATATTTTTTTAAATAACATTATAACATTCATTATTACTAATATCAGATATAAGAACATTCAGATACGAATTTCTGAAATCACTTTTATTTACAGTTGATTTAGCAGGTTACAAGATATTAAGTGCTTTGACCACAGCATCATTAATAAAATAAGACTCACTTTTTACAACTAAGCTTCAAAAAAAAAATTTAAAAAAAATTTCCAAGAGATTTTAGCACTTAATAGAACTTTAATGATTTTTTTTTTTAAATTTTAGATAAGCAAACAATTGTCAAACTTTTCAGAAATCAATACTGCTTAAGATTGTAAAGGAAATATCAAATTTTATCCCTTACTTACATTTTAATAAAAGTATAAAATTAAACATGCTTTTCGTATGAATCTAAAAATTGGTTACATAGTAACACTGATATTAGTTATCTAGAGTTAAAATTGAATGATTAGTTAGAGTTAAATGGATATAAGTTAATAGATATATCTAGGATTAATAATAGTCTCTTTTTGATGACTTGTTTCCTTTATTATCCTTTCAGCAACACTGTTATATTATCCTAACTAAGCACTGGTCATAACGCTAGGTTTTAGTCTGTTTAATAGAATATAAGCTAGCATTAAAATGAATAAATAAATAAATAAAAATAAAATCTACACATTAATATTATTAAAGTTAGAAAAACTGCTTACAAGCCAAATTCCTCAATTTCAGTAAGAAAAAACTACAGAAAAGTGATTATTATTTTAAAACCATTAAATGCATCAACAATAATAAATAAAATTTAGTATACAATAAACACTAATACTAGAAATAAATATTGATAAAATTCTACATAAAAATAATAGATTGTGTAAAAAGGGCAAATGCTTTCCCCCAAAAAATATTAAAAAGCAAAAAATAAAAATAAATAAATAATAATATTTTAAGTTTAAAGAAGCTTTTTACCACCCAATACTAATACTATTAAGAGTTTTAATAACAAAATAATGATTTGTTCTCAAGTTAAATTATTTCTTGAAGTGCAAAAACTACACATTTAAAATGTTTATAGATTTACTAAAAAAAAACTTTATTTGTTTCATTTTCAATTTTTACAGCTAAAGTCAAGAATTTTGCTTGTCATCACAAAACAAAGACATCAATAGTTTGTTTTACACAATATAGTAAGAGAAAATAAAATCAAAAATCTAAAGCAAAATTCTAAAAAACAAATAAAATAAAAATAATGAAATATTTAGAATGTTGATTGAACACTTACCTTCTTGTGAATGTAGCCTGCCTCCTCTTCTAACCAGCAATCTTACAGAATTATTACCTTGCCGGATTAGTTCAATTGCTTCGGCATGAGTCATATTCTTTGTGTTCTTTCCATTTATTTCAATTATCTGATCTCCCACCTGAAAGAATAAAACAATCTATGAAACAATTTAATTATCTTATGATGTCTATTGCTATTCTAATGATTGCTTAGATGGAGTTTGCAGGTACAAGGCTCAAACGTGAGTTTTCCTATGGATTGCCTAACCTAAATGACACTATCTTATTCTTTCTCTTAGGTAGCATCAAATGTTTTTTTTTTTTTTTAGGTATAAATGAGGAACTGTAAAAGTGGTTAAATGTCTGAAAAGAATTTTACAACATCATAACTCTGGTTCTAATATTACCATTAACTTAAACTAAAGCAAGCATGAAAGTGGACAAAAATTACTTTTACAATGCAGACACTGGAAGGTGGGAGTGTTCTATGTAATACTGTGATATCAATAAGATACAGTGAAATTTTAATTTTTCTTTAACATAATTTTAAATGTCTTTGAACCCTGCTATATTAAAGAAAATGAAGCAATATATAAGGCTTAATAATCATGAATGATGAAAATTTATCATATTAATAGTTAATAATGTTTTAAATAATTGTCAGTTTTTAATTAATTGTCAGTCAGTGATTTTAAATTAAAATCACCACTTACTTTCACCTCAATATCTTCTGATAGATTGCTATGAACAGTTTTAGTCACTTTTGACTGTTTCATTTAACCAATCTGTCAATTTATTTTTTTCAGCAGCATGGATCGTACCCACTTTGTTTGTCCATCAAATGGATTTCCAATGTCAAAATACATTTATTTTACAATGTACCACGTAAAAAAGACACAAGTAAACAAATATGTGCACAAACGACTAAAAAAAAAAAAAAGAACCAGCGGAGTCAATAAAATAGTAATGTACGGATAAGAAAAATTCAGAGTGGGCCTCCTCACCAAGGAGAAAACTCCCGGATCAAATATTGGCTTCCGAAAAAAATTCGTAAAACTCAACAATGAAGAACTTCGCTCTTTCTGTTCTACAGTGGAGTCTGTAATAATTGGACCCCAAAAAATTACGAATTATGCGTGTGGAACATTGTCGGAAATTTTAAAACTTGAGAGAAAAAAGCATATTTCTGCTTTTTTGCAGAAGTATTTCATCCTAATTAATGACAACAAAACAAAAAAAGTGAGAGAGAAATAAAATACCATTAGCTTCCCATCTTGGTGAGCAGGGCCGTTTTCAGCTATACGCAGCACAAACAATGGCATGTTCTGAAACTCCTTTCCACCTCTTATGCTGAAACCAAACCCCCGTGTTCCCCTGTGCAGTTCTATGGCGTGGTACTGATCGTCCACATCCTCTCCCCTTTGAGAAGTAGATGTGGTGCTGGAGGTGTCATCCTGTGGGGGTCCAATGGTGAGGGTGATGGAGTAGCCAGAGTCCTTAATAAGATTCACTGTTTCACCATGGTGCATATTTAGTATGCTCACATTGTTTACAGCTAGGATTCGGTCTCCCACATGCAGCTGCCCACATCGGTCAGCAGGACTGCCTTCAATGATGCGGCCTGGGCAAAGAAAATAAGAATTTAGAACAAAATAGCACTGAAAAATACATGGGTACAGATAGAATATAACACGAGCTAGAGAAGCTTTGAATGCCATCCCCAGGAATTTATCAGTAAACAATTTTAAAGTCTATCTACACTAAATAAAATCACACAGCACTGGAAGAAATAGGCTTCTTGAAACCCAAGTGGGAGAAATTCTTTTTATAAAGGAATATCAAGTATTAAATTAAAACAGTTTTTAATTGCAATCTAGTTTAAACAATAGTATTATTTTTAAATAACTTAATGTATAAATTTCAAAACAATGATTATTTCTTAAACAAATTCATAAAGTCATAAACATAATTTTTTTCATTAAGCTAAAACTCATGAATAGTTTAAAGTGCATTTTCAATTATAGATATTTTTAAAAACAAAGCTTGTAAGTATTCAAACATAAATATATTATAGCTTTTAAAAATATAACTCAGCTCAGCATTTGATACCTTAATTGTATTTTGCTAAAATTTACTAACATTATAAATAAAGGGAGAACTGGTTCTTCTGTTTTTAAATAAATCAGTTTTACAAATAAAAGAAAATTTAAAACAAAATTTCTAATATGAAACACATTGTGACCTTAAAATAATTTGTAATAATCTTATTGTGAACAGACGTATCATAATTTAGTTAGATATAAGTATTACATATTTATCTAGTTGCATAAGCTTACATTTTTATTTAGAAGAATAAGGATACTATATGTGAAAAAAATAAATAAATAAAAATTCAAAATAATTTAATAGGTTATACAAATTTTAAAATTTTGCATAATATACTTGAACTATTCTTTGAGTAGTTACCATTAAACAATTGTATGGGTCAATTTTAGTTTCTGTCATTTCAATCAATTTCTTCCAGAGCCCTTAAGTTCATATGAAATGGGTTGTTGCTGATAAGTTAATCTGTTACATCTGAATTAGGTTAATAAACATTTATTTTCAATATTAAATATTTTTTTAAAACTAATAAGATGCATGAATACAAATTGAATATAATATTATTACTTAAATACAAATAATTATTAGGTATATCAGCAAATTATCCATGTGGTATTTGAGGAAGCAAAGACAGAACGTTAAAAGATGCCTGAATTTTAAACTGATAAGTAACAGATTGAATAGAAGAGTATTGGATAAGTTAAGGCAAAACAGTCCTTCGTGAACCTACTTCTTTAGAGAAAATTATACTTTCTACATCTGAAATGTATGATGGATTTGAACTAATATTCTGATTAGCTATGAAATTTATTCATTTTATTTTAAGAACTTTAAGGTAACAAAAATGTAAATAAGATTTAATGTGAATAATATAAGGTTTTATTTTATATTTTATTTGCTTATTTCTAATCTGAGTTAGGTCATGGAGGCGAAATGCCAGAAATTTAATTCAGGGATTCGCAGTTTATAGACAGAAATAAAAGGCTACATTTAAAATTTAAAAAAAAAAAGTTCACTTTTAATGTGGCTATTTGCACACATTAATAAACCACTTCAGATTAACATACTCACATTTAACAAACTTTTGAATTTTATATCATAAGAATTACTAAAGGAAAAAAAAAATATTCAACTAATTTAACAGATCAAATGCAATTCAAAACATAATTTAAAATGGAATAAAAAGGCTTTTCTTTTCTTCCTGAGAGTAAGTTATATAAATATTGTTCAATCTTTTATTACGTTGCACCAAGAAAATCTTCAACTTGTAAAAACTCTATTACTATACTTAATAATTATCTAATTTCAGCTGGTATTACAACAGTACAGCAACCAAGAAAAGAACCTTGAAATTGTAGAACTTTATTACTATAGATATATTTCATTTCAGCTGGTATTGCACGCACATTATTATGTTTCAATATCTAAGTATAGATCCAGAAATAAGTAAATATTCATCACTGTTAATATTGCACACATTTTTGAATGAATACTATCAGTGAAAAAAATATGATCTCTAAACAATATTAAATGCATTGCATGAAAATTACTAAATGTAATCCAAAATTTAATATTTAAAAATTTTATTTGGAGAACACATTTAAACAAAGTCATTTTTTTCTCTTATCAGAAAAAATATCTTAAAAGAAAAAATAAATAAAGTAAAAAATCAGTTTGTTAAATGAATTATCTTTAGGTCTAAATAAAATTGGTAGCAAAGTACAGTTTCTTAAGAACAAAAAAAAAATGATTTGTTGCATAATTAACCTAAAGCTACTAACCAATTGTAGCACCAGCTCTTCCTACAGATGATATAATCACAAAACCAAAGCCCTCATTTTCCTGGCGTGTAACAGTGACATCATATGGATATATGCTTTCCATCGATCTTGAATGATAGGCAGAATCTACAAGCGAAATAAGGATGCGATGAAATAAAACTATAACTCTGAAGATTAGAATACAATAAAAATTGCATTTTCAAAGATTTGATATATTAAGCAATTTTATTTCTAAATGTGAAAGACTTTAAAATCATATTAATTGGCCAGAGTGTAGAAACGATAGGAAGTCAAATATAATTAAATTTTGTCAAGAATTATGTCAAATGTTGTCCCCAAAATTAAGTTCCTAATCCTCTTAAATGAAAGGACTTTTTTTTAATAAAAATTTTATTAATTAATAGAATCCTATTAAATTAAAGTCTGTTCCGGTCACCCTGTTCAGTCTAAGTCTCATTTTAATTAAACAAAAGCAGATAACATTTCCGACAGACAACCGTAATTTAAAATGTATCAAAACTTACCAACAGATGACACTCTCCGACGCACACCCATGGTAACTTTTCCATTGGTCGTGTTTCCAATCAATTGTACGACACGATGATGAGAGGTATTCAGTACAAGTTGATTATCTACAGATACTATCTCATCACCAGTTCTAAGTCTCCCATCTAAGTCTGCAGCTCCACCAGGAACTATATGGCCAATAGCAACCTTGGAGTAAGAACTCTATAGTTAGATGAAATAAAAACAGCAAGTAGCAATTAATTTTTTGATTTTATATAAAATTAAATTTTTCCTTCACCATTAACCAACTCAATTATTCAAATTAGTTCATAGTTAAAATAAAGTTCTGCTGTAAAATGGGTTTAATACGAAAAAAGATTATTCTTAGGGTTACAAGACTTAGTTAGAGGTGTCAAAGTAACAAGATGCGTCCTTTTTTCAGAAAAGTTGTATTTTAGATTTTTTTTTAAAAAAAAAAAAAAAAAAAAAAAAAAAAAAAAAGAAAAAGAAAGAAAGATGCCATATGCTATTTTATTTAAAAATTTTTTTTCATTTTTAAACTAAATATATTTTAAACAGTGAAATTACGTGCTTTTTGTAGGTCATTAAATTAAAAGTGTTAGCAGCAACTAGATGAAAAGGCATGTCTCATGTTTTATTATAATCAGAAGTACATACACCCCCCCCCCCAAAAAAAAGTTTCAAAATCAGTTGATAACAGTTTCAAATATTTCAAAAAATATATGTTATGAATGATCGAAATATCTTAAGAAGCAAAAGGTGGAAATTGGAAAATATTGCATTGCGTACATACAATAAAAATAATAAGTAAACTTTTTTCTATTACCAACTGACAGATGACTGAAAATGTAAGCATTTTATTTTTTTTTAAAAAATTCCCGTTGTGCTTAAAATTTCCGAAATTTTTTGACATACACTGAGTTATGACAATTTTTTAAACACACAGCTAGAAATGATTTTATAAATTTGTTTTTTTAATCTAAATTGGAAATGGTAAGGCTTAATATAAAAAAATATTTGACTCTTAACAAGACTTAAGATAAGTGTAAGAAAGTGCTAGATTTAAAATTCGCAGCTACTTTTTGTCACTATCATTAATACCAATTACACAGGCCTGCGATGAAAAAAATACAAGGGGTCTGATAGCTGAACTTTTTGGTGCTGAAATGAAAGAAAAAAAAATAATGAAAAATTTCCATCACTTCAAGTTTTCTTAAAAAATTCAATTTTATTGAAATTTTTATGGACATTTACCATAAAAAAATTTTCTTTTTTAAATTTCTTCCATTCTTGCCTGACCAGTATTATACTTTGGTTAAATCTACAAAAAGTACCCCTCTATATAAATATTCCTATCATTGACCCTATTTGCTATTCTTACTCAATCGTCAATTTTATGTAAGTTACCTTAATAAAAATAAATTAAAATGGCATGTCGGTGATTTTCTTCTAGAAACTAATGTAAAAAGTTTAAACTCAAGAAACTTATTGCTTTACTCTCGACCAGAAGTGACTTGCGTGATATGGCAACAGTATTTTTCATTATTTTAACCTATAAAAAATTAGCCGGTAGCTCAAAAATTAGTTTACATTCACAAGATTCAATTTTACATAGATCGAAATTAATAAAAACGACAGTTACCAGATAGTACATGCACAATTGCTTGAGAGAATTCTTCTCCAAATAGGATTTGAGTAAAAACATCAATATCGATTTAACAAAAAATCCTGACTTGATGGTGGAAAATTAAGGTCATTTTCGGAAACAGCACATCAAATAACATATAAATCAGCAATAACTTCTTTTGTATTTTTCAAAAACTTAAATTTCGCTGGCTTGTGTTACTGTTTGGGCCGTATGACATAGCCGGAAAATGTATTAAAAGAACTAACATATAAATATAAAGTAGAGTTTAAAGAAACAAGTAGAAATGTATAACTTGAAATTAAGCATTTTCAATAAGTTATTATATAAAGAATAATGAATCATTTATATATGCTTTATATACTAAGCATATATAAATAATTATAAACACAAAACAAAATTATTAACAATAATAAAGAAACCCAGGTGATTTAAATATCTTGATTCATAAAGATATTAAAGATAAAAAAGATACACAAGATAATAAAGATACACAGTATTAAAGATACATGAAAATATAGTTAAGTCAAGCAATTAAATATATATCATGCAGGCAGCTAAATGCAAAAACAATCAATATAAAATCAAAATAATTTTCGACATATTTAAAAAATATTGCAATAAGTATTTACAAATAACAATGAAATGTCATTTGATTTAGAACAACTATTTTGTTCTGAACTAAGTTAAGTCTTTTTTGGTAGATTAAAAAATAGTTTTACCACATTTTAACTTCAGTTGTTCTTGTTTAGTTGTTAATATTTTCCTTTTAAAACTTTAAATATAATCTTAGCAATAAATTCTATATACATAACTTTGTTGACACCAAAGTTAGTTAATCATATGGTTCTTAAGACAAACTTTTTCAGGTTCTTATGCATGATACCGTCGACAAACATCATGCCAACATTATTTCGGTACAATTCAAATTTGAGCCATTTCCAAATTTATTTTCAGATTTGGTATAAATGATCGAAGGGATAATACATAAGTACCCTTTTTTACATTGCTTTTCTCTCTCTCTCTCTATTTTTTTACTCATAAAGTTTCATTCTTTAACCTTCGAATGATAACACAAAACAGCTAATGTTTTTTTTAATTACTAATACTTAGCTTTCAATTTTAACTACTTATAATAACAAAATATATAAGGACAAAACATAAAAACAGGAAGCCTCTATTTAATGAACTTCCATTTTGCGAATTTCTCTATTTTGCGATTTTTTTTCCAGGAACTAACAACATTTTGGAAATTTCTTTATAAAATAACTTGTAAATAGCGAAGTGAATTATCTATTTAACAAAATTTTCCTTGAGATCCACTTTCCCTATTTCCTAAAATATTTCAGAATTTTTCAAACTTGTTAATGCATTTTAGGAGGGAAATGACCTTGAATTGATTTTCGAAGCCACTTAACTTTCAGAGAAAGCAGTAAAATCACTTTCCCTTTTTTTTTGCATTTCGAAACTCAGACAAAATTAACAGATTTTATCAGAAGCAATTAATCTTAAGAATGCATGAGATAATGTATATGGAACACGTGTTAAGTTACTTTTAAAATAAACGCTGCTATAATTTTATTCATAAATTTAGTTTTTTTAGTAAAAAATGTATGTAGCATGATAGTGTAACACTGGATAATGTTTTGTTTGATTCTTGCTTTCCGTGCCGCTTTCTCTTATGGTTAAGATTTATAAAATAAATAGTAGATACTAGTTTACAAGATAAAGGTAGATCAATTGCTATTTTAATTATGTCTAATGTTTATGAATTTAAAATCTGTTTTGTGTTGTTTAAGTATTTTAAAAGATGATTTTCTATTTAACGAATTTTCCATATAATGAACGTATTAGCGATATTTAGGATCTTCGTTAAATAGAGGCCTAACTGTATATATATAAATGGATTAATCTCAGAAAAAAATTTATATATATTAATTAAATATCTTGACAGTCTAAAGCTCTAAAATAAAATTTTTAAGAAATTAATTTTGCTCCATACATCTAGAAACACTAAATGACTTTTTTAAGTATGCTTTAAAGGAATATATGTTTTAGCTTACTTGTGAGCCTTCTTCAGTTCCACCGACTATCCTAAAACCAAATCCACTTTCTTGACGATGGAGAGTCACCGTCATGTCTATATATTCTGGAACACGGCTGAGCATCGGTGGTTTTAATACTGATCCAGGTTGTGAATACATTGAGCTTGACGCGTACAAATTGTCTCCCTTGCTTAGAGACACGACCGACGGGTTTTCGTGCTCGAAGGACGTGCCTCGCTTCCTTCGGGACAGACTATCGTACTGAGAACTATTAGGAGAATGACCTGAAGATACAGATCTGTAGATGGGTTCATGGTGTGTATCACTAGGCCCATAGGATCCTGCATGCACAGGTGGCTGACTGTATGGGCCATTGCTTCGCACTGAGTTGGATCGTCTGTAAGAGTCATTCGTGATGTCCTGATGATAACCATCAGGATTCCACTCCAGCCCGTATTCTCGATGAGGTCCATTTTCGTTATGAGGTTTAGCGGGCCAAGAATGGTTACCAGGACTATGAGAGAAAACACTATCTTCGTATGAATCATTAAAGTTTGATCGCGTGTGTGGTGGTACTGGAGGAGGCAGTTTTGGATGTAAATAACCATATTGCCCACCCCCATCCAGCATGTCGGACGAGTGATTAACAGTACTAAAATCAGTAGATTTGTTGAGTTCTTTGTTATGGTTATCTGCCCAATAAGTATCCCTCAATTTACCTAATGTAGTGTACCACGATGGATTAACAGTAGTTTTGTCCAAAGCAGCACTATAAGCAGTTCTTAAGGCAGGACCATGGTCATTTTTCCAATTATTGAGGAATGCAGATGGGCGGTTAACAGCATTGTCTGATCCGTGATCACCCACCGAATGCCTCATCGGATCAGGGTTTAAGCGAACACACTCTTGTTGTTGATTCATGATGCCGTTTCCTCGAGGTATGTGATTACCATTGAGTCTCTCTAAAGGTTCGGAGGACATGGACTGCGATTTTGGCCAATTCCTCGTATCGACGAGCGGAGTCTTTGGTCTGTTTATGTGAACTGGTTCTTTCTCTCGTGAACTGTAGAGATCAGCAGTCGGTGTCTTGCTGCGGTACATGGTAGACGGTGCTGGTTGATAACCTTCTAAGAATAAATGAGAAGTAATGAGCAATAGGAAGAATTTTGATTGGGTAAGAGAATATTATAAAATGAAAACACTAAGTGAGAGTAAGTAATACAAACCTGTTGATCGGTACGGATAGGAATGAGAAGAATTATTACTAACACTTCTACGAATACCAATGTCATCTGCTGATTTCATCTGCAAATATATTAAATAAATTAAATTTGTCAAAGAACAAAAAATGTATTTAGTTTTTTAAAAAAAGCGACATTTAAAAAAATATTGACGTCGGAAAGAAAATAGCCAATTTAACATTAACAGTTTCTTGCTGTTGTATCATGCTAATGATACAACATTAACAGTTTCTGAATAGTAAATTGCACAGGCTGTATCCCCCATCCTTACAAAATCTAATTATTATCAATTAACAATCATGCACAATATTAAAACTTATAAACTAGAACAATTTGAAAAATTAAAAGTTCAATACATTAAAAGAAAGATTAATTATCTCAGTATCAATCAGCATTTAAATAATATTATTGATTTCAGATGATATTATTAATTTTTTTTTTTTAACTAAGCAATTAGGCTAATGAATTTACACCTTACAACAAAACTTAATTTAATTTATTTTTTTGCTTTATAGTATTTAGATTTATAGAAACTGTTTCAAAAGCATTACTATAAACTAAATAATCACTTAGTTAAATATAGTTCTCAAACTACTTATTCGGTGACTTCACATTAGCTTTGACCAACGTGAAAGTTGGTTTTGACCAACCAATTGTTTAAGAAAAGTGAAAATTAACTGCCTATAAAAAAAATTTATGTCACACAGACAGAGCTGTAAGCTAGAAAGCATCAACATCTAGAAGGTGAAAACAGTTCTTGAGTTAAGAGACACTCACACAGATTCTTCTTTTAAATATTATACTAAAAATAAAACCTTTAAATATTATAGTAAAAATAAAACCAACTAGAAATTTATTTTTGAAAAAAGCTAGAAAACTTTATTTTAGATTAAATTTAAGAAGAAAAAATATTGCAAAATCAAAGTTGGGATCAGAAATCAGCACAGCACAAAATTTATATATAAAATTGAGTAGATACCTTTGTAACACGAGGTAATAAGCCCCTTTGTATAGTGATATGTGCTGATTTGTCGCAGGGACATTCCTTAAGGATCTGCACTACTTCACTGTGAGGAAGCCCACGGATATTTTTGTGATTGATTTCAATTAAGATGTCACCTTCAAGCAGATACTGGCATCGATCTCTATCCAGGATTTTCTTAACCTATAATTAAAATAGATCAGACTTAAAACATTTAAAATGTTAATTTTTTGTAAAGGAACAAATATCTCAATGACAAACAGGCCAGTTTAATCAAATATTGTGACAATTATCACAAACACTTAACAAATTGAACAATAGGATCTTTTAAGTGGTGAATTAAATTTTAAGTATTCTAATTAATATCTAACAAAATAAAATTTTTAACATAAACATAAGTCACATTTTTGATTTTAAAATTGTTCCACTAAATTTAAATTTAGTCACAGCATAATTAAATTTACTAATTTAGGACCAACTCTGAAGATTTAATTAAGAATCTTTATTTGGAAAAAGGTCAAATAAAAGTAGGTAAGAAGAACTTTACGTGACAGTTAAGTTCTTTTACCAAAACTAAAAAGTTGAGCTGAACTCTCTTTTCTCTCATAATTTCATACCACACTATTCCGTTTGGCTCGCATCATTATGTATCATAAAATTTTTCAGTTCACAGTTGAGCGGGATTGCATTTGAATTTTACTCAAAACATAAAGAAAAAAAATAACTGCTAAGAGACGGGGGTGGGGGTGGAATCACAGATAATTCAACAATCCAAGAACACTTCTTAAATACTACTTTGATTTTCGAAAAAAAAACTAGGTACAATGTTAACTAACATAGAATAAATAACATTAAATGATCGATGCTTTACTCAAATTAGAAGTTTTTAAATTCATAGCTCTAATTTTAAAAAAGAAATCACCTTAATTTAAATGTTTTAACTTCCGGAACTTTAACTGTCGTTACGAAATTTATTATTTTATTGCCATTGTTTTTTTTGCATGGTTTAAAGTTAATTATTTTATGTTTTTGTTAAAAAGGGTGATCGGAAACTTTATCATTAAAATTCAATTATAATTTTTTACAAGTTCTTCTTTGATCAAAACAAGAAGAAAATCGTTTGCTTCTGCCCTTGAAATAAAAATTACCCAGGATTGTCTGCTTCTAGTGTTAATGTGTAAATTTGGATAGTAAATATGCAATTTTTTCTGTTAGAAATGACCAAATTTTTTAATGCAAATTACAGATATTTCCCTTCTTATAGAAAAATAAATAAAATCAGTAGCTTAATCCTAACAGATTACACTGAAAACTAAAATTAATAGTTTTTATTGAATGAAAATTAATTATGGGTAGCAAAAATACAAATTACATTACCTTTTGACCATAAACACTATCAGCAATGGTGAATCCAAAACCATTTTTCCCTTTTACAATCTCCACTGACAAGAAATCAGCTTTATTGGGTACTTGATGATTAACATCATGTGAGCTAATAGAGTGGTCATTACTGCCTGTACTAAGTTCGGATGGATGTTCAAAGTTTCTTTGCCTCTGAGACTGAAACGCAGTGAGGTCGGGCATAGATTTCGCCGAACGTGTCGTCGATTCTGCAGACTCACTGCCCCCGTTCATGCAGCCACAAAAACCGTTTGGCCCATTGCCATGGTTACAACTGGATACTGCATTGGTAGTGACTATTTCAGTGTTAGGATCTTCGGGATCAAAAGGCAATTTGAAACCTTGAGCAACACCCAAATGAACGATCTCGCCAGGAGGGATGGACTGGAACAATGAAACAGCATCTTGGTGACTAAAGCCCAGAACACATTGTTCATTAATATATACAAGAACATCACCTAAAATTATATGAAATGATTTATAATTTCAGTACTGCTATACATATTTATTACAATTATATATAAGTACCAGTATGTATAAAAAATACTTCGGCAAACTTATACAGCAATTTTAAAAAAAGTTCTTATCTTAGTAGAACATGAAACTATAATTTTACATTCAACTTTTCAGCATCAGAGTCAGCATATGAATGAAGACAGCATTATTTTCGTTTTCTAATTTAGGATTCATAATAAATTTCAATTGCCCATTTTTTTTTTTTTTTTGCCGAAGATGCTATAACCACAAGAGAAATCCTTCAAGACAAAACATTTCAAACTTTATTTAATTTAAATTTTAAAACATAGAAAAAAATAGGTTCAAATAAACCAAGAAAGAAATTACACTGAAATTCTTTATTTTAAAACATAAAATTGCAAACAAATACAGACAGGATTACTTTTCCACTTCCTAACAACAGATATTTTACATTTAAAATTAGCATCAAACAGGATTGAATAGAAAATTATTTTATTTATTACACATTTGAAATCATAATTCTGATTCATACTAAATATATAACCTATCTTAGATAGCTATAGAATATTCTTTAGCATTTTATTTGAAAATAGAGTTTTAAATAATAATAAAAAAATGAAACTATTAAAATAATCTAAAATTTTTCTCTTCTAAACAAGCCCTACTTATTCATTTAGAAGTAATGATTGTTTTAATACTTAATCACGCAATGAACCAAGATAGAAAAAAATCTAATAGATGGAATTTTTTAAAGAAAATTTTTGCATTTCAGAGAGATTTTTAAAAAAGCAGAAGAATTCTGTAGAATATGCATCAATAATATCATACCCATCTTCAGTTTTCCATCTTGCCATGCTGGTCCATGAGGAACAATCGCTTTGATTTGCAAGAAGTCACGAACGTCCCCGTCGTCTCCACCCACTATTGTGAAGCCAAATCCCCTGGCACTTTTCACAAGACTAGTTCTGATCATGAAAGGTTCCAGATCAGCAGGATTGGAGGTGAAGACGTAAGGCAGTTTGTAACCAGAACCACGCACTATGAAAAAATTATTCACATTTAGAATTCAGCACACTTATTTATTTTATTTTTTTAAACAAACACAATTTTTAACTATTACTCATCTTAAAAAAAAAAAAGGAAGGCCTGCTCAGTGTTTTTAGATTAAATAATACATACACAACGTAAGAAGCTATTCTTATGCTAATGTTTCTATGGGTGCTCGTTACATTTTTATGTCTAGATTTACATAATGCAATTCTATAAACTGCTATTTTTCACAAATTACATTAACTTCACAATCTTTCCAGCAAATCTAACTTAATAAATTTGTTAGTTTATAGTTCTAATGTGTTTCAAACTATTTGCATTTAAAAATTATTTTAAAGTCTTTATATGAATCAGTTCTAGATGAATAATTATGTTTAGTAAGTAAATTTAATGATATGTGAAATGATCATCAAATTTATTGATCATGATTGCGAATGGATCATTAAAAAAAAAATTCTATACATGACAAAGCACTTCTCAGGGGTAATGCTATAATGATCTTCTACAGTGTTTTAGTTTTTTATTATTATTCATGCATAGCTTTTAAAGCCTAATAAATTATTTGCTCAAGTTTGCTAAAGCAGAAGGCATACTCTCACCTGCTGCATTATTCAATATCACTTGAAATCAAGTCATATGACAGATGATATGCTGATAGCAAAATATAACTTTTAGTACAACTTACGCATGAGTGCTAAAATATCATGTATTCCTAATCAATATTATAATAGGTTAAACCGAAAAATTAATGAGCACTTTTTAAACCAAGAGATAGATATTTAAAATAGAAGATTTCACAAGCTAATCACTTCCTTAAGTCATAACTGTTGATTAAATGGTGTAAAGGAAAATAAAATTATTTCCCCTGCCTATAATGCGAATTTCAGATGGGGTTATTTCAGTCTCTTTATGGAAATATTTAAAGTTCTAGGTAAATAAAGAAAAAGTATTGCGTTATTAACATTCATTTTTAAGATAAAATATTTTGTAAATAATCAGCTTTTACGACATAATATTTCATGAAGGATCCTGCTAATGAGTCCAAATTTCTCCACAAATCACAGCAGTATGCAATTGATCCTCCTTTAATGAATATTATCAATACTTGCTCTTATCTTTTACTCAAAATTATAAAGATGAAGAAAAAAAAAACTTGACAGTCCTGTATTTTGAAAGACTTACGTCCGGCATAGGGAGCTCCGTCCTTTCCAGGGCGCTGTTCTTCTTTGAGGCTGGATGCATTTCTCTGAAGACTGTTGTTATGACCCTCTCCATGCTTTGGCAATGAATTGACTCCTAACTGAACTCCATTTGAATTTTGATCAACTGTGCGATCAGATTTCTCAGTTCTCCAGCTATTGCGCTGAGAACTTTTTATTGAATCATCTTCATGAAGAGCTACAGGGGAAGAAAATTAATATTACAAGAGAAAAAATTTACTGAAATTTTTCTAATGAGTAGACAATTTATCAGAAAAATGTGCACTTTAGTGTGACCGTTCCATTTCCATGACAGAAATGTAAAGTTCTATCATTTCCTACTCTGCCATTTTTACTGTTTATTAGAACATCTGGTCTGAGTTTTATCACTCATTACAATAAAGTACCCTAATTTTTTTCTTTTACAACCTCTACAAAATCACTTCAAAAATAGGTGTTAATTATTTCTGTGCATTCAGAACAAGCATTTTTTCCTTTGGCAACCAATCAATAAGTAACAAGAGTCTCCAGGAAATTATTCCAATCTTTAGTTCTTTTGATGTTACTGCTATCATAAAAAAATATTGAATTCTCTATGGATTAAGAAAGAGTGAAAGGAATCCCTTTTCTTTACCCAAGTGTTCCTAACGTTATCTATGGTTAAAAGATATTGAAATATCTGTTACTTTTCATTATTAACAGTTACAAGCCTATACTGCATCCTTGTGTGGAAATGTGAGTCTCCTATATGCATTCATAACTTTTGTTATTCTTATTCCTAAAGATTCAATGAATTAATTAATCATATTTTGCCTTTAGAAAATTATATTTTATTCACTCTTTCTGTAGTTGTAATGGATGGTTAGCTTGGACCTAACAAATAATGTACTTACATCCTTCTCAATTTTTATATTTGCTTAGACCCAGCTAACCAAAACCCACTCAATTTCAGGAAGAAAAAAAAAATCCCTTAATTTTCCAGGTATAACGGGAAAATTTCAATGAAAATCCAAACTATATTTTATCAATACCATGCAATTTTTCATCAGACAACTTTGAATTTCTTAAAAATAACAAGAATTCAAATTTTTTACTTACAGGTGGTGGAGTTCTTCCTTGCTTGAATTACAGGATTTTCATATTGTGTCTTCTTATTGATGTGACTAAACAAACCATGGAAATGTATGTATTATTCATATATTCTATTTTAATTACACTTTAATAAAAAAAAATATATTGAATAACGATAGCAATCAAGAAAAAAAAGGTAACGATACAATTTTCAAAATTCAAATTCAAAAATTTGTTATTAATTAATGAAACCGGTAAAAGCAGCAATTTAAGTACATTTAGTGCTCTTCATAAATTATGTCCCGTCTTGAGTGGAGGACTTTCAGAAAAATAAGATTCCATTTTTTAAATTAAAATAAAAACAAACAAAAATCAAAATAAGTACAGACATAATAACTATTATTGTCATGCTCACAAACATAGTTAAAATTTTAAAAATAAAATTTCAACATGGAGAGTTGTTTTGAAACTGCAAGTAGTGAATGTCATATAGCATGCAAGTGACATAAGGGGGTAGATGATATTGGGAATTAAGACACTTTAGAAAAGGGGAAGGAGGGAGGGTTCAAAGTATGGAAAAAAAATGAGTGACATCATTTATGAAACACCCCTTTAGCACTTGGGAAACCTTGGTATGGAATGTTTATTCAAAATCAGAAATTTCAACAATATAATTTTGATTATTACATAAAGACTCAAACAGATGCATAATTGCTTAATAGTATACAATGCACAGATACTTACTCAATGTAATATGTGCCATAATGAGGATCATCAATTTTTTCCCAACCATAAGGAAGTTCTACAAAAGTAAATATACAAATTTTTTAGAATATAAAAAATTATTTTTTTAAATAAATATATACTTAATTACAACGTAAAACCATTACATTATCAATATAATTAAATGAAAGCAGATTTTATATTCAAAGCAGATCTTAATATTCAAGAAGAAGAAAAAAATTGACTTTAAGAAGTAAATGCATTTTGTGTGTTATTTAGTTATATCTTTGCTTTATAAAAGTAACACCCCAAATTTTAATTCAAATTAAAAATTTTAAATTTTTTAAACAAAAATCATATTAACTATTTCTACTACATTATATTTGCAGCCGTGTAAAAATCAAAACAATGATTCAGTTTATTCAACAAGATTAAAACATAACTATTAAAATTTCAATTATCCACACAAATGTAAATTTATTATGCTGGTTGCACACAATGTTAGTTTAAATTCTTGACAATTTAAAAATTTTTGCTATAATAAATAAATTGGATAGAGAATTGCAACAAATAATGCTTCCAAGATAATTTACCATCTTCGTCACATTCACCAACAGGTTTTTTGTTTTTCGGTCTAGGATCTAGCCATTGAGATGTTCCAGTGTTATGACTAAAAATTAAATAAAAGTCATTAGAATTTATTAGTTAGATTTGTACAAGAAAATGAAGGTAAACCAATTTGAAGACATACTCAATAAAGTAAGGTTCCCCGTCTTCTGTGTAAGCTTTTTCCCAGTTTTCTGGTAATGGGCCTAAATCATCATCTTCAGAGGTAGAAAACTTCTTTTGAGATTTGTGATCATCAGTAATCATTCCTTGTGAAACATGTGAAGAACTGAAAGTAAAAGATTACAGAGATTGAAATGAAAAAGTATTGCATTGAAAAAGTACTGCAGACTGCAAAAAACCTTTTTTTTTTCTCTCTTAGATGAAACTGGACTAAATAAAAGAAGCTAAAAAATTAACTGTTCAATTGATGAGCAATAGGCTTTACATAATTAAATTTAACATAGTACCAAAAAGTTTACGTCAACTCACTTTAAGTATCTTCATTTTATTTATTTTAGTTAATCATACGTAGTCAGAGATGCCAACTGCTCCAGACACGCCAAAATAATTAATAAAACGGTAAATTACTACCAAGTAAATTGTGCAAGTATTTGACTATTTTTGCTTGCTTTTTAAAAGGTATAGCATGACATAACTACTATAAAGTGCTGCTTTATATAAGCCTACGAATTATTTAGAAATAGTGGTGGATAAAAATCTACTAAACTGAATTTATTAAACCAAGAATCACAATTGATAAACTACCACTTTAAAATATTCATTTGCTGTCCGGAGCAAGTTGGCATCTCTACGTAGTAGTATTTAATTATATAAATTAGTAAGCTATTTGTAACTGTGCTCTGTATTAAAATTTTAATAAAAAAACAACATAACATTTTATCAATTATTATTCTTTTTTAAGAAATATGTATGCAGGGGTCTGTCTAGGTTTTTCTGAGAAGTACCTATTTTGTGAAAATTTAGACATAATTTGTGAAAAATTAAAAATTATATTAAAAAATCAACACAAAAACATAGTAAAAATATAGATTTATTGTTTTTTAAGGATACAAAAATAAAATTTTAAGAAAAAGTATTTGTGAAACTGCCGTTTTTCCTAAAGTTGAATTTGTGAAACTACAGCTTTTTCTAAATATGAATTTGTGAAGGTACCGCTAAACGGTAGTAAATTCGGTCTGGACAGATCCCCCGATGTGATTTGTTGTTTTGTAGTATAAATGTAGTATGTGACATGCTTATGTAGCAGTAGTATTAGAATTTGATAATAAGTTCTTAATAATTATAAAATTTTACTTTTTTTTCACAAAATAGTGAAGGACTGCAGTTATTTTAATTTCTTAAATTCTTAATTTCATTTTCAATTGTTAATTTTTTAATGTACACATGGTTAAAAATGATATATTAAATAGCTTAAAAATACTACTATTAAAACTAGGTTGCAAACTGTAAATTTCTTTAATATTTCTTCTTTGAAAAATAGTTTCCTCCATTTGGATTGACAGAAACCTATTTCTTTTAGGCATTTTTTTCCACTATGGAAGAAATGTATCTAAATCTATGGGAAAATTCAATTTTTACAACTATACACGTTCAATAAAAAACCAACATCATTGTGAACTTAATTTACGATGATCAGTAAAAAAATACAGATAAATAAAGATACAAAATATTTTTCATTGTATCTCAAATGGGGGGGGGGGATAAGCCACCCAGAACTGTGGGTTCAATACTTCTATTAATGGGTTTCGTTGAGTAATTTCATTAAAAAATCTAACACTTTATACTTAACCAATGTAAAGTTCAACAATAACTTCAATTTTTATTTAGCTTGATTAAAAATTTAACAGCACTTACTTTATTAATATGGTAGTTTCTGTACAATTTTAAGAGAAAGAGGAACTACATCAATAATATATTTAAAATAGTTAATAGATAAAAAAAATATAAAAAAAAGAGTTTATGTTAATAAAGCACACAATAAAAAAGAACTACTAATCTAAAGAAAAAAATTTTAAATAAAAAAAAAAGGTCTTGAATGTTTTTTTAATGTTAAAAGTGCTAAAAAAAAACATTTTATTGTATTATTATTTTTATAGTCTAATTTCCAATAAGAATTAGAAAATAGGAAATTTGCCCAAAATATGTTTGCTTCATCTTTATAAGGTTAACACTTATATATATATATGTGTGTATGTATAAACTACAAATGAAAAAAAAGGAGCATATAATAGTATACAAGACTGTAACTCTTATACAAAATGCCTTGTTTGAATATTTATAAATGTGAAAATTCCCTAGCATACGTTGATTTCTTGTATATGAACTGCAATTAAGAAAATAATAGCAAAATTAAACTTTACTCACTCAATACTGTTTTTTCCAGAATGTGAGTAGCCAGAATCGGACTGTTCTTCATTGGTTTTTGCAGTCATTGCTTCAACGCTGGATCGATTCCGCCTTCTTTTTCCCTCGGAGGAAGGATGTATCCCAGGTATGACGTTGTTGCTGTTGTTAACTGTGTAACTGCTCGGTTTGGGAACAGGGGCTGGACATTCTTCTAAGGGTTTGGGTGTGCCGTAATGATTTCCTAATCGAAAAATACAAACTTTATTACAAGAAAGGAGATTTTTCAGCTGCACTAGAGAACACCCCCACAAAAAAAAAACTAATAAACCTCTCTTTTTGTAAAATGATTGATTGGTTGATTGAATGTAAAGTTTTATGGCACAAGATCCAAAGCAGGATATGTTGCGCCAAACAATTTGTTAAAACAGATCAAATGGTAAAGTGCACCCTACAATTTCTTCTCAAAAATATTGATGAAACTAATAAAATGGTTAACCACAAGTCACAAACATCCTTCATACATAAAATACAGTTGCTAAAAAAAGGTAAGACGACGTTGGTTAAAACAAGGACAAATGGATAAAGTGTGATGAAGCATAAGTAAAATGTTACGAGTGTCGCATTGGATAGATTCTCCGAACAACAAACGAAAATGGGTGAGTCGAGTGTGGCCGATTCTGAGACGGTCAAGTTTTACATCTGTAATGTGCAGACACAATACGGGTAAAAGATCCAAATTAGGTTTGATGTTAGAAAGTTTAATTTTGACTTTGAAGATCCCAAAGCTGTTGCCAAAGGGATACAATAACTTTTTGAAAATGAATTTACAATACTTAAATGTTCACAGATAAGTTGGGAGTATTTAATTACTCAACTTAGCAGTAAATCTTGCAAATTGTCGAGAATTTAATGCACAGTATTTTAAAACTTCAATGGAGTCAAAGTTATACAAATACAATACAAGTTAAACTTATATTATGCATTTTATAGTTTTAAGATTTACGAAAAATCCTTTTTTTCTGTAGGTAAGAATTTTTACAAACTTAATTTGAATAAATAGGAAAAAAATGCTATTTTATGTATTTTAGGATGGAATAATAGAACTTGGTATAAAGTTGAAAGCTTCAAACAAGTATAATTGGTAAAATATCAATAAATTCAAATTAATAATACATTTCTGAAACACTAGCTTATTTATACATTTAACTGTTTGATTTTTTAAAAAATCCTTCCCCCCTCCCCAATCACATAAGGATTTTTCATAAACTGAGCTTGAATAAGTCAAGAAAATTGTCTGTTTCGTATTACTAGGTTTTGGGGATAGAACTTCCGAGTGTCGAACAAAAACTTAAAAGTAATGAGTTTTATGAATGAAAATTATATATTATGACTTATACCCATTATCTTTTATGCATAAAAGAGTTCTCACTTTATTTAACCTATTGATCAAAAATTTCATTTCCTTCAATTCAATGCAATGCAATAAAATACATTAAGGACAATACATTCGTGCAACAGAAATATTTAAGTATGTCCCCTAAAATGTGATCTACCAAAAAAAAATTTTTTTTTCGCATTTTTATTTATTTGCATCACAGACTATCTAACTAGTGGATAGATATAATGGCAAATGACACAATAAGCTTATCCTTCTCTTTAGTCAAATATAATACAATGAACTGACAACAAAAATCAGAATGTTCCTATTTGCGAAAAAAAAAAATGGCATGTGATTGAATTTTTACCACAAATTCTCTTGAAATCAGCAACTAAGCTATTGATTTCTAAACACTTTCTTGGTTGCAAACTTTCATTGCCAACACAAAAATTACAAAATAAATTCATTGCTTAACTTCTGAGGGAAAAGAGAATTGTAACAGCTTTAAAAGTTATAAAACAATATTTTTCCAAATTTTAAAACAAATACATCATTTTTCTCCCTCTCTTTTAAAGGTATTGTGCTGCCTTTCTTTTATACTTTTAGTGTGTAAACAAAGAATGTGAGGCAGGATGACAAGGGGAAAAAGGTCTCTCTATGAATTATGTGATTCAATAATTTACAAAGCTGAAATTCAACACCGCTATTTAATGGAGCCAGAGTGTCAGGATTTAAATCACATTAAAAAAAAAAGTATTTATTTTTATTAAAAAAAACTTGATTTAAACATTGAAATAAAATGGAAAAAAGAAAAGAAAAAAAATACTGTAGTAATTATTTGCTTTGCAAAGAGATCTTGAGTAGTGAGGGAATATATACAATCTTTCTAAAAAAAGAAATAAGAGTCCTTTTTTTTTTAAAAAAAAAATAGCCTGCATATATTTTCATTAAAACTGACAACAAATATGCAAATAAAAACACTTAAAAAAATATATATATACCAATACAGGATNAGGATTTTAAAAATATATCAGAATCACTGCAAACTAATTTACTTATCGAAAACCTGTTTCGCGTGAAAAAATACAATCTGTAGTCACTAACAAAAAAGTAAGTACTAACAAGTAAATAAACTAAGTACTAACAAAAAAGTAACTGTAAGTACTAACAAAAAATTAATTAAATCACCCTTCAAAAATCGAGTCTTCAACTTTTCACAATTCTGTAAATGAAGCCATAAATCAGAGAGAATCTGTAGCAGTTGGTATCCGTTTATGATATAAGTGTCCACAATATTGAAACAATAGCACTATTAACACACTTTAAATCTCAATTAATTGATTTTTTTCCTCTTCTGTACTAACTTTTTTTTAGAGTACACGGACATAATTTACGTCAACATAATTTTAAAACTTTGTTTTTAAATAATTAAAAAAATATTTTTTTTTTATAAATAATATTTTATTAGATAGTAATATACCAAAAACTAAATTAGGAGTGCCTTATACCATAATTAAAACCAATTGATATTTCATTAAATTGATTTTAGCAAAGTTAGGTAATTTAATATAACCACAGTTTATTTTCTTGTAGTTTAATGCATCACAGTTGACTGAATTTTTTCTTCTGAATATACATTTCAACTTTTGTGTAATATGGGGAACTATAGAATCAAGTGAGGAGTACCTTCATATATTCCACTTTCTAGAAGATTACCAGATCTTTCCAGTTGCATGAACTCTTCAACAGTGAGGAAGGTATAATCCACACCATTGATTTCCCCATCTCTCGGTGATCTAGTTGTGCCTGTACAAAATATATTTCAACACAATTATTCCAAAATAACAGCTACTATTTCATAACAAAAATACAAGCACCAAATATGACAAACAATATTTAAAGTAAACAAAATTGCAATTTAAAAATGAACTGATTATCTTTTAATGATTGTTTATTTTTGCATAACCAGAGATGGGTAAATACGAATTTTTTTTGTTGATAACAATTACTAACGGAAACAGCCGATGATACCAATACAGCTGATTAGCAGTTACTAAAGCCTAATATTTCTTAGTATTAGATACATATTAATTTTAATTTCTAGAATTCAAGAATAAAAAAATTATAGTCTTTTTTTTGTAGTTGATTTAAATCAACTACAAAAATCAAAATTACTTTATACTAAATAACTGAAAAAAGCCTTTTTTTTGTTTATTTTTTTCGAGGTAATTCAATCAGCTTTCAAATAAATATTTTAGCTAGCCCATGAAAACATATTCCGAGAATCAAATTAATATGATTTATTCTTAAATTACTTCATAGCTTTAAGTACTAAGTACATTCTATCAAATACACTCTTTAACGCTCATTATCTAACTAACTGTATAGTTTTCTACAAAACTTTTTAATTCAAAAGTGCAATTTTTCCTTCAGCAACCCAAGACAACAGCAACATTGGTATTCAAGACAAATCTATTCAAAAAGCAAACCGGGGTTTAATACACAAGTAATAATCAGGGTTTGTTGATTTAAATCAAATGTTTTTCCTTAAAAAAAAACATTTGATTTAAATCAACTGATTTTTTTTATATATATATTGATTTAAAAAGTTAAATAACAGTGTTTTAAATTATTGATACTTTTATTACTTTCTTTTCTTTGACTTAAAATTTATTTTAAATAAATTGCTGCATTAATTAATTTTAGTTAACGAAATTACTTTCTTTCTTGGTGTGTGTTAAATTCCAACACATTTGAAATTACATTTTTAAAAATCTTTTGATTCTTGAGATTGAAAGTACATATTAAAGTAAACATTTAATGCTGTCTTAATATAGACTTGCATAGCTGTAGAAAGTAATTAATAAACATGAATTTTCTTCACACAAAAAATACAAATAATGTTCATTAAAATTCTATCTTTTGAATGAAAAAGAATGGAATAAAAATCAACATTATGTTTGATTGGTGGAGAATGTTTAATTCTAAAGCTTGAGGTTATCTTAAACCCTAATATACCAAAAATAGGGTTTAAGTTCTCTATTTCATTTAGTCCTTAAATTTCAATTCTGCATTTGTTTCAAAATGGTTGCTATGCATTCAAAGCCATGTATTAAAATAAAAAATTGTTTTAGGTAGTTAGAGCTTCTTAAATACTGTTATAATATAGTTTTAATATTAATTAAATTTTGATTAAACATTCATAAAGTTTTTTTAATCATAAATCAAAGTTCTTACAGTGTATTTGATTAAACATAAAAAAAATCTGATTTAAATCAAAAAAATCTGATCTAAATCAAAAAATCACAAACCCTGCTAATAATACAATTCATACAAGATATAAAGTTGCTAAAAGACCAAGAACATGTCTTTTGCAGTGATTATTTTTTTAAAATTGTTAAGACAAGATATGAGACGTAACACACTTTAGAAATAATTCAACTCTACACGAGGACAAATTATGTCTCAATGAGAATTGTTCTAGTATAAATCATATGATACGAAATATCTTTGAACAATTATTAAATGTATAATTAAAAATTTCATTACCAAAAAGAAATTTACTTACAGGGGACAGTTCTAAGATATAAGTTGTCTCTCACTGTATTTTGTAGTTCACAGTCAGGAGAATTTTTTGGAAACCTGGTGTTCAAATGCTGCCTTAAGTCTTTACCCAATCCTACGAGAGAATTTGACATTAGTATAATAATTGAAACTTGTAATGTGCTCAAAAGTTTTAAATTGAAACATTTCAAAGAGTTAAATAATGACAAACACATTATTCAACAATGCAGTAAAATTAAACATTTCAATAACTCAAAACCTTCAGGATAAGGCTAATCACCCAGATAATGAGGAACAATAAAAATAAATAAAGTAAAATCGAAAAATCCCAGGAGTTCCCCATTTGTTACCAAGAAAACATTACACAACCAAGAAAAATAATCATACGTTGTGTGATTATTTTTCTTGGTTGTGTAAACCAAGATGAGCTAAAAACTTAGCTTTAGAAGAATAAAAGTAAATAAATAAAATAGAAATTGACAGGAAATACATAAATGAAGTTTGGTATTATGTCACTAAGTTACAATATTTTTCATCTGTCTACAAGTCACATTATTGCAAAATTTTTATATTTAGAAAGCGGAACTTCTGATTGGGTCATATTTAATTTTTAAAAGGACTGACGAATTTCCTATTTTATTTCTTAAATTGAAACAAGTTTTTAACATTTTGAAGGACAGTCGAAAACCTGGAAATAAATATTAAGTGTATTTCTCATAAAATTAATTAATTTGATAAAAATTCATACAAAAAAAAATTTCTAAAATTTTCACAAAGAGCATAAGTAAAAACTTAAATAAAAATATAAAATAATAAAAAATAGATACAAATAGTTGTAGATATAAAAATTCTTTCATATAGAAATAAAACCCTAAAATTTCAAAATTTTAACAATTGCATCATAATACTTATACTGTAAGAAATACCTATGAGTGGTGAACATCCTACTTATAGTATGCATAATTTTAAAATTAACTCAATGACTGCTCAATGCTGATTAACTGAAAATTATGAAACAATTCATATAATACGGTTAACTTATTCAGTAATATAATTTATATTGAAAATAAGATTTCTTTTGCAATAGGAAAATTTAAAAAATGCTACAATTTCTAACTTTTAATTTTGTTGATAAATAATACACCGTATTTTTTTCAACTGCAAGTAAAAATAGTGGATGGGTAGATAAGAGTTTATGTACATAAAAATAGAATGTCAATAAACATACATATAAAACTGGAAGTACGTAATCCATCAAAATAAACTTTCAAAACAATAACAGAAAAAGCGGTCTGAAACACTAACACAGAAACAAAGATAGAAGAAGCAAGTTTTTCAACCGTTTCCCCTCGAGAAATGAACTGGTCGAGATCCGAAGACAGAAAGAAAAAGAGATATTTCCCCAAACATTGGGATGAAGAAGAAAATTTCAAAAAACTTCTCCCCTCGCTGATTCTTGGAAAAAAAGAGCTTGTTACTCTTACTGAAGGGAAGCAGTACAAATTACTAAAGAACGCTTTCACTTGTTTTATTATTTTTATTTTAAAATAAAAAGTGAAGAAATATATGGCTTCATTTTAAAAACAGAAGATTGAAAACTAATTTGAATATGAAATTGCACTATATTTCAATTAATGTTAAGACACTGCAGGCGCCTTAACTGCAGTAAATTCAATTCTTCCCAGTATCTTTTCCCGTAGAAAATTAAATAAAAACAGTTGAAATATGTTATGAGTTGTTTATATAATTATTAGAGTGTCATCTCGAATTGGGAACGGTTTGTAACGTACGAATTTTTTTGTACTAATTACACGCAACTAAACGCGTCATTGTATTTGTTTAAAAGCCAGGGTCTGTTTTCATTTATGAGTCAAATTTTCGTCGAAATTAATACCCATTCTTGAGTCAACACCAAATTACATAGTGTTTCATTTAAATTAATTATACAGTAAATATAGTAAGCGTACAGCAAAAATTTATGGCAATCATATAATCATGTTACAAACAGAAAATTCGTGTATCTCAAACATATTTATATAGTGTGCATGGTCAGCACTACCTCGTGAAAACTATACAATAAATGAAAAAGCGGGACGAATTAAATTATGCTTAAAGAAACTTCATAATCAACTTCATACTAGAGAACATTAAAGTGACGAAAAAGAAAAGTGGAGCATGAGCACTTAATTATAATAATAATTTATTATAATTATAACTTAGGTATAAATTTTCATAAATTGCATTTTATTATAATTATCTATTATTACTTAACCTAAATATGTATGTTTTGAGCACACGATTTAATTAAAAAAAAAAGACAGTAACATAAATTAATTAAAAATATATTTTTTAAAAATTTTTTGTCGCGATTCAATTAAATAGTTTCTGACAAAAGCAAATATATTTTTTTTTAATTAATAATTTTCGCAAGTTAAACATTAAGGTTGACAAGTTTCTATTTAACGAAACAAAAGAAAAAAATAATATAAAACAATTGATATATCCAAGAACTTGGACGTGTAAAATGTTTGGTTCAAATAAGACAATTTTGTTGGTTAATAGCAAAAAATTATAGCGACTATGATCATTCTGCAATGTTGTTTGACCCCAAGCTAAAAAACCTAAAATTAAATGTAATGTTACGAAGGGAATAGAATAGCAATTACATCACTTTCTACGTTCAGCCTTGATTATTATTATTTAATCTTAATTATTTTATTTCAAATAATCAGCCAGTAAAAACGAATGACAAATCTTGAACATACACAAAACTATTTTGTGATAAAAAAAGTTTTATTTCAACTAGTTATAACTTATACAGATTTAGAAATTTTTAACGTAAACTATCAACAAATTTCAGAATTTTGTACAGATACTATGAATTGGGAATCTTCATTTTCCACAATGCAAAAATCTCTAGCACACCTTTATTCTCCAACTTAAAGAAATATTCACCCCTTGATTACTTTACTTAAATTAAATCAGTGTTATGGAGTAGCTAAAATTTAAGACTTATAAACTACGAATTATAAATCAGCCCATTTAATTATTTCCTTTAAGTTAAGTCATTTAAGTTTAATTCATGTATGTTTAAATTACCATTTTCAATAATAATTAAAACGTTAGTTATAACTGAAAACTCATTAATAACATTCCCGTCAAAACGTACTTTTTTTTAAGGGAATAAAAAGACGAAACACAGATGAGGCACATACAAAAATAAAACTTTATTTTTTGAAGGACTTAAAAATAATTTTTGCCTCATTTATGATAATACGATTATAAAAAAGTCTCTAGAAAGGAATTGTGGTCGCTCACCAAAGCTGAGCGATATATCATGAAATATTAATATTTTTCGTATCAAGATATTTTAAAAAGTTATCAAGCGATATATCAAGAATACCATATCTTATTATGGATATAGAATACAATAATATCGAACGCATTATCGATAAGGAGAATTAAGAGCACGCTATACAGCGGAAGGATTCCTTTATGGCAAATATTCTTTGACTTACGTAATTTAAAATTGAATCAAATAATGACAGGATAACTGCAACTATTGATGTTTTGACAATAGCAATTGAAAGTTCTTGATTTACTCTCTTCTTTAAAATACCTAATAGAGGTGAATTGCCTTGGAAAAGTTTCATAATGAAAATATCGAACTATGTAAAACAAACGCTATTCAGTTTAATTGGAACAATATCGGTGGGCAAAAATGAAATTTAAGGAGCGGGAATCATTTTCTGTTGTAAATAAAAACGTATTTGAATGGAAAGATTTTGTACACGATCCCCCAAGGAGGTGCAATCGGGGTGTAGAACACAGGGATCAACAAAGGAGAGTACCCAAAAGGTCACCAAGGGAGGTCAGTTAAAAATGCTATTTCCCACCGCCAGCACGAAATCTCTACCGCCAAATCTTGAGCGCGTTTCTCTCTTTCCAAGGTCGCTAATCAATTTATCAAAAAGAATTATCTTTAAATATGAACAGATTTATCTGGTGTAGTATGACGAGACCTTCAACTGGCCACGTTTTTAGAACGCCAAATGCCCTTAAATATTTCGCCAACTTGGTCGCAATTAACATCTGTTAAAAACACCCTGCGCTTTATTTGAGGAGTTAATAGATAGTACTCAATCACCACTTTAAAATCAATTTGGTTGCGAGCTGACTCAATCGGTTATTACATTATATTTTTTTAAAAGATAAAAAGGTTTAAAACTGTTTACTTTAAGAACGCTTTTGTTTACATGGCCTTGCATTGTATTGAAGATTCTGTAGGATCTTACCGTTCATGAAAACAGAATATCAAAGATGCAAGAGAATGCCTACTTCCACCGGTGAATATCCCGAAATATTTGTTATATCCGATTTGATATTAATTTATTCGTTGATATTACATTTATTCGATATTTTAGTATCTGCTGAGGATAGATTAGGAGAAATATCAATGTTCGGAGTACTGATTAAATGCATACTGGGCAATGGCACTTGACCTTAAAAAGCATTGATGTAGGGCATACCGGGCAGTGGCACTGAACTAGGCCTGTTATATATTTCGGACATTTACCAAAGCGACAATGTGACTGTCAACAATCACAAATTTCAGCCATTTACAGTTACAAATACATACAGTATTAGCAACATTAGACTTGATTGCCTCCATCATTTCAAATTAGCAATAACTTTAGCGAGAGAAAAATACAAATAGGAATCATGAAGAATGTTCATGTTTAGGGAGTAACTGCAATTTCATGACATATTTTTTCCTTTTTAACAGAATAATATTTAGACAAAATTTTCACCCTACCACTGATTATATGTATGAATATCAAATAAAGACTAGGTAAATAAAAATTTATGGGGTCACGTGTGTCGAATCAGTCATAATTCTGACATTAGACGGTAATATTAAATACTAAAATGGTCACATAACAGTAATGTCAATAAAAATGTTTTTAAAAAAAACAATCAATTCCTGTTTATCCTTATGTAATTTAATTATTAGAGGGAAAAATAAAATAATTTGTTATATTTTCTGTACTGTTTACCATATAATTAAATTTAAAAAAATAGGAAAATTAAAATCTGAAAGAGGAATAAATGCTA